ATAAAATTTATATATATGTAATTATTTTGCGGAAAAACAACTTTTCTCTTGTAACAAATTTATTCTCTGTTAGATGCCAAGCCGGAACGGGATTATGTGTCGTGGACAAAGCGCACCGCAACCAGTGCCAGGCGTGCCGCTTGAAGAAGTGTCTGCAAATGGGCATGAACAAAGACGGTAAGGCGCGCCGAGGCGAAAGGCGCCAAATCTAAATATCAATAGCTCTGGCTACAAATTGCATTAGTGAATCTATTTCCACTTCCCATTTCATTTATGGCGTCCGAGGCGTCGGCGTGGATTGACTTCGGCTCCGCCTAAGGGGAATTATCTTTTTAAATAGATTTTCACCTCTTATCTATTCCCCTAATCTAGCGTACTCTAAATTGAAATAATTTTAGCAGTAAAGCTTCATTATCATCATACATTTCTTTTTTACTTATTCCCTCCGGCCTTGAATCACCCCGTCCCGGAATCAAATGATGAGATTATTGCGTTATATGGAACGTGATTACTCAACGTTCGTTTTCGACCAAGGACAAGGTTGGGAGCTAAATACCATCGGGGTAATGCCTATGTTGGTGACACCGCCAGCAGCGTTAGCCGCCGCCGTCGTATATAGTCATTTATTCATCACTTCCGTTGATTGAGCTATAACGCCACTTTTCTGAACAAAGCCAACGCAAAAGCGTCGATGCAATTTTCATGGCCTTCTAAATGCTGTGTAAAAAGCGACATATCAGCTTCTTTCGATTAGCACGCAGTGCCGATTGTTTTTTATATATAGAAATATGCGTGTATAGTTTACAATAGGTTTTTACGTATATATACATTGCTTTATTACTATTTATAGATAAGTAGACAATTGCTTTTTTCTATTCCCTTGTTCTTTAATTTTTTCAGCCTTTTTTCTTACTTTTTATTCAATTTTTTATCAGCTGTTCAAAATGAAAGACAACCAAGGAACAGTTCTCAAGTAAGACACGATCAAATTGAGGACGAATTACAGGCTGGCGCACCAGCCACAATTAGTGCTACCCACCCGGCCTTTTCCCCTCATTCCAACCGATTTCTTCCTCGAGAACCTTCATTAGCAGCTGCTGCCGCCGCCGCAGCCGTGGCCGCCCAGGTAGCGGCCGAGGCCAATAAACAAAAAGAAACTTCGACATCTGAGGAAAATGGTAAGACGGACAAATATTTGTCTATTTGAACTTTTTTTCATTTCAAACTATACGATCTTTTACAGCCGGCGACGACATCGACGTTACGAGCGTCGAACCGGAACGAGATGCAGCACAGCAACCAACGCCCGTGACGACATCGGCTAGCCAAAGCTACCGCGAAACTGCAATATTCCCAACAGGAAGTGAAACTTTGTACGAATGTTCCGCCAGATTGCTTTTTATGGCGGTCAAGTGGTCGAAGAATTTGCCCTCCTTTGCTAATCTTCCTTTTCGGGATCAGGTACAATTTAATACGTACTATTTATTGAATTGCTTTTCATATATAAATAATGACTGGTATCTGGTATACGTCATCGTAAATTATGCAAGGCCGTAAAACACTCTTTTGAGGCACGCTACCCTCAAATATACAAATGAAACAAGTCAAAAGGCATGCATTTTGCAGTGGTAAAGAATTCCTCGGCCACCCTCGATGTTCGCAACATTGTTCTTGTATCTCGAGGGTTCGTTTTCCGCCATCTGTTCGCTAAAAGAATCAACGCCCCATCCGCCTTTTGCCATCCGCCCCCTCCCTCAACACGTATAGATACTCTTGTTTGTATACGCAAATCTCGCGTGCGGCTCTCGATTACATTTAATTAAATCGCGAAACGCCGGAAATCAGGTGTCAATATACAATCAGGATGGATTGATGAAAGGGTATTATTAGATTATAAGTTATCTTGTTATAAATTAAATAGCAATTTTCGTAAATTTAGGACAAAGCAGGTGAAAAATACTGTTTAAATAACTAAGCGAATAAAAAAAGTAGAACGCTATTCTTTCACTACTGCAAAATTCCCCTGCAAAAGTTCCTTGATGCGTGCAGAATGCGATAGAGTTTTTTTTTTCGGTGCGCAGATTGATTTGATGGTGCGCGCCGGCTTAGTCCGTCAGCGCAGAATCAACATGACGTGCTCTTTCCCTCGATACAATCAATCTTTCGTCAGATTAGCGCCGAATGAAACGTTTTCCGGCGTCAACTGTTGCCAATGTTGCTTTCTATTAAAAGCTCTTTTTTTTAACGATCTATTCATTAGTTATCTTCTTATAATGACTAGCATTGATTTTCGATTTATTCCTTTCTATTTTTAATTAGGTTATACTATTGGAAGAGGCTTGGTCTGAATTGTTTCTACTTTGTGCAATACAATGGAGTTTGCCGATGGAACAATCACCCCTCTTCAATCCTGCCGACCATGCCCAACAGGGTAGTGCTAAATTACTGGCCGATGTCCGCCTTCTGCAAGAGATCTGCAATCGATTTAAGGCCGTTAGGGTAGATCCGGCCGAATTCGCTTGCCTAAAAGCGATAGTCTTATTTAAACCAGGTAAGAAGAAATTATCTTCCTCTTGATTCGTCACGCCCTTCGATCGCCTCGTCAAGGGACAGTGTCTTGCAAGTCTCGCTTCATTGCGTCCCCGCCTACCGCCCTAACGACTTGCCGTCGCGCCCTCCGCATATCATCATTGTACAGTCATGCGTGCACTTATCTATCCCCTTCTTATGCATTATAACAGAAACAAGAGGTCTGAAAGATCCCGCACAGGTAGAAAACCTTCAGGACCAGGCCCAGATTATGCTACACCAACATAGCAGAGCCCAACATCCAGCTCAATCAGTTAGGTTCGGTCGTTTATTGCTGATGCTGCCATCGCTTCGCTACGTTCCATCCGACCGGGTTGAAAACATGTTCTTCTCACGTACGATTGGTAACACTCCAATGGAGAAGCTGCTTTGTGATATGTACAAGAGTTAAATATACAGCGCTCTCCTATAAAAGACGCTTGAAATGGAGCGTCACTTTAATCTTATTAAGATCATAATTATTATTGTCATATCTGTTTTATGTATATTCATATGCATGAGTGTTTACACTTCCTCATATATTAATATATCTGTATAATTATGTTTATGGCGAAGTGTATATGTATTTTATGATGATTATAAGTAAGGTATTTATACACTTTTTGTCTGTGAATATGATTATATATATATAAGTATATTTCCAGTCTAAAAAAAGTGTATTGTATAAATTATCTAAGGGATGCTAAAGGCTGTATGAATTATATAAGATATTCGCATCTATTTATTTACAAGTTCTAAATATCACCTTTTTTTATTCATATACATTTCCCGCGTGTCGTGTTAGATGTTGTGTACTGGAAAAAGGAATAAATCGTCTCGAATCAAAGCGATCAAGAGATAATCTCATAACAAGGCGACTTGATGAAATCGGCAGATCTGATTATGTAAAAAGCTCGACCTATGCTTTGATAAATCGCTAGTCGATTGTATAAAATTCTAGACGAATCGATTAAGCAGAAATCACTCCAATCGATTTTTGTAGCGAGAAATCAAACGATTCTTTAATTTCTCTTTCTCAATCTTACTTGCCTCTTTCCGATCTCTCCTTCAATCATATATTTTCTCAACCTATTTAACCCTTTTCCTTTCTTATCATTCTCTTTTGGTTTATGACTTAATTTTTTTTTCATACATGTTTATTTTTCTTTAGATGTTGCTATCGTTTTCTCGTTGGCGACTAAAATTTCCTTATTTAAAATCTTTGCTATAGGTTGCACCTTATTACTGACCTCGTTTCGGACGTAGCTTTGCTCAGCAAACTATCTCGTCAATTTTGTCATTGACAAACTTCCTATATAATCGCATTACCAGCGGGAGAGAGAACGTCGCCTATATCGTTTCCGAAAGAAATTGACTGCATGCTTTGCGGTCGTTCTTAATGAAATCTTTCCATCAGAGATGCGATTACATGTGATCCACGGTTAAAGCCTTTGACGTCACTAGTCACAGGTGCAAGTTGCAACTTTTCATTTTCGCCGAGCACCAATTAGACGCCCGCTCATTTATTCATGCGTCGATCGGCTGGACAATAACCGACAAAGGATCGTTAGCGATATGAGAGAAAAATTATTTTTCCTTCCCCTTTTCCCTCCATCCCGATCCGCCCACTTCTTTTCTGTCTATCCTCAATTATTTTCTTCTTCCTTCCAACTTACAATAAGACTAAAGGTCGCTCATTATTTCGGGTCAAAAGTTTCCATCCCCTAATACGGTTTTCAGGCCAACGGTCGTCTATCGAACCGCACGCGATTGTTATTTCTTTATTAGTTGATTCTCATTTACTGCCATCTAGTGGCTATAAAAAGTAAATTACCAACTACTCTTGGTACTCCATTGTGTAATAGAGCGTCCTTTTCAAAGACGTGTTAACGCGTCTGTATGGTGAATATTTCGTAAAGTATAAATATTTTACTATTTTTGAACAAATAAAAAAGACGAATACTGGCAGTTCTCAACAGATAAAAGAGAAAGTCATTGTAATATAAAAGTTTCTTTATACGTGTAGTTGAAAGCTAAGCCAGACCGAATCCCTGACAACCTTCGTTTATAGCAACAGTTAAGCAGTGTTTCATCTGTTGGAGGCTTTCGTAACCGGGTAGACAAAGCTGATTAAAACTGTTTAGAGTAGTAATATTATTATACATTTCTGCTAATAGCTTTGTATCAGGTATTCTATATTAATACTGTATAAACTTACCACGTATGAGCCGTTGGTAAAACAGCAAATGAATTGGAAGCGCATATTTGAAACTTTGGTACTAGATTGGAAAAACCTCCAGATGGCAATTTTGAACATCCTGTAGTAAATTGTAATAATCTTGCCATTTCCGATTTTGTAAACGCAGATAATATGGTCCAGAACCAGGCTACTGTTTGACGAAATTCAGCACTAGAACCATTTAATGTGTGATTTTCTTTTAAATCGGCAACACTATAGTCACTCGAACCACAAATTAGTATCTCCAATTCGTTCTCGTCGAACATTGATAATAATTCATCGGGAACGAGATAATTGATACCTTTAATGAACTCTTCTACTTGACTCTTAACAAATCTCTCGAGTTTAAAATATGTTAAGAGTTTAATATATTCTCTTTTGTTTGATTCATTAACCGATTTATTTCTTCCATTTGCAATTAGATCGTATGTCGTGGAATTAACCTCTTCCGAGAAAGTCAAATCCAGGTCACTGATATAATTATTTGCAATATATTTGATTTTCGTCTGATATAATTCAGGACAGTCATGTTCCATATGCGAAACACTAACTTGTAGACCTAATATCATGGCAAGAAATGATCTTGTGAATGAAATGGGTACATATAAAGTGTATGTGGGGCCAAGGGAGGCTTCATATAAGCTCTTCCCAACAAGACGACCCGCAAATTCGTATATGCTTAGCGGTTTCTGATCTGTTGGGTGAATTAAGGTTTGAGTATTCTCTGGTTCAAGGCGGTTAAAGTAAACTGAGTATTCGGGATTAAATATATGATTGCACAAAAGCTCAAACCACTCCCTTTGAAGTCCTCCGCAGTCGATTCCTGAAAAACAAAAGCGCATTCATATTAATTACTATTAATTAACGTAGAAGCCATTTTCATTGAAATATCTAACCAGCTTCTCCTTTAAATGAAACTTCTAGTTTCTTGCACCAATCCCCTTTTGAAAAATTCTTCAGTGCTTTTAAGGACTAATAAATATTTAAATTAGAAAGATACATATCAATCATTAATCGGCTAGAAAATTATTGTTACTTACTGAGTTAACAATATTAAAACGATTAACACTTATTTTTATTCCTGTATGAGAGTATTTTGAATATTGCTGCCTTAAACTATGATGAAAGAAACATTTCTTCTCTTCAAACGTATTCGAGCCTCCTGTGTAAGAAATCAGAGATATGACAATAATTAAAAATGATAGAGAATTCTTACCAGTGTTAAGAAGATAAAAATGAGTGAAGGCAGCTGCTATATAATTAGCATTTTCTGACTTAATTGTAACCGAACTTTCATTAGTATCTCGAATCACAATTTCATTCGAGCCGGGAATTATTCTCGTACTCGAATTAATTCTAAACGTAAATAATTTAATAGGAAATAGGAGTAATTTTGTCTTTTTAATAGAGAGTTGCTGTTGTTTAAAAAAGAAAAAGAGAATACAGTAAAGGGAATATGTAAATTGTTTAAATACAGAAATATACTTTATATAGTATATACAGTATATTAATATACTAATATATACATATGAGAAGTTAATCAGTAAAAGTAATAAAAAATATGAATGTAATGAAAAATTATAAAAACCTTATGAGAAAGGGAAATATAGATTTTTTTCGGTTTAATTAAATCAACATCTCCAATTTTAGTTATTTTCCCGTCATAGTACACATTATGCTCTTTCAGGGTATCCTTTTCAACTCTTTTACTTTCAACATCTATAAGAATAATTTTATTTAATATCTAATTATAGAAATCTTGTTTTTCGATAAAAAACATAAAAGAGATATTAAATATTTACGATTTAAAACTAACAACCAAAATTCTCCATTTGCAAATACATCTGATTTATACGATATTTTAACCCAAAATGGACCACTTATTTTTGGTCTAGATGTTAATTCTACCAGTTTATCTTTTCTCATAACCCTGAAACTTAAATTTTCAGTACGTCCATTTAGGTTTTTTAGTTCAATTTGGTAGGCTGAATTTTCTTGATCATCGAAACATGGATTACCATATTCATCACGAGGTTGAATTTGTATAGTCCATAATGAATTGACTGTACAAACTTGAGTTATATTATTGTTCATTAGTAGGTTCGATTTTCCCATATTAATTGACTTTGGATTAAATGAACAATAATACGGACTAGACGATATATGCTTATTGTTAATCATTACAGATATTTTATATGAACCAGATCTATGAACGCTAAATAATACTTCGATAGTATTGCCGTGGATTTTTTGAGTAGGTGATATAACGATATCTCCGAGAATAATATCAATGGAAATTTTATCGTGCTCCTGCAAATGATAAGCGAATCCGTTACCCTTGAGTAGCTGCAAGAGATTTAGTATTCTTTACAATAAATAGAATTAGGTTTGATTTTTATTCTTTATGAATTTTTACCTCTATGGTAAAGCTTAGAGTCTCTCCAACGACTGGATTAGTAAATCCAAAGATAACTTTACTCTTCTTTGACGATAAATTAAACAAATAATTATTCTTTAAAGGAAAAATTTCCGTAAGAGTTGTAGTGACGTTTCGATTGGACGAAATCGTTGGTTTTAAAAATACCAAAACAAGGCATGTAATATAAAAATATATCAAATAAATCCAAGTCCATCGTGATTTTTGCACATTATTAATACATTCGTTTAGTATATCCTCTTCTAATTTTCTTAGTGATAATTCATTAGAAATGGAGTTGTGTAGAAGTTTCTCTTCGTATAAATGTCGGAGGGAGTAGTTATATTTTTTGATCACCCTACATAAGTAGAGAAAACTCAATATGTAAAAATATCCGAAAGCTTATTTCAATTTAATTGTTGAACTACAACTTGTTTTATGAATTGATTTATCATTGATTCCTTCTAAAACATTATACAAAACTTGAGTCTTATAATCATAATATATTGCTTAGATTTATAAAATTGATAAAAAAAATTACAACATTTGATGTAGAATAGTCGTTAAATAGAAAATCTATAAATAATTGGTCATTGAACTCATAAGAGGACAAATTGCGCCTTATGACAGATAGTAGTAAATAAAGTAATATCGTGTAATGGTATTAAACCGTTTGCTTACCTTGCTTTAGAGCTAATTAACAAATAATTTCTAGTCTTTATGAAGTGTTTCAAAATAACACTATCTCTTTTTGTCATAACGTTCTCAAAGACTCGACGTTTTTCCTCATCCGTTAAATTATAGTAAGCCTCCAGGCTATTCATCTCAAAATCTCTCAAACACAAAGGCAAACTTTTACCTTTAATGCAAAATTAAAACATAACGATTTATATTAAAGACAAATTGATAATCCATAATTTGATAAATTAAACTTACAATATCTAGTAAAAATGAAGTGATATTTTGTCATTTTCACTTCCCTTAACCATTCGTCTAATTCCTGCCGGATTTCATTATCTCTGGCATAACGTAATCGAAACCATATGCTAGTAACAATGACACAGATAGTCAATATGCTCCTCATATTTCTGTCCTTGAATATTTCTCGTATCAGTATAATCGCTTCTCTCTTTGTAAGGCTTCGTAGACTGATCTTTTAGTCTTTCTTATCATTTTGTATCATTCTTTTAAATCTGAACCTAATATTATCGAAAAATAATATGTGACTCACATACAGTGATTTACAACGGAAGCTGAATAAAATGCTTTAATCCCATATATAAAGCGACCTTTTACGATGATAAATAAAGACATCGTATTGTTTCAATCGAATACTTTTCGATTACAAAAACAAAAATAGAATATTTTTAAACTTCATAGACAATCACGTATTTAACCATTTCCGTTTTACATTTTAGTCATTTCATAAATAACTAAATTTGCATAAATTAACGACAAAACAACAGTATGCTTCTATTAATAATTTTTCTATTGTATAAGTTCAAAAACGAACAGAGCAGCTATAAACACAGCACAATAGCTTATTTATATTCTTTGTTAAACACATAGTCACGCATTATTTCAAAAAAAAAATATTATAAAATATGGTGGATAAAGCTAAGAGTAAATTTTAATAAAAATTAACGCATTTTCTTCTTCGCTAATTTTTAATCGCGTAATATACAATTGACCTAATTTCGTCTAATTTACATAAATTAGCATGCTACTTAAGAGTGGAAAAAAACTTAAAGAACTAAAAAAGGTTTCTATAAAGATTTTTGCATATAAGAATTCCGCCTAAAATAGCTAATGTTACATTCATAAATAAGGTTAAAAAAGGGTCATACTAGCATTCTCTATTGTTTTATAATAAATAAATGCCTTCTTAGGTTTCCGATCTAGTTTATAAACTATAGATAGATGCTTTATAATGGACTATCATATATATAAGTGTTTGTTCTAGCTGCCATGTCGACATTGAAGATACAAATTCATGTAGGACATATTTTTAATATTTATTACATTGATAACTTTAATAGAATAATCGTCCTTCCAGGAATCACCACATTTAGTTTAGAATAATTTTCTGGAATGTTATTGGCTATTACATAACGAGAATATACTGGGAGAAGCATATAGTAAAAGTTTTACAACATATATAACACTTGATTTTTTCTCTTTTCAAATAGTAGAAATTATTTTTTCTCCTCTGATTTTTCGGCCTTTTCTTCGGAAAACAAGGGATTATTTACTTCAAGTTGTCCAGCAGGTGCCAATCCAGGACACTCATAAACTGTAAAATCGCCATCGGCTTTTTCATCCTCGCTGTCAACGTCGCTTTCCCCTTCCTTCTTTTCACTGTTTGCTCTGAAATTTTTCAAGTAAAAATAAGTGACCTCGAGACAAAAAATACATTTTTTTTATTACTTTTCCATTGCCAACATTTGTTGCTTTTGATGTTGATAGTGATACATTTGTGCGCTTTGCGCTAATTTTCGATCTCCACTATTTGAGTCCTTCCGTTTAGCGGGTCCCGTAACGCCATATGCAGGATAATCAGTTTCAGAGGCTGCTTTAACATTCCTTTGTAATTTATACCAGCAAACTCCTGCAACCACGAGACCGACTAGGCCCGCAGCAGAACAAGCTGCTACAATTGCTGTAAATGCATATAAGCGATGAACAAAATATATACATTAAATTTGCATAAAACAGTTTGAAGGGTGAATTACAACATTATTCTGAACAAAAATCAAGAGTTAAACAGTGTAACTTTCCTACCAATAAAGGATGCGTCACCAAAATCGGGTTTCAATCCAGTCTCATCATTGCCTTTCGATTTTTCAACAGATGAATTATTGTTAGATGACGTTGAGGCTATGGGGGAGGAAGAAGACAAATTGTACAACATGCACTAAAATGATTCATGCAACCTATCAGTTCATCTCCCTTTCATTTTTTCCACCCATTAGTATTTTTCCCTCCCATTATAGTAATGTTAATTCGCATAAAACGAAAATAAGTGAAAAGAAAAAGAACAGGAAAAAACTAATGGCACATCAAAGTTAAAAATAATTCAAAGTACCCATGAAGTTAACGTCTGTAATGGAATCATTATATTGTTTTCCTTCACCGTTAATATCCCCCTGTTTGAATGGACGAGGAGGCTGCTGAGAAGAATAGTCGTTCAAATCCTTTGGTGTATCAGTTACTGCAATTATATCCATGATCAATAAATGCCGATAGGCACATTCAAGGTAAATAGACTCTTATTTCTTTGTTTAAGCTATATTAAAATTTTGGATTAGCTATTACCAAAAAAAATTAAAATAAAAACATTTTCATCCCTCCTCCAAAACATATGTTACTTAAGTATTTCATATTAATATTTTATAACTTAAGCAGAATTTACATCGTGAAATTTTTAAATTGTTAAGAGTGTATCAGTAAATAATTACCTTCTGGAACAGTAACTGCATCTTGCAACTCTCTTCTCTCGTTAAATGATTTTTTTGCTCTCGACAATATTTTAAGATTTTTTATAATAGACGATTCCTCTGAAAAATATACTTGTATTTAGACTAAATAAAGTAAACACTATTTAACAATGCAAGTGAATAAGTTTGGCTCGATAAATATAGCTATAACTATCTTTCACCTATACATTTCCTATCATTTTATTAGAATTTTGCGAATATTTTGCGTCTACTTTTTGACAAACCTTTTACAGCATACGAGGGTTGTACGAGGAGTTGGAGCCCCACACCCAGCCATAAATAGGCCGTTAAAAGGGCTCCGAAATGACAGAACATTCCCTACATCCAACAGCTGCTGGTGCAGAATGACGTCACTCGTTATAGTGTACAGCAAATCGATAAAGTGCTGCCACATAGGCCTATTATGTATAGGTTGATTATTTAATACTGCCATCTGTTATCACATTGATTCAAAAAGACAGTAAAATAAACTATCAACCTAGCTCATTAATAAATTAGGTGTAGTATTGGTTTTATACATTATTAGCATAAAAATGTAAATAAAAAAATACTAGAGGATTGGCTAAGGATTAATTTTGATATTTTCAATATAATACCGCATATAACTATATAACTCTATGCAAGTGCAAGCGCCAGTTTTTAGCTTCAATTAGTCATAACTGGAAGTAATGATTCAAAACTTGGCCACAGACGTTACCGGTATGCAATACATAATTAAATTTGTTTCAATTTCAATGAGAACGCGGAAAACAATACCAAAACAACACATCGTTAACAGACTGTATGTTAATATGTACGAATAAATATGTGTATGACGCATTGCAAAGGTTCAATAGGCCTCTAAGAATAGCCTAGTAGAACAGGTTTCTCTTTTTGAACACTAGTGAATGACTGTAATAGACGTATGTTGAATTTCGATGCTTTGTTCACTTACCCTCTGCGGGATTTAATTCACAAATTCCATCATGAGCAATAGTCCCTTTTACACAAGATCCACATTCACATGGATTATCCCTCTTTTTCTATAAAGTGATAATTAACGTTTAACATTTAACATAATAAAATATAACAAAGAGAGTATACCAGTCTTTTTAGAAGATAACAATTTAAGCTACAATCTTCTTCTGGAGTAAGACCAGCCATACCTAGAAACAAATTCGATTATTAGCTATCTATAATTAGACAAGTGACAAAAAAATATATTACCATTTACGCTAATAAGTTCATTTCCTATAAAATAAATAACTATACACAAAATAAAAACATTCATTTTCATCATCATTAAGGTAAATGAATTCTGAACAAAAAAGATAAAACGTCCAATCAGCAATGTGAACGATCCAACGGAATATCAAATATAATATCTCTTTTTAATCACTTTTCATAACATTTCAATGATTGATAATTTTTTGTATATTCCAAGTATTCTCTATAATCTTTGATGTTCTCAAAATAGTGTCAATTTAACAGACCATCTGCCTCAATAGGAAAACCAAGTTTGTCCGTTAGATGACACTAGTAGCGGAGTTCCGCTTCCCATTACTTTGGAAATCTCGTGAGATTTTACGAGTTTTTTTTATGGAAGTTCGTTTTACCAAAGTTTTCTTCGACAATTTAAAATATTTTCTTTCAGTCTTATGGTGATATATATCACTGAATTTTATTAAAGTAGACGATGATTCGTAGGGGTGAACCAGCTTTCGCACCCTGTAGACGGTAACTATTTACAAGACTTTTTTGTTATTGTATAATATCGCTCTTTGTTTTACGCGCTAACAGCAAAAGACGAATCTTAGAAAGGAATAATCCACCTCGAAAGCATCCTTTGGCACAAATGACTGGTGGTTATAAAAATATTCTATCAGGGCAAAAAACTCCTGAAGGTAATCTATAATATAATTGTGTACAAATGCATATTATTAATATTAGATAAGTATTAATAATAAATTTACAAAAACTGATAAAAATAAGAGAAAAGTTGATTTTTTATTCTTAATTGATCAACTCATTATAGTGCTCTCAAATTTTATTAATGTAAATTGCATTGAGTCATGAGTAATGAATACTAAATATTAAATGCTTAACAAAGTCGACGGATGCAGGTAATGAAACTGTTGTGACGTTGTTACGACTGTCTATTGATTACCCGTGTGCACCTTCTACACTTTTAATTGTTTTGATATGTAGTTTGCAATTAAATTAATCTACGTTTATCCTTATTTTTTTTTAAAATACCAAAAATTACTTTTCTTTGTTACACTACATTGATTTACGTATTTACGTCTAAAAGACGTAGACGATGCAGTTCTGATAAGTTGCTAACGTCATTCGTAAACACGGTTGTTTGTAGACTGCGCCATGAGTCACTAGTGACTAGGTAAAATTCCCTAACGTAATCGCTGTAAAATTTCTCGTTGTCACTCTAGCTTGCTCCGTTTCACGTAACATTTACTTTATAACATTAAACAACTACTTTCTTTTAGTCATGCTTGGTGAATATACGTCTAAGGATGGAAAGTTTGTGCCTAAAGTTGGAATGCCTTTACTTATTGGTCGATATAGATTTGTAAAAGTACTAGAGTTTGGGCAGTCTGCCTGTGTTATCTTTGCAACGGTTAGTACATTTTGTAATTTATTTTATTTTTTTTCGCTGAAGAAATCAAAGATAAAGCGGTATGAAATATATTTAATTTATGATTCAGGATGAATGTAATGATAGCAAACCGGTCAGCATCAAGGTAATGCATATTCAGAATACGACAGTCTCTTATCAAGAAGCTGATTGTTTAGTAAAATTAAATGAAGCTGATACATATAATGCATCAGCAACAATTACTCTTTTACATACGTTCATGTTTGATCAACATTTCTGTATGGTTTTTGATTTATTACAACCTACGGCCTTAACTAATTATTTCAAGGCCATGAAAAGCGAAGAAGCTGTTTTGAAAGGAATCCGACAAGTTGCCATTCGTCTCTTAGTTGCGCTTGGTTTCCTGGAAAGAGAGAATACCTTACACGCAGATATTAAACCATCCAATGTGCTGCTCAAGCGAACGAATGACTTCTATTCTTGTACGCTTATTGATTTTGGCAACGCTATAAAATGTATCGAAGAAGAACTATCGCTCTATTACGATGACTACAACTTAGTTACGTTACTTTATCGACCGCCAGAAGTAATGTTTGGTTGTGGTTTTGGTCTTCCCGTTGATATGTGGTCACTTGGGTGCGTTTTAGCGGAACTTTATTTAAAAACGCCAATATTCGTTGGAAATGACAAAATGCAAATCATTAGGAGAATGACTAATGTTTTAGGTTTTGTTCCGAGACACCTATTTTATAAGGGAATGTACTACGACAGCTTACAGTCTTTCACGTACGACATTGACGAGCAGATGCCAGCTACGTTACGGTTAAAAAATTATGCTCATATCAATGATATAAATTTCTGTAGTTTTCTTGCCGGGCTCTTCCATTATGATCCGGCGAAGAGGATGACACCATCAGAGGCAGCTAAACATCCTTTTTTGGCATCTGAATTGGGAATCTTATATCTTCAACCACGACAGCCAAACGACCAACCTCATTATACACCAATAACACTTACTGCTAAAGATTACAATGCTCGACCAGTTATCAATGGACCACGGAAGAGCCTTGACTCAATAGATCTCCTTCGTTCTCCCACCTCTTCAACAGTGCTAAAACCTAAGCCAAGAATAGCCGACGTTTCGACAAATATTTTATCATCAGTGAACTGGGAAACGCGTTCCGATAGTAACAATAATATGAATTCAGCTACACATTACAAAGAAGCTAAACGCAAACGGAAACGCACTAGTACATCAACGGCGTCAATTGCTTATAGTGACCATTACAAAATAAAATCGAAAAAGTAGGTGACATTTCGAAAAAAAACTATAATCAAAAGGTTCAAATTCCTTTTTTTCCGAAGTCTAACGATTATTTAATATGTTGAAATAAAATTTTTCTATCAAAAGTCGTTTTTCGACAATAGACTTATTTGTTTTCTATTATGACAATGTTTAAAGTTTCTATGCTATTCGAAAGCTGCCACTGCAAAAAAAAAGCCATTTATCAATAATTCATAATAGGGGAGGGAGTTTTAAATATAATTAACTATTGAATGACTGCAGGCGCTTTCGAAGAAGACTGGTAAATACCGATATTGGCGAGGCTCTAAAAAATCTGTCGCCAGGTGGCGATAATTTCGATTTTTGAGAATTCCTCGGGAATTCCCCTTTACCTATCTCTTTGTTACTCATATTTATCAGTACAGGTGTATAATATTCAATCGTTCTATCTTGATATCCGTTAAGGGAATATTTTTTTGCACCCAATATTGATATTTACACCTTTTGGATTTGGATTTTATGAGGAAGAATTTTTTTAAAGGATAGTTTTAAAATATTTCAGAGGTTATCTACCTTATCTACACATGGAGATTTTATTTAACTAAAAGGAGTTTATCACCCTCTCTTTCATCATGTGGATATATCTAGTGCTAATTACTTGCTCAATTTTCTTACCATCCAGTTTAGAATTTGATATAACGAATGGTGGAACTATCAATGAACAGTATACACTTCGAAAGAGTGGCAGTCCATATTCTGTAAGGAATCATCTTTTTATAGGAAAAAATGGTAAATTAACTATAGAAGCTGGCACAGAAGTAAGATTTGGTCCAGGTGTTATGTTAGCTGTGAATGGAACATTATATGCAAAGGTAAATTACAACACAATAGAACATTCTTAAGTACTTCAATAGTCTAAACTTATAGTAATCATATAAGTTCTTATCATCTTTTTTTATTACAGCTAATTAATATAGATCTATCCTTAGAATATATATATATATATATATATTTATGCATAATTATTTCCTTCCAGGGTTCAGAAGAAAATAGGATTATTTTAACGAAAGCGAGAGGATCGTCGAAAGATCATCCAGTTTGGCCTCAAAAAGCAAGATTAGTTGACGAAAGAAACATCCACTTCGGTAGATTGCAAATATTTCACAGAGGTGAATGGAGAGGTGTCTGCTCTAGCCATCAAAAGTACACTATTTTCTTATCATTTGTTTATTTAATTTGTTAAAAATAATATTTTTATCTACTTTATAAAGCTGGACTGCTGATGATGTAGATGTTAGTTGTCGTGAAATGGGTTTTGCTAGAGGAAACTTTAGCGGCTTTCTGTCTTTTGCAACAAACGATTCTCATTTTATGCTGCTTAAACAACCAAATTGTACCGGACGAGAAAATTCTATTTTAAATTGTAAAGGCGGTCAAAATATAAAAATAGGATCAAACGCGTGTCTTAATCAATTAACTGTACATCTTCATTGTGAGGGAGTAAGAGAAGATATGGCAACAAATCATTGGTGGGGCTTAGAATTTTATAATTCATCAAACACTTACGGAAATGATGGCTTTGGTAGAAGTGCTTGGAATGAAAGTACCAGTGTATTAGAATATGTAGATATAAACTACGCGGGAATTGACGATACAAGAAATTTAGCAGCTGCTGTAAGGGCTTCACCCCATGTCCCTTTCCTAAAACAAGTTAGAATAGCCCATTCAGCGTATGATGCAACGAATTTCACGTTCGTGGAATCTTCAACAATTGTCCATGGAACTGAATTTATTAACAATGGTGGGCATGGATTAGTAGTTGAGACAATATTTGGAGCTATAGACATAAGAGACTCAAAAATGATAAATAATAGAGGTGCTGGAGTAAGAGCCAAAATGTATGACAAAAGGTGGCCAGTCTGGGATATTGACGACACGTTCTGTAAATCTTCAATAAGCGGCTATATTCAATCTTTTCCCCAAGTTTTAACCGGGGTTAAAATTGACGGAACATTCTCCTGTACAAAAACTTATAGGTAAATAAAAAACAATTTATAATTCGATTAGCCGTAAAATTGTGATTACTATCTATAGGACCAGAGAGAATGAAAGGCTAGCCATAACAGTTTTAGAATTTGATAAGGAATATAATGATAAAGTAAAAGGTAGTATCATCCTAAGTGACGCAAGATATCTTCCTAAAAAACGATTGGCGTTTTGGTCAATAAATAATAACACGATGCCAGCAACATTTGTCTCACCAGGCGAAGTTGTAGAAGTAAAATTCAGTTGGAGCCTTCCTCACGGGTTTTATTGTAAGGAATTGAAGTATTGCATTAAATTTGTTCTACTGATTGAATCATTCAACGAAATGGAACTTACTTCTAGAGAGCTCTTTATCAATAATTCATTAGTTTCTCAAAACCTTCAACATGGATTATTTATTGAGAATATGCGTAACTATGTGTTTATCAACGCAACAAACGTAACAAGTTCGTACTACCTTTTTTCCTTTTTTCATGTCATTTAATTTGTTATTTTAGCGTTACTTTCATGTTTTTATCAATTGTTTACATTGTTGCTTACAGATAGCGGCTATAGCGCTGGGATAAGGGTACTTGGAGGTGCCGGTATTATAAACGTTAATAAATCCATTGTCACTCACAATAGAGATAACGGAGTAAATATTACATATGATGGCGGAAAACGCTTCTTCAATATGTCAACATTTAGCCATAATCTGGGTAATGGAGTTAATATTACCCTTAATGAAACTGCGGTAATGAATAGAACCCGTCACACTTACGAACAGGACACTCTAGTTCGAGAATCATCATTTGAATTGAACGAAGGATTTGGAATTAGAGTTAGCAATTCCTGTCTAACTGGTAAAGTCTACGTTGTTGACTGCAATTTCTATCAGAACTTGTTAGACGGAGTTAACCTTGAGTCATGTTTTCGGAGAGTTGATAAGGCTAATGCTACTAATTTTACTATAGGCTATTCAAGATTTGACGGAAATCAGGGACACGCAATCCGCATAACTCCCATATTGAACGCAATTGGTTTAATCTCGAATTCAACGTTCTTAAACCACAAAAGACATGTTATTCTTATTGACAATACTGATGACTTCGTTCTCCAAAGAGACTATAACCAACATCCAGTATTTTATGAAATATCCACTAATACTTTTCAATCAAATTCTGGCTTTTACGTCCTAAATCTGCGACTAAATGAAGGTTCTAATGTTCAATTCCTTAAAGTTATATACAACACTTTATCTTACAATAAAATAACTGGTGGATTTCCTTATCTTAATGCCCGATCAAGATTGCATGCTGTTGCTATAATATCCTCAACAAATATTAACTTTACCAGGAATTATATGATAAATCAGCAATCGTCTTTTGAAGTAGCTACACAACTGTCGGACAAATCTAAAACAATTAACTGCCCTATACTTTTCTGGGGAACTACCGATTATAATAATATAGTAACTAGGATTTTCGACCAATTCTCCCGATTTGATTTAGCTTTAATAGAATATTGGCCCGTATTAAGGAGTGAAATACTCTACAGTCCTTGGCAGTTTACTACTAAAGATACGCCTAGAATAGAGATGAAATTTGAGAGAGGAGAAGTTATTGGTGGAATGTTGGGATCGGATCAAGATCCTAGACGGAAAAGATTTACTGCTGTTCGTGGTAGAACCTATATAGTTGATAGAGATATTAATGTTCTCGAGAATGGTGAGATGATTTTAGAGCGTGGATCAACTTTATTGTTCCCTAATGCTATTGGAATTCATATCGGTGGACTCTTAGAAGTATCTGGTACCAAATTTGAACCAGTGCGCCTTAGCTATAGAAACATGACTGATCAAATGCATTATAATAATTCAAAAGTTAGACTATCTAATGGATTTTCCGGTCGTGTCGAAATATTACCAGATAACGAAACTGAATGGGGTACCATATGTAACGAAGGATGGACCAAAACAGATGCTTCGATTTTATGCAATATGCTGGGATTAGTCATACATCCTGATGACTTTTTAATAGACTTACCAGAACCGGGAACTGGGCCTATTTGGAGAAGCTATTTAAAGTGTACTGATCTAGATACCGATATTACAACTTGTCGAGGTGACAATAAGCATTCATGCACACATGACCAAGACGTGGCAATAAAATGCCATTTACCTACATGGGCAGGAATGAGAACTCTTGCTCAAGCGGCTGTCAGAAGATTTGAACATATGGAAATATCAAACGCAGGTTTGCTGGATCCAACGTCAGCGGAATACGCTGCTGGACTTCGAATTGATTACAATCAGTATTTTATTGAAGATATAGTGGTTAAAAATTGTAAGCATAATGGTATTGAAATATTTCATGCTGCTCCTGCTGCTGATAAAGTACCAAAGGGCACAATTTCTAGGGCCCATGTTCACTCTAACTTAAAATCTGGTATTTCAACTAGATATTCCTTTTTGGAAGTAAGAAACTCAATAATTGAAAATAATGGTCATGCTGGAATTGAGTATAATCCTGTTTTAAGTGGCTTAGAGGCAAGGTCTATTAAATCTGGGATAACAGATTTAAAATATATAGAAGATTTTGATGATAAAACAATCGAAATTCCTAAGGAGAATCAAATTTTTTTGTCAACCAGAGAACAGTCTTCTCCTCCCAATATAATTTATAAAGTACAACTTCGTACAACAGATCAAAACTATTTTCTCGTCGTAGATTTGATTGATTGGAATCCCCAGACTGAACAGGAGAATTTAACGGTTGTTGATGGGAGAAATGATGAAAATAGAAGATATGTTCTTGAGTATAACGTTGCCGAATTTCCTTTTGTTGCTAGTCAAAGATATGTAACCATATATTATGGTGTAACAACAAGGAAATCTGGTAGAATTACTCTTGGTATCACATCAAGACCTTATAACCGATGGCCTTATCCTTATCCGTGGATATTAGTTAAGGACTCGACTCTGTCAAAAAATAACTATGGAGTGATAACAAGATTCTACAATCAAGAAAGTAACGAATTTCTTCATACCTTCAATCGATTTCGATTTGATAGTATTAGTCTAATAAATAATAAGATTGAATATAACCGAAAAGAGGCCATTTTAGCTCCTAGCCTTACCAAATATCACGAATTGTACGAACCTACTTGGGAGGAAAGGCAAAAAGCTGGTCTTATTGGAGAAGTTGTCTACGAAGTTACAAATTGCACAATAAAAGGTAACGGTGGTGGTATTAGAGGAGAACATAATCATGTTGAATTTGCTAACAACGTATGGATATGGAAAATTACTGAATCAAAATTTTTGAATAATAAGCAAGGAGGTATCTTCCTTGAATTGCCAAAAGTACAAATGATGTATCATGAGTGGATTTTTAATCACAGTATACAAGTAAACCATTCATCCTTTATTGACAACGAAAAATTTGAATTTAGAATTGGTGGATTTTACTGCAACTCTACGGTCTTTGATAATAAATTTATCAATAATGACTGCTCAAGAAGTTGTTTAGAAATATCTGGCACTGAAAAAGATATTGAGGTTCATAACAATGAACTAAGAGATAATACGGGTAAACATATCATTGAATTTCATATGAAATCTCATACCCCTTATACGCAATGGGTCGATGGCTCAATGTTTGAGAATATTATACGAAATAATAAGCCTTTAAGGGATGATAGTAGTGCAGTGGCTATAAAGGGCGTTCAGAACATAACGATTAATTATAATATCCTTGAAAATGACGAAATGAATTTTGAGTTAGTTGGTGGTCAAACTTCTTCTGTTTTGGAGGAGTATCTGGATTGTAGATACAATTTTTGGGGATCCACAAATGCTGAAGTTATATCAAAGAGGGTTTTCGACTTTGATGATTGGAATAATTATGCGATTGTAGACTTTAAGCCGTATTTGGAAACAGATCGATTCAATGCAAAGGCAATTGATAGTCAAGTTATCAGTACCTCTAGGGGACCCCAAGAACTAGGTGGTAGGATTACGGATAGTGTTCTTTTAAGAAAAGCAAATAGCCCGTATACAGTTGTGAAGGATTTGACCATTATGAGCAATGGATTTCTAAGAATTGAACCAGGAGTTGAAGTCATGTTTAAACCGAATGTTGGTATCCTAGTACTCGGAAGTTTGACTGCAATGGGCACCAGCAAAGAGCCTATAATAATGAAACCAGTTGAAAAGAATTCCCTATTCAGAAAAAAGAGGAGTACGAATAATATTTCGCTTAGGCTAATTGGAGGCAAAACGAAAGAAGAGGGCTTCGTTCAAGTGTATAATGCTACGGAGAGAAGGTGGACTTTAATATGTGATCCTCATTTCAACGATTACACAGCTATGGTTATGTGTAGGACACTAGGCTTTGAGGATACTAATGTTCTCGTTACCAGAAGTAGATATTACGATTGGTTCGTTCTTGGCTATCCTAAAATGCATGAACAAGTTGTTGAATGGTTTTGGAGAGATACTTTCATATGCGATGGAACCGAAGATAGCTTGGAATCCTGTAGATATAAGCTCAATTTTCACGTTCTAGCGTGTATGAAAAATAGACAGTATGTCTATACAAGATGTGGTCCTCGGAAAATTGAAAAAACTAAACATTTCTGGGGCAATATTCGATTTTCTAGTACTTTTCTAGATGTCGGGTTAACTGTTGCAGGTGAATCCATTTTAGAATATGTCAACATCGAAGGTGCTGGAATGTTACACGGCGAAAGAGCAGCTGCAGTTGAGTCTGTGTATCAAACGCCTGCAATTAAGCATGTAGAAATTAAAAACTGTGCTTGGAACGGCTTTGATTTTATATCCCCAAAAGGAGCTTTCGACGTTGAGAGAACGGTAGTCAAAGATGTATCGGGTTACGGTCTAGGTACAATTGTCTTGAGAGGAGATTCAGATTATACCAATGATATTCCCAGCTATATTCCACTTGTCGATTCAACAATACCTTATGATGTTCAAGGAATAGTAAGAATGTGCACTGTAGATCGTCTAATTACTGTTGATAAAAGAGTACTCGTCTATCACAAATATTCGTTCGAAAATATTGATTGCTTGAAGATATTCAGGTCAAAGGAAAGGAAGAAGAATCTTGGCTTCCGATTTTTACAGTTTAACATGTATAATGATTCTTTCTATGACAATGCGGTTGAAATATACCAAACGGAATTCTTTGACGATTATTGGTTGTTGGGATCTGTCAATGCTACTAGTTCTGATAAAATGAAAGCTAAAAAATATGAAACTAACGGAAATATTGATACTCTGAGTTTAAGAATAACTGCGTCAGCTGCACCAGGTTCTTACGGATTCATAGCTGAAGTTGTATCTTTGCCCCCAAGCGTTGAGTGGTCACCTGATCTCGAGAATAGAGAAAGACAGCGGATTAGGGAATCAGTATTAACTTATAATCAGCGAGGAGCATTTTCATTCTCAAATGTAGGAGAATTAAATCCAGCAGTTGTTGTTGAGCATTGTAAAATGGAACATAACGGCTATAAAGTTCTTAATAATACCTCTCCTCCAGTAATATTTGGTCAAGTCCAAAATTCAAAGTATTTAACTATTGCCAATAATTTCTTGGGATATAACTACGGCGGGTTAAAGATAAATTCCGTAGTCAAAACTAAATCAAATGCCATCTATGCCAATATATCGAATAACGTAATTGTCCATAATTCTCACGGATCACCTATGGAGATATCTGGACATTATTTTCAAGTTTTCTCCATAAGAAATAACTATATTGCACACAATGATGCCGAATTTAGGAATGCGATTGAAATGTTCAATATTTCTGTCAACTTTAGCAATAACTTTATCCTAAGGAATAGAGCTGGTTGCATATTGAATATGTCGATACCTATTCAAGCCTCTGTACAACAGCATTATAAACATAATGCATTTTGGGAAAATGAGGCGATTGGACCATTTTCAACAACTATGTATGCTCAATCGGCTAAGCAATCTTTTACCAATAATTTCTTCCTTAATCGTTGGAATATATACGAGTTAGTTACATTTAATAGAAGCAATCCGAAAATAAATGAACATCCTGTCGTTCAAGCAAAGTATAATTGGTGGGGAAATCCTACAAGATCGTTTGTTATGGGTCGAATATGGGATAGGAAAGATGATAATTATCTTATTGCTGTTAATTTTGAACCGCACTTGACATCAAATCAGACAATTGTTCAAGGAAAATGTTGGCCCACATGGAGACTACATAAGAATAAATGTTATTATTATATGGGTGGAGCAATGACATATTTTGAAGCGAAAAGCTATTGTAAGAGAGAGAGATCACTTTTAGCTATTGCTAAAGATGGCAATAGGAAAAGATTCCTTTCTAACTACATAGCATCTCTTCAAGGTAAAGACTATACTGAATTCTTCAGAGTGTGGGTGGATAGCGACGACTACAACGATAGAGGAGATTGTATGACTTTGGAAGATGAAGATTTAGAAAGCGATGATTGTAATCAACTGCATCCGTTCGTTTGCGAAAGAGATCCTTACAAAGGTCAAACTATTGACAAAGCCGTTATAATCGTCTGCTGTGCTGTTGTTGGTGCTGTTATGTTTGTAGTGATTATTCTAATAGTCTTTGCCATAATTAAGAAGAGGGAAAGAGCACAGTAATTATCTTCGAAATCTAATTTTTTTGTATTTGTGAGAATTCTATTAAATAATTATTTTTCTTCAGGGAAATGAACGATCGTAGAATGATGACAAAATCTCGTCTCAGGAGTTCTCAAGCTTCCCTTCATTCAAACTCTCGCTGGGACGCTGCTTCGATTGGTTCCACCAAAAAAATACGACCAAAATGCGGTCCTGTTGACAAAGGATCGGCGGCAAATCGCATGTTAAATATAACTGGAGTAACACAAGATGAAACTTTAGACCACGAAGAATACCCTTCCAAGTCATTCGGTCATACAACTCTGAATGATCAGAATCCGTCCCCAACAGATACTTCATTTTCCTATTATGGTTCAGACGTTCAATATGCTCCTCCTGGTAGAAGAGAGAATGAAATTCGACGTTTACAAATACCACATAGGCCAGTTGTTGATTTACAGAGTATGAGATCGGCAGATTCTCACCCTACGATAGATATGGGGTTCGGCTCAAGAGACCACTTAGCCTACGATAGGGGTCAACCATATCCTATTCCATATAGGATTGGTGATGCAGGCTACGCCGACGGAAATCTTGACGAATCAGTGTACGATCAGAGTAGATCTAGATATAATTCGCGAAATGATATAGACACAGCGGGAAGATACGACAGAACAGAAACACTTCCAATAAGAGATCCTAGAGCCCAACATCAAAGAGAAACCATAATGTAAAGTTTTTATAGGCTGATAGGTGTATAAATATAGAAAGATATGTGATTTATATATACTGTATATTACAGATTCCAAACAACTTAAACCTACTTTTTTTTTGTTTTACAAAGCTCTTTTATACTATACATTGTTTGTTAATAAAATATAAACTGATTATTTGATTTTAGAAACAAAATTTGACAAATTAATTTGCAAATGTAAAATTAGATTCTTTGTTGTTTTTTTTTTTTTAAAAAAAATAGGGGAGGGGAAAAAGGAAATTAAACTAAACAAACAAAAATAAAAATATTTACATAAAGTAATTTTTGTTTTTTAAAAAAAAAATGAATAATTTCTTTGTAAAAGTTTATATATTTTCACATAATTTACATATAGTATTTACTAGTTCGATTGATTTATCATTTAAATCAAAATTCGATAGAAAGGTAAGTTATAAAAACGATGATAAACATTACATTTTATTACTTATTCTATTGTTATAGTTTACAGGGTTTATCATTTATGTAAGTATAGTATTACTATATATCATATATACAGTATATATCAATATATACTGTATATACAGTATATACTTTCATTATGCATAACTAGACTAAAGATTTCGAAGCGAGTAGCTTTTACGTTGAATCAAGAATTCGATATTCTATTCCAGTAAGCCTTCATTTCTTCTAATTCATTCACCTAATACACACAATTAAATAATAGTTTTTTGACTATAATTGCGACAAACAATGGAGTGCAAACGTTATATCGTGCTGGAGAGCAAAACCAGTGTGCAATTATGAAAAGTTCATTAGCACGAAGTACGGAAGTGCAAAATTTCCTAAAAATAGAATAATTAGGAAAATAATGAAGGATTTACATAAGATAGAACCCTATTGTTTTCCTCCTTATCAAAATCTTCGATATTACGATAGAATTAATGACAAATATGGACTAAAATGGGAACCATCTCTGATTGGCCAACAAGTGATATCTACAGATGGAATGGTTGTTTTACGTAAATTGGATAATATTATATGTTATAATGGTTTTTGTGGTTTGCCAATGGTCCGTTTGAGGCGTGGGTTAGGTACTTTTTGCTTTCGCGATAATTACGACTCAATAGAGGAAGGTCGTTTAATTGCATCTGCCGTTTGTCATAGTGTAAACATGGATGTTTCTCAAATAGAATCAATAAAGATAATTGAAGCCACTAAAGATTTGAAATATATCTTACCTTTATACAGTTTAAGTTCTAGTTTAGCAAGATTGTTTAAAAATAACTTTAAGGTAAAAGGAAAAAGGAGATGACTGTGAAATCTTCTAATCATGCTTCTTTCCAGGCAAAAAGCTACCTTTCTATGCGTAAAGCTGTCAGACATATTTTGGATGTTAATCCATATATTTGGGAATCTACTAGGGACTGTAAAAAATTGTTATTAATTAACTGTGATAATAGATTTATACGGATGAATCCTCCATTTTTAATTCGGCTTAATACGACAGATTATCAGTTTAAAATGTTCAGACCTGGACTAGGTATTTGGAAAATGTGTGGACCTATTCATTTAATTGAAAAAGCTTATAAATCTTACCATAGTTCGAATGCGCATAATGAATCAAGAACGCTTGACGAATGTGCTCTAGGTTGTTATCATACGAAAAATTGCGTCGCTTTCATTTACGTAATGCTACATACAAGGACTATCTGTTCATATACAAATGAACAATGTCCAGGCATTCCCAGATATATATATTTAAGTCCGGGGCAGAATCTATATCTTAAGATTTCGAAGAAATGCTCGTCTAACAATCCTTTTAATAGCGAAAGCGATATAAATTTCTTTTTCGATAGTGATACTGCAACTTGTTACAGTATTTTCCCTGGGATGAAGGTAATCAGCATATTATCAATTATATTATCTTCTTTCATCTAGCCGTCATGGAATAATCATTTATCTTGTTTTATAGTGGCAAACGGCTATTGAGAAGTGTAAAAGTGTCGGAATGGATTTATTAAGGGTAACTAAGGAAGGCATTCCATCAAACATAAGAACCTTCTTTTCCACGAAAGGAGAATTAATTTGGTTAGGCTTGATAAGGGAAAAAGGGCAATTCTGGTGGTCGTCTAATTTTAAAAAAAAGGAACTCGTAAATCTCGAAGAAGAACCTTTTAACCAATGGATTTTCGAAAGGAGTAAATGCCAATATGGTCTCATTTATCATTCTATTCCAAGGATTATTTCAAGATTAACTAAAGCTACTCTTAAGAACTTTAAAATTTATCAGAGACACGGCGTTCCTTTAGATTGTTTAAGGGATATTGCTACTGCAATATGCTATAGACCTCTACACGGATGGTCAAGTAATATAAAATTTACGATGGAAAGAGACATCAAAACTGTAAAAAGCTTACCTTTTATTGGAGATGATGCTAAAGCAAAAAAGTTCATTAATCACTATTGCGACCCGTTGAATGAAAACCATTATTGCTATCCAAAGATGGAAAGTCTGCCTCTTAATAGAGAACGACATGAGTTTCACACAGCTAACTATTCTTTATATAAAACATCCGAAGTGAATATTCTCGATTTAGAATCTATGGACAAGTTGATTTTATTAAGAAAAATGAAGGTAAGTTAACAAAAGTCGTTTTTCACGAATAGAAAAAAAACGCCATTTTCTTTGACAAGATAGAGTGATGAATGTAATTTGAGTGGATTAGGAATTCGTGGAAAGACAGGAGTTATCAACGAGAAAAAGATGAAGAGCATTTGTGGTCATATTCTATTAAACTGGAACGGTAGATTAACCAAAGTTTGTTTGGATAATTCCTTATTAAACAAATTTAAAGACTACTCAAAAGTAATTTCCCAAGGTACTTGTTCCAGTTTTGGCTTAGGAGATATTACTGCAATAACAGAAATTTTCCCTTATAATTTCATTGGTTACTTTATTAAAAATATTACAAATTATAGGAATTTTACTCCAAGACATTTCTTTGAAATTCCCATGACTATTAATAAAAAAAGGCAATTTTGTCATAATAATGTTGGCATTAAAGTTTTCTGCAAAAAAGAGAGAAAGGTCTTTCCCAAAGAGCAGTATGAAGAAAATAATGTGATTTTTAATTTATATTTACCGGGTAAATGGGGATTTTGCGGTCCTTTTCATCTTCTGGAATACTCCTTCGAGAAATTCAAAAAGTTTAAAGGTTACAAGTACAATGAAAATGGAGCTAATTACATTTCTAATATTAGCTTCAAAGATTGTAGAAAGGAATGTAGTAAAAACCGAAATTGCTCTTCATTAATTTACGTTCCAACAAAGGTTAAAGGTTAATTTGAAATTAGGATATTAAATATTTAATAATACTAATAAATCATTAGGTTTCTGCGGTTTAACTAATCGCTATTGCAATTCTAAGCCTGATTATACATATTCTTATCTTGCTCCTGGACAATTTATCTTTATAAAATCGCATAAACTATGCAATTTTACTGGAAAGTCTTATCCCATTTTTTATGATCATTCGATAAATCTATGCTTTTCAATTGCGGCGAATAAAACTTATTTAAACGCAGTTGGCTTCTGTAGGGAAATGGGTATGAACTTACTGAGACCCCATTGGATAAGCGACAATTTCAAAACGTTCTTTCCATCAAATGATTTGGCATGGGTAGGGGTCAAACTAATTGGATCAATCGCATATTACGATTCCAACTTCGTTCAAAATTACGAACCAATGAGTAGCCTGAGATTGGGAATTGATATAAGCAAAATTAGAAAATCTAATTGTCCTCTTCTAAAAATAGGTCGCAAGTTAGATTTGTCGGGGATGTTTCGATTAAGCATAGAATCTCACTGTAGAGATAATACATTTACAACAATATGCCAAAGACCTTTGGAAGGTTCTTGGTCAAGGTGGACAAAATGGTCAAAATGCGTTTGCAACGGGCAAACTTACTCTTCCTTAAAACAATACAGAAAGAGAAAATGTGACGATCCACCACCTGTAGGGAGTTTTAAGAAACAACCTTGCAAATCATCTTTTAATCTTCAAACTGAGCAAAGATTATGCAAATTATACAGACAGGATAATAGGATTATGTTGGAAATAGCATCACCTTCAATTATAGAGGAAAAGGATATCTGTGGCTCACTTAATAAAACATTCATAGAAACAAACAAGGTCAAGTTTAAGTATGAATTCCATAATGAGGTTAAAAGGTCAATAATTACATAAAAAAATGTAATTAACCAATTAGCTTAATTCACATTTCACATTTCAGGAAAAATTGCGTAACTGCTTGTCTAAATACACCTAAATGTTTAGAGCTTAGGATAAAATATCTAGAAGGGAATAAAAGCTTTGATTGCACTCTCTCTAACAACTTATGTTCATTCATTAATCAAAATATAGAAGATTCTTTTTACAGAATTTCCGATTTAAGTTGTTTGTTTAAAAAAATAAAAATTTGTGAAACACCTACATTATTTCAGGATAACTACTCTGCTTACTGTTTAACTTCTGGGGGTTATATGACACGTAGAGAAGCTTTTAGCTATTGTTCCAAGCTAAATATGCACGTTCTAAAAATGAGCGATATTCAATTAAAGAACAACCTTGGAAAGTTCTTAACGGATACTTTCGGAAACATTACTGTATGGTTAGGATTAGAGAGAGTAAATAAAACTGAATTTAGATGGCAGCAAACTGTATGGAGAGATAACTTTACTGTTGACAAATTTCAGTTAAATATTTTAAAAGGCACCTGCTTTATAGTTACAATAACAAAAAATAAAATGGAATGGAAAGGTCATTTAGTACTTTTTTACCTCTACTTAAAGTTAAAAGTGTTATTTTAATACTTTTTTAGAAGCAAATTGCTCTCAAAGACATCAGACACTTTGCTGGAGGCCATTAAGGGGAGAATGGAGTAACTGGAGCCATTGGTCAAATGGATCTAGACACCGATCTTGCACTTCGCCAAAACCAAAAGATAAGAAATTTAATTGTCTTGGAAGATCAATTGAATTAAAGAAAAACTACTATTCTAGTAGATCAGATATATGGATAATTTTGATCTCTTGTTCACTCTTTGTTCTCTCTTCAATTATTATACTTATCGCATTTCGAGAATTTGGTAAGGGTAGGCTATTAGAATATTTTGAAAATTGTGACAGCACATCACAATATAGTTTTACAAGTTATTCTACTAGCTTATCAAATGATGATATAAAATTATAGTTTTATAAATATTGTAATTAGAAAAAATAGAAAAACAAGTTGTACAAAAACAATGAAATTTCATATTGACAGCGAAAGCAGTTGTTTTGTTTTGTTGTAGATCACCAATTTTTAAAACAAGCCAAAAAAACAAAAGAATTATTTTTTATAAAAAAAAAAAACAAAAAAAAACAAAAAAAAATCTATAAATTAAATAAATCATTCATTGAAAATGTTCTTTCTGATACAGTTCCAAAAATATACAATTCAGCGAAGAAGAGCAAGAAAGTAACATAAATATTTTTATCAAAAATATATGTTACCTAGAAAAAAATAAGAAACAATTATTTATATATTTTTTCGTTTTTAATCTTTAACTATTCTTTCTCGCTCTCTGTCTGTTTATCTGTTCTGGTTGTTTCTCTCTCTCTCTCTCTCTCTCTCTTTCTTTCTTAAACTATTCATTAATTTGCAAATTTTTCTAAATAAGAACTTCTCACTTACGACAACGACGAAGAAGAATATAGAGTTCACAATTCATCTCTTAATCTTCTTCTACCGTTTCTAACCAAATAAATAGTTGTTTCAAATAATTAGATCGACTAATTTCATAATTATCGACTCGAAAAATGCTATCACGACCTGTCATAGGAATATCTATACCGTAGACATATAATATAATACCTTCAGGAATATTCAATTTCTCACATAATAACTTAGGATTTTGAAATGACTCAAATTTTAAATGCTTTCTTAAGGTAAGAGTACTCAAATGCTTCAAAGTCATTAAAAGAGGTTTTTCAAATGTACTCAACTCTTCTCTTAATATTTGCGACCATACTGATTTATTCCATGAGTTTGCTGTTAAATATTCATAACATTTTTTAGCTACCTCCACTTCAAATGGTAATTTAAACCATTTCAATAGAATATTAAGTAAGGTTCTCCATTGACTATATTGATTAAAATAATAGAATACTGTAGAAAGTTTGAATTGATAGCCTGCGTAACTACGTTCAAAATTAATTAAGGATTCTAAAGAAACTCCTAACTTCTGTAAAAGTAATGTTGACTTCCAACCGCCGTATAATGCTTGAAGCATAATATGATTACCCTTCATTTCTTGTCCAACGAAAGAATGATAACAAGCTGCCCCTGCTTCGAGTAATGTACAGGCCCCTTTAAAATTTTGCAACTCCAAACAGAGGCCAATAGGCGGTATGTGAAATGAATATGGCGCGTTGACAGGAGCGCCTAATTTTAAAAGTAGGTCTAAGTTATTGCAGTTAATGCAGAGGGAGGTAATGCTCAATGTAGCAGGTATACCAACGCTCGAGAAAGCTCTAAGGAATTTACTCCTAGATACGTAAATGGAAGCATATTGCACAACTCTCTTTCCATATATTTTAATAGATCCTAGCTCTTTATCAAATTTTTTCGTAAACCAATCAATAATCTCTTGACCGTACGAATCAAGAACTAAAGGTAAGCTCATTAAGGCTACCTCATATCGTTCAACGGAACCCATTAACTCCCAAAAATATTCTGCTCCACAACACTCTCCTAGAAAAATAGGCACCTTCGAAGGATTGTCAGCTTTTATATAACAAAGAGCCAGAGGCAATGATATCTCTTTTTCTACATTCCAAACCACAGCAGACGGCTTTTCCCTGAATAAATGAGTTACTATACTAATGTATTCTTCATCTCCCAAATAGTTACGAAGCATATTTATCATATTATCTTTTCCTGAGTGGCTAATTGAGAATAAAACAACACGAACTACTGTTGTAAATACTAAATATGAGCGGCAGTGACGTATTACGAGATCCAGGGCTGTAGGATTATTACGTAGGGCTGCCCTAACGACTACTTCCATCCAACTATTATTTGAACCATCTAGAATTTTGAGGATTTCTTCTCCATTCTCGTTCGCTTCAATCCATTCGAGAAAGCATTGGAAGCAGTTGTTTCTTTGGTCATCATTTTCCCCAAATAAGACAGTTATATCTCCCAAACCATCAACTCCAACACGCACGTCAGCACCATATTCCAGTAGAATCTCAACACATTCGCGAAAACCTTCTCGAATTGCAATAAAGATAGGTGTAAAACCTTCGTGACTTCTGTAATTAATGTCACAAGCCAATTCGTTTTCCCTCGCGTAGTTCAAAAGGAACAGTAAAATATTTGAATAACCTTCGTAGCATGCTGCATGTAATGCAATCCAATTCTGATTATCTTTGCAGTCTATAGGATGCCCTTCGTCGAGCAATCTTCTTAACTCACTTAAATTGCCAGACCTTGTTGCCGCCAAAACGTTACTGTATCTTATCATTTTATGGTTCGATTCGTCGGTCGCCATTTTACCAAGATGTTAATGATTCAACGCTCAGTTAGCAATCACATAACTTCTCAATGTTGTAAAAAAGTTGAGATATCAACTCAATCGTCAATTTCATAACAAAAACCGGTCAACTGTGGTGTTTTTTTGACCGGTTTTCCCAGTTTGCCCTACCCTCCCAATTATCACTCAAAAATATAAGACGATTCGGCCAATCAGCATCTAGTTCTTCTCCTAACAAAGTAACAATCAGAATACAATCGTAAATTCTTACAAATAATTATTTGTTTCCTAATTAAATATATGATATCTGCTATATCTATTAAAGGAAGATAGAGGAAAGCAGTCGTATCTTTTACAACGGAATTAAAATCTTGTCAAAATGTCAAATTTTGTTCTTACATATTATCAGTTCATCTTTGAAATCCTGTAAAGTTTACAAAGTTCATAATAATCTGTAATCACGACAAATGAAATGCACAAATTACAATATTACACGTATAAAGTTAATATTCTAAATATTCAATGATATAACTAAATATTCAAAGTATTTCTATTTCACCTAAAGTTAATAATAAAACTAAAGAAAACAGTGGTTTAAAAATTCAATTACATTATATATATATATATATATATACAATATATATATATATATAAGTATGCATGTCAATTTAAAAATTAAATTAAAGTGGTTTAGCAATTTTCTATAGTATTTTTTAAGTAAAAAGCTTAAATTAACTCTCCTTTTTTAGATCTGTATTTTTATAATTTGAAATATGATACTTGAACTATATCGATTCATTTATTCAATTACTTTTTTACATTATGTTCAAAAGTAGGTTGTTTGCTAAACTTTTAATAGGAAAAGCGTTTTATTACTCACAGCTGTTAGAGGCCCCTAGTGCGGGCTGATTCTAATGAAACAGATGGCGCTAATATCTCTTACATGACAGTCTGTTTCTGGGACGAGTGCGATAGTCAAACGTTAAACCTTATCAAAAACTATGTCTGAAGCTACCAAAAAGTATGATATTGTCATCTTTGGTGCAACCGGTTTCACTGGAAAATATGTCATCGATGAAGTTGTAAGAACTGAATCAGAAATACCAAATTTGAAATGGGCTGTTGCCGGTCGAAAAATGAGAACTCTTCAAGAAGCACTTGGAAAAGCTGCAGAAAGAATGAGTAAGTATTAACTACTAATTCAGATTCAATTAGATGTAACCAAACATCGTGTAATGCTTATTTTAGTGCTTTTAACCGCCATTTTTAATAGACAGACAGGATCTAGAGGACATAGATATTATTATCGCAGATACAAATTATTATGATAGCCTTGTTAAGATGGCAGAATCAGCTAAGATTGTGCTCAATTGCGTTGGACCTTATAGATTTTTTGGAGAGCCAGTCGTAAAAGCCTGTGTCGAAGGAAGAGCTCATCACATTGATATTAGTGGTGAACCTCAATTCTTGGAAAAAATGCAATTGCATTATGATGCAAAGGCTAAGGAAAATAACGTCTACATTATTGGATCCTGCGGATGGGATAGTATCCCCGCTGAAATGGGAGTTATTTATACAAGAGATAATTTTGACGGAGACTTGAACGCTGTTGAAAGTTTTATTGAATTAAATTCAACAGAGAAAATAGTTCTACATTTTGCAACTTACCAATCTGCAATACACGGTTTTGCCAATGCGAACGAATTAGCAACACTTAGAAAGAGTTTGTTTACTACTAAATTACCAAGACCTAGTCACAAGCTAAAGAATAGAGGAAGCTACTTTTGGTCAGATGTGCTAAATTCTTATTTTATGCCATTTCCTGGAAGCGATAGATCTGTTGTGTCCCGTTCACAGCGTCTATTTTATGAAGAAGATAGCTTAAGACCTATCCAATTCGCTCCCTATAATAGCTTAGGTAGCACAACTTTTGGTTTGGTTAAGGCACTTGTATTCGGCTTTGTCTTTTCCTTTTTGGCAAAATTCGCACTTGGGAGAAGCCTTCTTGAAAAATTCCCTAAATTCTTTACAGCTGGCACCTTCTCGCACGAAGGACCGAATGAAAAACAGATGAAAGCAGCCACCTTCAAAATGACTTTTAAAGGGAACGGTTATAAAGAAAAGCAACCGGTCAATGTCGATCACGTCGATATACCAGATAAAATGATTACAACAACAGTTTACGGACCAGGTACACAATCGATATATAAATTTATATATATATATTATAAGTATACATACAGTATAGCATTTAAATGGATTTTTTTTATTCATTTTATAGAGGCCGGCTATATTTCTACTCCAATTGCAATGGTTCAATGTGCTTATTCAATATTACTTGAAAAAGATAAAATGCCTGGAAAGTTTGTGTTTTTTAATTCTTTTCTTTTTTTTCTCACAATCTCATATAAACTAAACAATATTTTTATCTTTCAGCGGAGGAGTTTTACCACCTGGTTACGCTTTTGCTAAAACATCTCTAATACAAAAACTGGATTCTCATGGTATTAAGTTTCAAGTACTATGAAAGGCTAAATGGATCCTCTACAGTTATGAAAATGATTTCTTTTCATTAAACTAATAATTAATAGATAAGAGGTGTTTTTGATCTGTATTTTTTCAAGTAGATACTTCTTTTTATCTCTAATTTCTATCCATAAAATTGCAATTGAGGTGTTGAAGACTTTTTGAGCAAATACCATTCTATTATATTAGATATAAATATTCTTTTACTCTAATTTCTTGTTCTTGTTCTTTTTTTTTTGTAAGAATTGACACAAATTAATTATGGTTGAAGGTTAAATGAAAAAATTGAGACGGGGCTATCGGCCTAAACTGCAAAAGAGGTATATTTTAGAAATACGAATATTTTATACTACTATTTGAAAAGGAATAGAATTGATATGTAATTTATTTTATAGATTTAGACAAAAATTTTAGTTTAGTATTGTTTTTTTAAAAAGAAAAAAAAAAGAAAAACAAGAAAATCAAATGTTTCCTTAATAGGTTAAATCTTATTTTTGGTGTTAATGATGGCTATTCATTTTCTCTGTTATTTTTTAAAATTTTGATATCTATGGGTGATTTTTCGGATGTTTTATTTTCTCTGACAGAAAAAAAAAGTAATGAATTCAAACTTTTATTTGTTAAGAAAACAAATATATGCAAACCTCTTTGCATAAACAACTTCTTCTTCTTCGTCTATTGGGTTTAGGATAGTTACCTCTGGCCGTTTTCCTTGTCCTTTTAACTTAACCTTACTAAGTGCCTTACCAAACAGTGATTTCTTTTTTACCCCTGTACCGTTTTCATCTTCGGTATTTCCGTCTTTCGGATATAATTTATTTATAAAGTAGTCTGTCAACCATTCGTATCTGGGAAATTCATAATACGGATTTTCCGTGTGATGATCATGACCTCTACCGGCAAACTCAAGTCTAGACTTACAAACAAATGCATAACACAATATTGACATCATAAGAATACCATAGCTAATAATTAGGGCAACAACAATCTTTACAGTACTATCTTCTTCAGTTTCAAACGACAAAACGCTACTTTCAGTAGATGTTAGCTTTACTAAATGTCTAGTAGTGTTTTGATATATTATGGGCATTTTTTCGAATTTAAAAAAAAATCACCAGCTTTAAATTCTAATTCTTATGTACAGCACTTGGATACTCATCTATAAACTTGAGCAAATATAATCAATGATAAAATAAATAGTAGATATAAAAAGTCTCCGATTGAGACTTTCAATTTCACCGCTATATTAAGGTGAATTAGCACTTCAACAGAAATCTGTATTTATCTATTTTTAACTATCCTTACGGATTCTCAACATTTTTTATATAATCGATTAACAGCATCCATTCGTTAATATAATAGAATTAGATTGATTATAAAAATAGATAGAAAAATATTTATATAAAACGATAAAATTAACTTGAATATTCTTTATATTCTTTTATAATATTTGAATATTTTACTTTTTATTCTACTTATTTAAATATTTTTAGAAGAGGAATTTGTTTATTTTTGTCGTTTTGCTAATAAATATAAAAGAATATTCTGTAATTTTGAGACTTTTATCATTATTTGCCTATACCTTAAGAAGAGAAAATCTTTACTTATGAATCATATATATACTGTATAAATTTATATATATATATTTAATGTGAAGAACAATGACTTCGATATGCATAATAACATTTTTAGCATGTTTTAAGTATTTTGGAGTCCAAAATTTGAATTGTTATTTATACCTTTTTCAAATTTATTGTCGCTTTCCGGAGTAAAAGCTTCCATTCCAAAATCATCTACTTGCCTATTTTCGGCTGAATATAAATATAAATAAGATACAAAAACATTATAAAAATATGTCTGCTATGGAATTGATATTATTAACACGCTGTATCTAATATCTTTGAACTTAAATAAAGAGTTTTTTTATGCTTTTTAATCAATACGTTCTACATACCTTCTAAAGGTATTTCGGTATCGAGTAATAAACCTTCCAATTTCCTTCCTACAGATGGTTCTTCTTTTGACGTTGTTCCAATAGCATCCTAATTTATTTTTATTAAGGAAGAGGAGACAGTTTTTTATTTATTTTGAAGGTTTGTTTATAAAATCATTTATATTAACTTGGAATGTGTTATGGGATGTAATTTAGTTGATTTAACGAAAGAATTTTAATAACTTACTTTCATTTTCTGTCTGTCGAAGGCATCCAAAACCTTAGGATCTATTATACGTTCCAGGTCAGCAATACGAGCTTTTAATTGTAAATTTTCTTGAGTTATTTGGTGAAATTTTCTTTGCATAAATATAAACTGCTTTCTAACATCCATTTTAGTAAATTAGTTGATTTTGATTCTCTAGTCTTATTCCAGATGGCGAAAAGTCTGTGAAAGTTGATGATATATTAGACAAACATCATAATCAACTCTAATAATCTGATAAGAACCTGAGAATATGAGTCTTCGTTAATAGTGATTTTTTATTTGATGAAACACTGAGCTACAAATATGTAAGCAGATGTTGAAATAACTGGCCAAGAGTGGCTTACACGTAGACTTTTAAAAAGAGAGAGGCTTTCTCGTTTAATGAAAGATATGAAAAGAATAAATAGAGGGAGAGGGTGACGCCCTGTAAACATCGCGCATGCGTACCACTTTCTTACTTTGCTTGTAAAGTAAGCATTCAAATGAGTAAAACTACATTAATAGCATTAAGTTTTTCACTCAAAACCATTGATAATATTGTTAAATTTCAACAATAGGAATGAAAATACAACGGGCAAATTTTAGATAAAAGATTGTATCGCAAAATATAATCAATATAACTCTGCATATAACTCCTAGTTCAAAGATGCACTAAGCATATGACAATAGATACAGAGGCAAACTTAAAAGGTTTAAAGGCCTTTTTCTGTGTCATTTTTTGTATACGCTTTAAAAAAAATTAGCTAGTCCTATTCAGGCCAAAAAATTGCCAGCTGAGTTCAGTGTGTTCCAAGTGTATAACCGTTTTGTTTTTTTTTCATATATTTATGCTTTATTGCTATTCTTGAACAACAATCAGTACATGAATACCTTAGAACGTTTAGTAGGAGGGATTATATTATATGACGTTTTCCGGAATGATTACACATTTAATTATACACTACGGCTCTGACTAGGCCTAACTTCATCACAGTGATAACGCACGTCTAATTAATATGCAAAATATTAAGTAATTAATGATTCATGATATTACTTCTTTATTTCTAATCTTCTAGATTTCTGAAGGACGCTTGCATTTCCTCATACAATTCGTCAATATCTGCTTTAATTTTCGCTTCTCCTTCAGTTGTTGGATTCTATTGAAAAGAGAAACAATAAAAATATAATATAATAAACTTGAAGAATGAAAAAATCTCTTTCACCTTAAATTTGACAGTTCCAATTCTGTACATTAAATCTGACATATTTTCTCTGATATTCGCCCAAGTTATCTTATTATCCGATTGAGCGGTTGATTCTACAGCGTGTTTAGAGAGATCGTAGAAACCAATAAGTAATTTCAACATTCCAACTGTCTTGTAAAAGGGGCACATCCTATCATATGGCGTATAACTGTTCTGCTGTAAGAAATCATCTTTGATCAATTTGGAAACTTCGAGTGTAACTTTGTCTGTTTCAGCCAAGGAGGCTTTACCAACTAGTTGTACAATTTCGGATAAATCTTCCTCCTCTTGGAGAATTTCTTTAGTTTTTGCTCTTAAAGCGACAAATTCAGGGTAATTCTTTTCGTAGAAGTCGTCTAGTGCTCTTGTATACTTGCTAAAACTGATTAGCCAATTAATGGCTGGGAAATGCTTTCTCTGAGCTAGTTTCTTATCTAAACCCCAAAATACTTGAACAATGCCCAAGGTAGCTGATGTTACAGGATCAGCAAAATCACCACCAGGAGGTGATACGGCTCCAACGATAGACACGCTACCCTCTCTGGTAGGATTTCCAAGGCATTTTACACGGCCTGCCCTCTCGTAGAAAGAAGCTAACTTGGATGAAAGATAAGCAGGATAGCCAGAATCGGCAGGCATTTCAGCTAAACGACCAGAAATTTCACGAAGAGCTTCGGCCCAACGTGACGTAGAATCAGCCATAAGGGAAACGTTTTTGCCCTGATCTCTAAAGTATTCGGCCAAAGTGATACCGGTATAGATAGAAGCCTCTCTGGCAGCTACAGGCATGTTTGATGTGTTTGCAACAAGGGCTGTTCGTTTCATAATGGATTCAGTTTTTCCGTTTAGCTCGATGGTTAATTCAGGGAAATCTCGAAGTACTTCAGACATTTCGTTACCACGTTCTCCACAACCAACATACACAATAACGTCGCTGTTGGAATATTTAGAAAGGGATTGGGAAATAACAGTTTTTCCACAACCAAAAGCTCCTGGAATGGCTGTTGTACCTCCTTGAACACAACTATATTGAAGGGGAAAATTTGATTAAAAGCCTAATATGATTTATTATTAATATTTACGGAAAGAGAGAGTCCAAAACACGTTGACCAGTTAAAAGTGGATGATTAGCAGCCAACTTTTCAGTTACAGGTCTCCTTTGTCTTACAGGCCATATTTGTAACATGCTGTACTTGTTCTTTTCACCATCAAATTCAGTTTCCAATAGAACGTCCTTTAAATGAAAGTGTATGAAATATACATATATAAACTTTATCCTGAAAGAAAATAGTTACTTACATTGACATCATAACTTCCTTCTTCAGCTACATATGTGACAGTACCTCTGGCTTTTGGAGGCAATAGAATTTTATGGGTAACCAATGTATTTTCATAAACTAAGCCATATTCATCTCCTCCAGTCATATGACTTCCAACCTATTCAATTGTAGGTTTATTTAAGTACTTATATAGTATAAATTAAACAATAATTACTTTAATCGATTTATTTGGAATGAAATCCCATTTTAAGTTTCTATCCAAAGCAGGCATATTTACACCTTTTGGGAGATAAATGCTTTGTGTCAATTCATTGATAGCTCGTAGAGGTCTTTGGATTCCGTCAAAGATACTTCCTAAAATACCAGGACCCAATTCAACAGATAATGGCTTTCCAGTTCGTAAAACAGGATCACCAACCGTTACCCCAGCTGTATGTATATGTTTTTTTTTTAATAAAAGAAATACACGACAAACTACATTCTTCGTTGAACAATGAAGAATAATCGATTTTTTGCTACATACATGTTTCCTCGTATACTTGTAACGTTGCCATATCACCCTCTAAACGGATGATTTCCGCGACTAATTCATTATAGCCTACTCTAACCAGCTCGTACATAGCGGCACCAGCCATTCTGGATGCAGTAACAACTGTGTAAGACATCAAAAAAAACATTCTAAATTTTGACGAGTAAAAGCATAATTTATAGGATACTTACCAGGACCGGATACGCCGTAGACGTAACCATATTCGCTTTCTTTAGTTGCATCTTTCACTTTAGGAAGCTGTAAGAAACATAAAATTTAACTATTCTTCAACTGATTATCCGTCTTGTCATATGATGTGCCCTACTCGTGACCATCTCTACAAGAAATCGAGTAAGTGATTATTCGTCTACGATTTCAGAATCAGCAATCAGTTGACAATATAATCCAAACTCATTAAAATGTGTTTTTGTTAAATGTTCTTTAATTTCTTACAGAAATCAAGAAAAAACATTAATTTTTACAAAACCTACCATTTTGATTTGTGAATCATGTGACTCTGTATTGCCCGCGCATGCGCTTTAATTAAATTGGCGCTCAAGTATGAAACTGATGTGAATAGTAAATCACTTGCTTTATTTTGAAAAGCTAATTATGATCTCTCAAGGTAGATCAACATTGTTAATTCAATAATTACTCTTTGACATGAAAGTCAATTATGAAAACACTTCCCAGTAGTTACTACGCACAGCATACATTGTTCATAAAAAGTGTTGGGAACATCTAAAAATTTGAAAATTAGCTTTTTTGTGCGGTTCTTTTTCTCGTTTCATGTTTTAACACATTAAGCCACTAATTTTTACAATATAATACAAAAATATGTATTACAATAAAATCACTTGATACAAAAGCATGTAGTTTTACTAGTATTATCTTGTAAAAAAAATACTTCATGACCTTTTTTGTTTTTTGATTTTTGGCTCATCCTCTTCTTCAGTTTTATCTTCTTTTGTGACTTTTTTCCCATCTGATTCTTCTGCTGTTTGAAAATTCTTCAAATCTGAAGTAAACATAACTGTTTGAGCCCAACCGGCATGCTTTCCCCAAGTTTTCCTCATATGATCGCCTATCTCTTTATACAAACCAACATTTATATTCACTTTCTTATTTCTTAGTTTGGGAATGTAATACTTCGAAACTAGCTGAAATACATGAGTATCAACTGGCAATGACTCCGTTTTATCCAATGACATCAGGCAAATACAATCTGAAACTTTTGGGCCAACTCCGGGAATCTTTAGTAGCTTTGACTTTGCCTCGCTATATTCCTGTTTTCTTAACCCAAAAAGCCAATCGCTTCCTCCCTCCTTTAGTAAAACTTCGGCAGCCTTTTGAATGTACTTCGCCCTATAACCAAAGTTCAATTCTCTTAATGTATTGGCCACATTTTTACCAGACAAGATCTCTATTTCAGGGAAAGAGAAATAATCTACATCGTCTACAGTAGTAAGCTTGGAACCAAACTTAATACAAAGGTTATTAACCATTTGGGTAATTCTTCCAATGTTATTATTAGATGAACAAATAAAGGTGAACAAATTTTCAACAGGGTCAATCCTAAGAGTTCTCACACCGGGATATTTCGGAATAACTTTTGCTATAACTTCGTCCATTTCAGACCATTCTTTATACAATTCAGTAAGGCTAGTTTTCAATTGAAAATAATCTTCCAAAATTTGATCCGAATCTTTAATATCTAAATTATCAGGATTATGAACTGTATATAAAAGATTTCCAATATCATCTTGTTGTAGACTAAACACAAGCTTTCCAATAACTCCAGTCCATTTACTTTTTTCTGGATTGGATCTCCATCTGATGAGAACGTATTCAAAATGTTTACCCTTTAGTTAAAAGTATTGAGCGATAAAAGATGCTCTTGAATTGTTTTTACCTAAATGCTTGGCCATTGGTAAGAGAGTATCTTAGATTAAGTTCGTTTATCGAGCAGGTTAATATTGAGCTTATAACCATTTTGAAGATTACTTAAGAAAAGAGATTTATCAATAATTTAGCACAAAATTTTGGCGCCTAAATAATGCTATAGTAACTTTCAATGTCCATAAATTGGATATCATAGACTGTATACTGAAAGCTAACTGTAATTTTTGGACTTGGACTCTGTGTCATTCGGCAAAAGACAGTTGTAAAAATGAGTGCACAACTTTTAAGTAGTCGCTTAGCAGTAGTAACAGGTAGATTTCATTGTGCAAGGATAATTCAATTTAAGAATTTTACATAATATTGCATAACAAACAATAGGTGCGGGTAGTGGAATTGGATGGGCCGTTGGACAAATATTCGCAAAGCAGGGCGCGTCAATTGCTGCTGTCGATGTCAACGAGTCAGCTGCAAAGGAGCATATCTCGAAATTGGGTGGAGGTGAACATGGAGCATTTCAAGCTGATATTTCAAAGAGCGACCAAGTTAATGACCTATTCAAAAAAATATTTGAAAAATTTGGTAGAGCTCCCACAATCCTCATAAATTCGGCAGGAATTACTAGAGATGTAACATTGCTAAAAATGAATGAAGAACAATTAGACGCCGTATTAAATGTTAATCTAAAAGGAACGATTCTTACTACACAAGTTTTCGGTAAACTTTTTGTAGCAAACAAACTAAAAGATGGCGCGATCGTCAATTTAGCAAGCTTAGCCGGTAAAATGGGAAATATAGGGCAGTGTAACTATTCAGCTTCCAAAGCTGGAGTTCAGGGATTTACTCGCTCTGCTGCTCAAGAATTCGCAAGATTTGGTTTAAGAGTAAACGCAATCTTGCCTGGATTTATAGAAACTCCAATGACTGATGTTGTTCCAGAACAGAATAAGCAAATATTCACTGCCATGACACCTTTGAAACGATTGGGTCAGCCAGAAGAAATTGCAAATGTTGCACTCTTCCTTTCGTCCCATATGTCTAGTTATATGACTGGAGTGAGTATAGACGTTAATGGCGGACTCAGTATGTAGACAGCTTAAGTTAAGTTAAACCCAAATATTCAATGAATAAAAAATTTATCTTTGATCTTTGAAATGATAATGACTCGTAGTTTTTCAAATGAATAAATAGAACAACGCCTATAACATAAAAACAGAATATTCCGGTAACAAAAGCTTCTAATATTGCAGAATAGTTTCTCACGCTAAAATATATCTAGCTGCAACATCAGCAATGCCCATAATAAGAATTATTCACTAATGTAATTTATTCAGGTATCAATCAGGGCAAACAGAAGGCAACACTTGGAGAAACTATATGTATATATAGCACATTCAATTATCAATCAGCTTATCATTTTAACTTATATATTCCAACATCTAATCTGCATATTTATGAAATATCTAGTAGTTTTTTTTCCCCACATATAAATGGTTCATACTTTTAAAATGTCACATCTCCTAACAAAATCCATTGTTAATCATTCAATATTTAATTTATATTGAAAACTAACAAACCAACTACTCTACCATTCGAAACAGAATTTATAACAGTTTTGAATATAATTTATATTTCTCTTTTTTTATCGTTTGCAAGAGAAAAAAATCTGTATTCCAGAGCTGTTGCTGTATATTTAACTGTAATATAAATAAAGATACCAAATTGTTTGTAATATTTCAACAAGTTTCCTAGTCGCATTGTAGATAAATTATTCAGAAATGCTTAGTAATACAGATCGTTTTATCCTTTTTGTTTTGGACTATAATTCCGTTAAATAGTTGAAATATATTCAAATAATAAAAAAATGTAAAACTGCAAAAATTGACATAAACAAACTTTTCGTATCAAATACAATATACATAATTTCGCACGTAATATGTAAGGTTAGGGCTTGCATAAATGGTCTATAAACAGAATACTCATCTTTATAAAGAGCACTTTTCTTTATTGATATAAAGAGCATATTTAGAGAAAAGCAAAGGATAGATAGGACAAAATACACACTTTAATTATATAGTGAGAAATAAATATATTGACTTTATACAATTGTACTAACTTCAATCTGAGAATGGCTCTTTCTTAATTTCAAAACGGTAAAATCGTATCCAAAAATTTTTGGAACAAATAAAGTTATTAAATATAGAATTAAGCACATAATGGCCGATCCAAATTTAACGAATACTGCAGGCCAGTTTCGACCAAAATGTATAATATTTGCCTTTTGGAATGTGTTATCATATGACGCAATAACTGGCTTATACCACATTGTTAGATTCATTAGAATGTATAACGCCGCGCAGGAAAATGTGAAATGTAAGATATAGTAATTATACGATGTAGTATGATAGTCATTTCGTATGATTCTGTCTGTTTCCGGTGTGTCAATGGGAATGGTTTCTTCTTTCAATTCTGTTTTGCAACAAAACTTGCGTACCTTTCTCCTTAGTTGAATGGCTTTAGGGGTTTCCTTATCCAATTGCGTTATCATTGCGGAATAAATTGCCATCCCCGTCATCAGACCTATGCCAATGTAGTTTGTTATCTTCATCACTTTATTTAAATCGCCAAGAAACGATAAATTAACACTCGCGGCGCTTTTAAGCATTGAACAGTCCTTTGGTAATTCAAAATTTGATAAAAGATTTGAAACATTAGTGGCGTTCTTTTCCCCTCTGGATACAACAGGTATACTTGTCACGCTTGTTGCAATTAGATACATAACGTAAACTCCCACAACAAGTGCTTGAAGGTAGGAATTATTAGGGTTCATTCTTTTCACGCAGGATATAACGGATAGACCAACTAGTAGAACTGAAAAGAAGATTAATATATACATATATACTGTATAGAATATATCGAAGGAATCTTTATTGTATACCACCTACCTATTATAATAAGTAAAAGACCAACGATTAAACTAATAATTGTCTTTATCTCTAAAGTACCTACTTTGCAGTCCATTTTCATAGCATATAGTGCAATAGTAATATAAGTGATTCCTGCAATTGCTGCTGCGCAAAGAAAGGCTACTATAGGGCTGACTAATTTCCAACAAATATTTCGTTCACTATTTTTGAGCCATTTCTTCCGAAGGCGATGAGCAAAAGAGAGTATAGATAGCAGTTGGCAGAAAACGATAAAGACCAATCCACCAAACATACCAACATATAGACCTATTTCTAAAATGAGTTTTTTGACAGGCACTTGGAACAAACCAAAGATTAGAGCAATCAGTGCTAAGAATTTTATAAGCCAAAAGCCATTATGAATGGAACCTGATCTTCCTTGGCTGTTTTCTGCCAAAAACGTTAAAGGAAGGAGAAGTAGATGAAAAGCAACAAGTGAATAACAATATCTGTAAGCCAATAAATAAGGATACGGCATTTCTCCAGGACAGGAAGACACATTATAAAAGTCACATTGTGACTCTACCTTATCCAAAAATTCAAGACTTTTATACACAGGCTTGAACTGACTCAATATCGCGAGAATTGCAATGAGCCCCAGAAAAATCGCATAACTCATTCTCGTTGTCAAAGATTCCTTGAGTTTTGGGAAGCAAAAGCAGCTAGGAATAAAACAGGGTCGGGGTCCAATTGAACAGAGTAATAGATCCCGGCACAAATTTGGAGTTTCTTTCTTCTCATTGTTTTCCAATAGGTTTCTCTTTGATTTTGGTTCACTCATTTTTTTACTGTTTATTAGATGGATCGATCTTTAATCAATAATATCGTAGTTTGCCAAATCTCTAATAGTATAATCTGTGATGCAGACGCTTCGTTAACAGCCACATCAAACTTGGTTGTGTAGAAGAATAACAATCATATGTTTTATAGTTTATAGATGGCGTTCATTTCCGGAAGCAGGTGGCGTTTTAGTTTATCTTCCGTTGTCTACAGCAGACGTTTGAAATTTCCCTCTCAAATCCCTAGATTTTCCTTAATTATTACCATATATTGTTAGTGGATTAGTGCTATGGCACCAACGACGCGTAAGAAAACCGCCACTGCAGTTAAACTGAAGGCAAAGCCTTCAGATGTAAGTTTTTGAGTGTATAGCAGCAACTTTTCAGGGTCATTTAACGTTTATGTCGCGGACCATGACAGGCAGCCAAAAAACGATCTGCTAAAAAGATTGAGAAGAAACCAACTCCAGCAAAGGTTACTCTTCGCAGAACAAAGAGAAAAATTGTAAAGAAAAAAATAGAAGACGCTTCGGAGGTGAAACGTACAAAACCAACGGGAACTCCTAAGAAGAATGTTCAGAAAAGGCGCGCCATTGAAAAATCGCCCAACAAGCGTCAAAAGCTTTTGGATGAGAATGAAAATTGTACGCCAACGAAACGCGGTCGTAAGAAAACAACGCCTAATGATACTTCTCATATAACGGTCAGTTAACTGAATAATGGGGTTTTATTTTTTATGATTAATTTAATACGGCAAATTACAGCCCAAGGCTAAGAAAACAAACGATCGATCAAAACAGAATAGTCTTTCGAAACGGTTAACTCCAATAGAAAAAAAAGCGAAGCCTCTCAAAAATCAAAAGAAAGAGATTTCTGACATTATCAAAGAGAATCATGACTATATAATGGAAGAAGTAAACAATGTAGAGCCAGAAGAAATTATAGTAAAAAAATTTGTAAAAAATGAACAAAATTGGCCCTCGAATAGATGGGGTCAAAGAATGACTTCTTTAAATAATCAGGAATGTGTCATGTTTGGGGGGCAGGGTTTTGGTAGTAAACTCTCAAAAGATTCGTTTTGGTCATACAATCATCGTAAGTATTCGCGATATAAAAAATAAATGTTTATTTTGTTGTAAAATACCTACAGAAACTGATAAATGGCAAACGATCGAAGATGAAGACAACACGATCCCACCGGCTAGAACAGGTCATGCTGTTGTATTCGACGAGTTAACTAAATGCTTATATCTAATTGGTGGTAGTAAGAATACTAGATGGTTTTCTGACGTCCACGTGCTCGATACCATACAATGGAAATGGCGGGAAGTAAAGTATAGCGGCGACGCACCATTAGTTAGCTATCATTCCGCAACAATGTTTAGATATGAAATATGGGTTTTTGCCGGTATTACTCCGAAAAGCAAGGAAAACCCGGATGAATGTAGTAATAGCCTCTTCGTCTTTAATACCCTTGAAGAGTTATGGTACAAGCCAGTAACTATGGGATCTCCTCCTGCTGCAAGGTCGGGTCATTCGGCTGATTTAATTAACTATGATCGGCTAATAATCTTTGGTGGCTGGGATTCTCCGAAGTGCTTTAACGATGTCCATATATTGGATTTGGGAGTGGGTGAATGGGTTAAACGTGATATTTTAGGCCCCCCTCCAGAGCCCAGAACTTGGCATGCATCATGCTCATTCTCAAACAAAGTTTTCATTCATGGTGGTTACAATGGTGATATCGCACTTAGTGACTCATTTATTCTCGATACAAATTTATCTTCATGGCAATGGACAAAGCTAAATGTTCCTAAGACTTTATGTGCTTTAACTGGCCATAGCTGTTGCTGTTACGAGTCCGATCCTTATATTAAGTTATTGATATTTGGGGGTGGCGATAACGAAGGGGAGTTTTATGATTCTTTTTATGAAATACGACTACGCGCTTAAATTGTTTTTAAACTGAAAAAATGGTCTTTTTTTTACTATTTCTTTTTTGTTAAATGCTATTTTTTTCTTTTTTTTAAAAAATAACAAATATTCAGAGTGAATGCGAACGCATGCAACAATTTTTTTTATCATATAACGTTAAGAGACGAAAATATGGAAGATGAAACATTTTTTGCAAATATAAGTAAGCCTTCATTAAGAAAAGGCTTACAAAAAACTGCACTTGTGATTTAATTGTGTTCTTTTGCTTCTTTGTTTTGCATCATCAAATAATTTTGCGAACAAATTTCCAATTTAAGATTGGACGCTTTTGCGGTTGACAAGTATAATAGGCAGAGGAAGAACAGTTTAAAAGAATATTTCTTTCGTTTATTTGAAACTAATAAACACAAATTATAAGTGAATTAATGGTATGAAAAGTTATTTTCTACATCGAAGGAAACAAACAAACCGACTTATTAATTGAAGGTCATCTTTAAAAAATATATATGCGGTGTTTTTTTTATCAATACTATCAGAAAATAATTTGTTAAGAGTCCAATTTGACGAACACTTTTGAGCGAGAGAAAATCTTAATAGCTTCTTCTACTTCAGAGATTTTTCTTTCAAGTTCATCTCTCTTGCGTCGAATTGTAAGAGTATCATTTCGAACTGGCATACAAGCTAATTGATTATTCAAATCAATTCCAGCTAAGATGATGTAAAAGAAGAAAAGGTAAATTAAGTTTTTTGGTGATAATTAGTATCATTAAAAATTGTTTTATCATACTTTCTTTTAATTTCTCGAGCGTTGATCGTCTATCCGCTTCAGGTAAAAGTCTATGGCCTGGCGGGAGATCAGGGTCTGGTATGCTAGCAATTCGCTCTTCTTCCTCTCTCTTCCATTCGTCTTTTCTTTTTTCTAAACTGTAAATGTGATAGAACTATTAGAAAATTTCTTAATTTCCATACCCTTTATCTTTAGGGCAGGAGAATTTTTGGTAGTGAAATGTAACGAGAAAAATATTTACTATTTAGGAACAACACCCTTCTTATAGGTTGAAACTTCCTCTTCTTTCTTTTTCTTTAGTTCGTCCAGAGCAGTTAAGCTTGGACTTCTTTTAACTGAGCAATATTTTACACTTCTACCATTTGCTTTAATAAAATCAATATTTCTTCTTATTAATTTGACGTCTCTTGCTGTTTCGGCCTTTGGTACACTTAATTTTTCTTCTGGAGGCTCGACGCTGGCGGGTCTTGGACCCTTGGAATCAGAGTAGCCAGTTCTCGAATGAGCTCTCAAATAGTGAGCTGTGTGTGGTCTGGGAGCGTCAGGTTCTTGCTAGTAATAAAAAAAAGCAAACAGTATTTAACCCTTTTGTTTAAATATTAACACAGGTTTAAACATAACTTTGGAAGTTTGACTATGATAATTTTACAACTAAAATCTGCTTTACTTAATTACCTTTATTTGCTCTTGAACTTTAGACTGTACACCTTCGTATTTTTCACTTTTCCATAAAGCTCTTACCGGTTGCCGGCTTGTTTCTTCTTTCTTCTGCACCTGCCTTTGAATTTGTCTCATTCTCTTAACATTTTCCTTAACATGGTCTTTGGGCTCAACCTCTGTAATTTGACAAATAAAATTTAAATCAATCATAAGATCATCACTTTCGATTCGATTAACTATACGATGAATACAAGATTAAAGATAATCTATAATTACTTACTAGGCTTAGAGCCACCTCTATGTAAACTAAGTCCTTCAACGTTTAAGAGCATATCAACTGTGCCTTCTGTTTTTAGAGTTTAGTCTGTAGCTTCTGGGCGAATTTTTGTTGCAGGTAGGTTATAGTAAGACTTGTCAAAGCACGGATCAAACGGAATTGGACCGTTCAATAGAGATACCATTCAACAAATTTAGCAATATTTTCTAAAGCTGAAAAGTGGAAATACATTCTTCATTTGATATTTATAGTTGAAATAATATTCAAATCAATGACTTATATGATATTATATCAAAAATAGAGAACTAGGTTTAAAGACAAAAATGAATAGTTACATTGCTATGATACGAATAGTTCGTACGCCGGAATTTAAAATTCTCGCGAGACCATACAAACGTTAGACTGGTTTCCCATAGCAGTAAATCAAAACTTTTTATTAAAAAGTTCTCTTTTAGGAAAATTAATAGAAAAAAATAACAAAAATGTTATAAATGAACACTGAGGTACGTTTTAAAGTATGGATTTTATTATTAATTCTTACTTTTATTTCACAAATAAAAGACATGGTTCCCTATTACGAGAGTTAGTTTCCATAACAACAGTAACATGATTTCAATTTTTCTACTTTGAGTTAATCGTGCGTGATTACAAACTTTTTTATTACAATATTAAAGCTCTGAGGTCTTTAAAATGGCACCTCCTCCAAAATCTCGAGCAGACAAGACATCTAAATCATATACAACTCCAGCTCCTGCAATAACACAGGATATAATACCTGGAAAATTTAATGACAGAGACTGGTATGTTTATAACTCAAAAATTACTTTTTAGCATCTATAATTCATATGTTACATCAATAAAAATCAGGAATTTTATGCTGGAGACCGATGACAATGAAGAATTTGTCTATGAAATCACCGAAGAAATTGTAGAAAATGCATTAGATTTAATATTTAAAGGATATATTGGTAATCAACTTATTCCATTTACTGTCGCTCAAGCTAAGGAAGCCCTATTAGATCTTATTGAGGTAATCTCATTTCACATCACTGATGTATTTTAAAACATGTTTTTAATTTGATTAGTGGCGATTTTTGCAAAGAGACGAAGGAGAGATTGCAGTTGAATGGCTAGAAGAGGAAGAACAGATAGAAGAGAGACCGTGTAGTCCAAAACAGGCATGGTCATTGTGGACAGAAGATGAAGGTTAGAAATATAACCTATGAATGATTTACAAATATTCTGGTCATATATCCTCCGTTCTAAAGACTCTGAACTATCTGTATCCTGTAAGATATTGATAGGAATAAGAGAGAAACTCATTCATTAAGAGCTTTCAACATTCTAGGGTCTTCTGTGAGAGATTTAATACCATTTAAAATGGGTATAATTAGTTAAAAAGGTTTGAAAAAGATCTTTAAAAAGGATTAATTATTTTCTTAATACTAGCTGAAGCTTTTAAACTAGGACAAAGAGTAAGTTATATTTTCAAGATGTTAAATAAAAGCTCCAATAAAGTTCAAAGATCAAGTGAAAACAAACCTTTTTCACTCTATACGTATGACTGTAAAGACTTTGGTACGCCCATTAAAAACTGTTGAAATCATTACAATTTCTCCAAGTACTTTTATTTATCAGATGCACTAATTTTTGTTAAAACCTATTTTTATCATCCTTAAGTTAAAATTCTTAGTATATTGGAATAGTATGCAAATGTTTAACATGTATTCTATTAGATGCAAAAAAATATTTGCCTATTTAAAGATTATAGTTAGGCCTTTCCAAAGTAAAATAATCGTTTTATTCGCACTTTTGTCAGCTTGTAAATTTTCTGAAGATACTAATTATCTGTTGGTGGGCGGAGGATGAAGGTTTTATGATTAAATAAAAATAAAAAACCCACTCCGTATTTGTCATAATTTTGATATAATTTCCCTTTTGTTTTGTAGAGCCTCCAACCCCTGTACCTGATTGTTGGGCCCAAGGAGTAGTACCGGTTGAAGTTCGAAGAGTTTCGTCTGCCAGGAGCCAGAAGGAGGAGCCAATACCAGAGGAGACTGTTGAAGATGCTGAAAATGCTAAAGCCCATATACCTTCCATTCAAGAAGAAACAAGGGAAGAAGTTGAAAGGGAAGATGCTGAACGAATTGAGGAAAATACTGAGAACGATCAGAACGAAGAAGATACTCAGCCATATGAAAAACAGACTTCAGAGAAAGAGGAAATTGCAGTATTAGAACCCAAATCAGATGTTCAAGAGCGAAGAAAAGATGAGAGAAAGAAGCAAGATTTGAAGAAACGGAAAAAAACTTATAAACCACATGTTGGCAGTTTACCGAAAGTAGAATCTTGTTAAATAATAATAAAAAGAATACTAACTATGTTACATTACTTCAGGCAAATCTAGGACCGATGGAAAGTTTAGATCAAACCGAAAATCGTCTGTGTTTTGAAGAAGTTATGAAATACGTATCGGGAATCGAAAGGGAAAGAAGTATTAATGATTTAGATCCGAAAGCTCTACTATTACCTTTATCCGCCCAATCGCTGATCAAGGTTTGTGCCTAAAGGGTTGATCTTTTTAACTTTGTGTACAATCATAAAATAGCTTAAGAGTCATTTGACAGTACGCAACTATGCCTAAAAAGGTTATTAAGATGGTGGATATTATGAAGAACGAAAAAGTATCTGACTTATATGATTTTTTGTTTTCATTTCTTTGCACATTAGATTTTGAATTACGGTATTTTTAAAAGAATTCGATTCAAAATTGTTATGAACTTCAACAACTGAAGGAAGATTATATCTTTTTAAATCTTCTTCAAATCAAAACATGTTTTCACTCCTAGTTCATCCAATTTTATCTCCTTCATTTATTATTTTGGTTGAAGTTTCATATGACTTTTCCGACCGTTCAAAATATAAAATAATAATAGTTGCACACAGTTTAAGAAGCATGATTTAAGCATGATTCAAAGGAATTTACTAACAAATTGAATGCAATCTACAATTTTTTGTCGGATAATTATTGTTTGATACTCTACAGTTGCAAGGAGGAAGACCGCCAGCAACTCGAGATGTCTTTTATGATGATTATGGTAATGTTATAGGCGTAACGAAAATCAAACCGGAGCAATTGCCATCTCATAAGTAAGCGATAATCTCTAACTATAATTAAATCATTATTTTTTATTATGGTTTTTAATCAAAACAGAGTAAATGTTAAAGTAAAGGTCACCGATCCATCTCTGGCAAAACAAAGAAAATTCACCCGTAAAACAGAATCCTCGTTAGTCAACACATCTCTTGATGGTACACTTTAAAGATCAACCGGAATTTATTAAACTCAATTAATGATTTTCTTTATCCTCATCTTTTAGAGAAAGTACCGAATGCAACAACAGCATCCTCAAAAAAGCCAATAGGAAATACACTTGTTTGTATCTAAAACTTTGCTTATCATCCAATTCTTCGATTATGCTTTTATTTATACATATTATATTTTTGTATTTTAGTTAGAGACTATTGACGTTGCTCCTGGTGTTCTCGTAAAAGAAGGTGAGCGAATTAAAAAAGGACCAAAACAGGTAATATATTTTTTTTAGATAAATATAAAAGGTAACTTTCTTTTATGATTATTTTTTCCTACAGAACGTGCGTAGAACAAATCAGGGTGTATCTCTAGAAGCTGAATTACGTCCGATAGAAACTGTTGCTAGAGTTCCAATTACAACTGTAAAAGAGATTTTAGATCATCAGAGTCCTGTTGTTAAACCTTTACCACAAACTCCACCCATTCCTCCAATACCGTCAAGTGCTAGTTACACATCAGACATTTACTGAGAGCAAACTGCATATATATGTTTATATTTATAAAAAATAAATAAGTGATAATATTTATCTTATCTCTATCAAATGCTGCCTTGATTGTTCTCTCGAATTACTATGTAATTAAATAAATAATTGTAATATAAGTTGAAGCCATAACTCTGAATTATTTTTGGATTTTTCATTTAATTATCATAATTTGCACGGACAGTTTCGTTACTAGACTATTATCAGTTGTATTTAGCAAACAAAGAGAAATCGAGAAGTAACCGAAGTTACTAAACAAAGGTAACTATATTTTTATTTTTTTTTCTCGTTTTAGTTGAGAGCAGCAACAGCCTTCACAGCTGCATCTCCAAAGTCTGAGGCAGTTATTAAAGATAATCCTGACTGCTCCAACAAAGCCTTTGCGTTATCAACATTGGTGCCTGTTAGGAAAATTGTTAGAGTTAACATTTTATGTCTGTTACCACAAATTACTAGCAGCAGTTACCTTCTAATCTGACAACAACGGGAATTTTCAAGTCAATATTCTTACATGCTTTTACTATGCCATTGGCAATGACTGCACAATCAACAATACCGCCAAAAACATTAACGAGGATAGCTTCAACTCTTGGATCGGCAGTCAACAGCTTAAAAGCTTGGAGAACTTGACCTTCAGTAACGCCACCACCACAGTCTAAAAAGTTGGCTGGTTCACCTCCATGATGCTTAATGATATCCATGGTTGCCATAGCTAAGCCTGCACCATTAACTAGACATCCAATATTACCATCCATACCAACATAGTTTAATTCGTACTTTTGGGCTTCAACTTCTCTGGGATCTGTTTCAGAGTTGTCATCCAAAGCAAAAATTTCTTTTTGTCGGAATGCGGCGTTGTCATCAAAGTTTATTTTTGCATCAAAGCAGACAACTTGGCCTTGAGGTGTTTCTCCCAGAGGGTTTATTTCTACTTGTGTAGCATCAACCTATGTTGTAATGTAAGTCTAATAGAAATAACAATTATATTAAATATGAAACTCACTTTGATAAAGAAATTGTACAATTTTTCTATCTGGTCAGCACAATCGACTAATTTTTGTCCTTCAAAGTTTAAATTTTTTGCCATTCTTTCAGCAATTTCCCGTGTGCATCCAACTTCAATATCGATAGGTTCTGCAAAAGATTTTTTATATGAAAGTTAATACGCTGATAAAAGCATTTGGTTTACCTCTGAAAATTTTTTCAGGAGAGTCCTCAGCTACCTGTTCAATATCCATGCCTCCTTCTGGACTACCAACTAGAATAGGCCCTGCAGTAGCTCTATCGAGCAATATAGCAAAGTAGGTTTCTCTAGATATATCTAAAGCTTGTGCAACCATAACTTTTTTAACTTTGACACCACCCGGAGGAGTTTGCTTTGTCGTCAATTTATTTCCAAGCATTTTTTCAATGTAATTGGCAACTTCATCTGGATTTTTTGTTAATTTCACACCACCTTTAAATCCTGTGTCAAAAACGCCTTTTCCACGGCCGCCAGCCAAAATCTGAGCTTTGATTACATATTCATCAGCCTCTATTGGAAAAAGTTTCATATGAAAAGTAGAAGTTATAAACAATTTGCTTTACAAATTAATACAATTAGTTTGAATATTTTTTGTCTAGTTGGGAATGTTACGTTACACTTCAAGGTTTGATTTTCTTCATTTTCAAAGAATGGCCTCTTTTGCTATAAATTTTTATATAGCATTTTTTAAATAATTTGATCGTCTATGGCTATTTAAAGGTCTTCTAAAAAGCGAAACAATGAAACTTACTGAAGTTTTTTGCTATATCATTAGCTTCTTTCAAGTTATCCACTACGCAAAATCTTTGAACAGTAATTTTATGATCTTGCATCAATTTTTTGCTCTGATATTCTTGCAAATTAAGAAATCTTTGTTGACAAGATGTAATGATCCCATTCTGTAAAGAATTCAACAATGTAAAATTTTTACCGATAGAGGTCATAGAGGATATATTGAAAATATGAGCAAGGTAAGTTCTAACAAATATGTATTATGGAGTTACCATAATAATTAGACATTGACTTTTAACAGTAATTTAGCAGCTAGGTTATGGGAAAATACTAACGTGTGTATTTAACAATTTTTTAACGGATTGTCCAAGACTTCTGCTAATGGCCGCCATGTTTACAACGTGAGTGTCACGTGGTACACACGAATTTTGAACGAGGGCTTATTCAAACTCTCATTTATTTTCTTTTTAATAGGTAAGGCCATCAAAATGAAAAGATTAAAATACGTACTAAAATATAAAGCATTTATATTACTTATTTTATATGAAAAATACTTAGCACTTATTATTAGTAAACAATTATTTATACTGAAATTTGAAACCAACAAAATTTACCAAATTATATGATTTTCTTTAGCTTTATTGTTAATAGCATAAATCGTTATATAATATTTTGAATCATTTGGGTTTAATGAATACTTCAAAAGTACTGAATTACATAATAAAATAGCAAATGTTCGAAATTACGAACTTGGTGTGAATTGAATTTTAGGCCATAGTTTTTTGAAAAAACTGTTTCATTTTTTATTTTAAAGTTGTAACACATTATAAAAGTTCGCTTAGACTGGTAAAAACAAACAAACAAACAAAATAATCGGAAGATTGATTTTACTGTAGAAAACAGCAGATGTCGCTTTGACCATACAACTTTTTTTTAGTCACATGACAGTATCCGCACCGGAAGTACAAAAGTGTGACAAACATATGTGAAATATAACTTCGATTTATACTCTAAGCTGATGAAAAAGAGCAAAATGTCGTCTGTAAAGGTGGCAGTTCGAGTCAGACCTCTAAATCAACGGTAATTACTTTAAAGCCAATTTTTGTAATGTTTACACTTTTTTAAGAATGTTGTTAATGTTTTTTGTCCTGTTATTTACTCTTTGACTTGTAGAGAATTGGACATGGGGAGCAGATTTATTATTCAAATGGATGATTGCAAAACATCTATATTAAATCCAAAGGTTTGAGAAAAAATACGCTTGATTTTGCATTGAATTTGCCCCTCCTCTGTCTATTTTTAGCTCTTGGAGGCCTCAAATTTTAATACGTTCCCCAGTGATAAATGTAAAGAATTCACTTACGATTATTCGTATTGGAGCGTCAGTAGAAGTGAGGTGCGATTCGACTCTCAAGAAAAGGTTTTAATTTTTGAAAATACTAATTTTTCTCTAACACGATTCTATTTTTTATTACGCAATAGGTTTTCAGTGACTTAGGTGAAGATGTCATAAATTCCGCTTACGAAGGCTACAATGCATGTATTTTTGCGTATGGACAAACTGGATCTGGTAAGACATATACCATGACTGGAGCTCAGGTGATAAAATAGAATGTGTTTTACATGCAAAAAACATATTTAAATGTACAATGTGCAAATTATGCTTTAAAATAGGATGACGCCGGTCTCACCCCCAGAATTTGTAAAGCTCTATTTTCTAGAATGAAAGATTTGGACACAACATATCAAACAGTTGTAAGGTGAGTTAATTAATTTATAATTAGTAATTAATACTTAGATTTTTTAACCATTTCTTCATACTATCCGTAGTTATCTAGAAATTTACAATGAAAAAGTCAGAGATCTGCTAAAACCTAAGTCGCAACATTCTTTAAAAGTTCGAGAACATCCGAAACAAGGGCCTTATGTACAAGATTTATCAAAGCACATTGTTCAGAAATATGATGACATTTTAGAGTTAATGGATTGCGGAAATACTCATAGGTTGATAACAGTACTCAAATTAACTATGGCTTATAAACTTCGTTTTTTATCAGAACTACTGCTTCAACGAATATGAATGACACCAGCAGTCGAAGTCATGCAATATTTACTGTCAATTTTACACAGGTTTCTTACTAACTAACAGAAAAGAATGTTAAATTCATTAATACTTTTATATTAGGCGAAATTTACTGGTAACATTCCTAGTGAAACCAGCAGTAAAATTCACTTAGTCGACTTAGCCGGAAGGTATTAAATATCTTCTTTTCGTTATATTTTTCAAGTTAAAAAGTTCAAATTTATTTGCAGTGAGCGAGCTGATGCAACAGGTGCTACTGGACAAAGATTGAAAGAGGGTGGTAGTATTAATCGTTCTCTAACGACACTTGGAAATGTAATTTCTGCTCTCGGTTTGTCTAACTTATTTGATGAATATTTTCGATATACTATTTTTTATAACAGCTGATCTGAGTGAGAAGAGTAAAAGAAATGCTTTTATCCCATATCGAGATTCTGTTTTATCGTGGTTATTGAAAGATAGCCTCGGAGGAAATTCAAAAACAATAATGATTGCCAGTAAGTAATATATGAAAGTCAGCCTCTGCCTGATTATCTCTCATTACATTTTTTTTTATTTGAATAGCAATTTCTCCTGCGGATGTAAATTACGGCGAAACGTTAAGTACTTTGAGATTTGCAAATAGAGCCAAGAACATTATCAATAAACCGACCATAAATGAAGACCCGAATGTTAAATTAATAAGAGATTTGAGAGCTGAGATTGAGCGGTTGAAGTCTATGATTGGCTCTCATATTGTAACTATTTTTCGAATAATTTTTGACCAGGGTAATTTCATTAATTCATAAAATTATCTGTAGGATAGCACATCAAGTCCTCGTGTACAAGAAAAATTACACGAAAATGAAGCCAAGGTATGTAATTTAAATTACACTTTTATTCTCAGCAATCTTAATCTCAATTAACCATATTATAGATTAAAGAACTCACTGAAGAATGGCAAGCCAGATGGCAGAAAGCAGCCCAAATATTAAAATCTGGTGGCGGAGCTCTTGATTTAAGTAGACAGGGTACTGGCGTTGTCCTCCATTCCAACTTACCCCATTTGATAGGGATAGATGATGATTTACTTTCAACCGGTATTGCCTTATTTGAGCTGAGGGAAGGAATAAACAGAATAGGTGTACAAAATGAGAAAGTGCCGCCAGATATTGGTAAAAATTAATAATATTTTATAACAATATTAATAATATTGAAATTTTTTATATACATTTAGAGTTAAATGGAGATGATGTTTTGTTTGAACACTGTACCATCGAAAATACAAAAAAAGGATCTGTTTTCATGCTTCCAAGTGAAGGTGCAATTTGCACCTTAAATGGTGAAACTATCATAAACCGCGTACAACTTAAACAAGGTATTTACACAATTTACACATTTGTATTAATTCTTCATTGATTATTTTATACAAACATGACCACTTTAATGCACTTAGGCGATGTTCTCTGTTTTGGACAAGTTAATGTCTTTAGATTTAATCATCCGTCTCAAGCAGCGAAATTAAGAGACGAAATAAAGGTTAATTTATGAATAAATTTTCTAATCTGAATCTATTTGCTTTGGTTGTCCTAATCCAAATATATATAAGATTTTGTTGATTTAATAGAACAGTCCAGCGCATCAGAGAAGGTTGTCTACACTTGGACAGTCTATGACGGATTTAGCTAGATCTTGTGAAAATCTAATGGCGTTTAAGTACGTGTATATTTTATATATCTTTAACAATAGTTAAAATGTTTCTATTTCGTCTATAGTCAAGATAGTCCTGCTTTAGACGAGAAATTAAAACGACTGTCAGTCGGTATGGAAATGAATAAAACGAACATAGATAAAAGTTTGAATATAAGTACAAGCGACCTTGTGAGTACTTTTTAAAATCTTTATACTGTTAATATACGATAAGAATTTTTCATTATAACTTTTCGTAGAAGTCGGAGGATCTCCTAAATGAAAATTTTGTTTCGATAGAGAAGCACATGGACGCTTTACAAAAGGTAAATATTATATTAGGTTAGAGTTTCTATTTGACTCATGTTTTACTGCTTTCTAAATATTAGGAGAGAGAAAAACTATATTCAAAATTAGTTTGTGAAAGAGAAAAAACTAAAGTTATCGTGGAAAAATTAGACGAAGAGTTAGTTGAAAATGTTGAGAAACTTAAAAAATGCGAATACGAAGTTATGGAGAAAGAGAAACAATTGCGAAATGAACGAGAAAAGGAAAGAGAAATTATTAATCGTGATAGAGAACACTTAAAAAAAATTCTTAATGGTGCTTTAATCGACGATGAGCTCGCTAAGGAAATGGATGTGGAAACTAAGTCCAAGTTACTCTCAGAGTTGCAAATGATAAAACAGGCTCAGGAAGAATTGAAAGAGCAGGAGAGATCTTATTTACAACAGTTTAAAGAAAGTGAAGCAAGCGTTATTTCGGATTACGAACGCCAGCAAGAAGAACTTCAAAAGAGAAAGTCCATACTTGAAGCTGACAGAGTAATCTTAAAAGAATGTGAAGATAACCTTGAACAATGGCAAGAGACTGAAGATCAAGAGCTGGAAAAAGAAATTTCAGCAATTGAAACAGAACGCTTGCGTATCGCTATGGAGGCAAAACAACTTCAAGATGATGAACATAGTGCGGAAAAACTTTACAAAGATCGTCTTGATCAATTACAAATGCATAGAGATAGTCAAATTGAAAAATTGAATTCTGTGAGAGATGATGTCAAGGCTATTGACACCGAACGTCAAGATTTTGTTAAAGATTTGTTACATCGACTTGATGATGAAGAAAACAAAGTACGTCTTCGTCAAGAGGACGATGTTGAGGAACTTAAAGAACTTGAAAGACGATTAGAAACTGCAAAAAGGTTTGATTTACTGCATGTGCAATTATTATATAACTAACAAGAAGTTTTGTAGGATTACGAAAGGTCGCAATATTGAGATTGATAAAGAGAAAAAAAATTTGGAGGATAAACTATTGACCATTGAAGCAGATCTTTTGAGCTCGATGAATGTTTATGAGAGTAAGATGGATCAGTTGGCTGACAATTCTCCAATTGAAAGTACTAAAAACATAGATTAAGATAGTAGTAAACATAAAGATTAATTATTTTACTGTTCCCCAATCAGCAATCGTTAAGATTGATCGAAGTCAGAATGACGTAGTATCAACTACCTCCAGCAGTGTTGAGAATTTTGATGAAGTTGCAAATCGCAGAAGCGAAGAGCCAATGCAAACGAGTTATTATACTTCTGATAATACATCTGATTCTGAACTAACAGTTCTGTCGTCCATACCTGGAGATAACGATAGCAATAGGTTGAAGGATTAAATATTAAGAGGAAATTCTCTAGCAAGTAAATTTAACATTGTTTTTCATACAATCTCAGATTGAGGCATATCATTGAGAGAGAAGTTAGAAGACGACTTTTCGAAGAGAAGGTTCAAATGGAAAAATTGCGCCAAAAAGACAGAGAAAAAGATAGACTAGAACGGCGTCAAGAGATGATACGTCTAAAAGAAACTCATCGTAGAGAAATAAAAAGGTTAAAGTACGTTAGCTTTGCTTTCTAATAACTTGTTTATATTAATTCAATTACAAATATTCCCACCTCTCCTATCCACCGCTTTTTCCCATCAGGATTAATATTAAATTTTACTAATGGTATATTTTTTATTGTTAGCACTGAGCACATTGATATTTCTTTAAATATCAATTTTATATTACAAAAACATTTTCAACCACTACACTCTTCTGATTTCCTGATTTTTATCTGTTGTTTCTATTTGAAAATTTTTTTTGTAGAAACGGGGAAAAGTCTACTTGTACACAAGCTAATCCCTTCGCAACGTCAATGGTTAGTGACGTCTAATTGAAAACCAAATTAAATGTTAAACGCTAAGTTGTTTTTGACAGATGCAGAACGGAGACGAAAACTGGATAGAAAAAAGTTTAGAATATGATGTAAGGTTACTTGTACAGCTTTAAAATAAAATTGTATTTTTTTTCCGACCGTCTACGTCTAGGAGGAAATTGAAAGATTGGATTTGTATTCGAGTCAGGAAAATCCTACGGAAGCGTTCCAAGTGCGAATACCCTCATATATAAAGAGAAGTTCTCGTTGGGATCTTTATTATGATTTCATTATCGAATTACAAGTTGGAGAAGAACAATGGTCGGTTTATCGTCGTTATACGAGATTTAGAGAATTTCATGCAGAGTTAAGCTGCAAATATCCAGAAATCATGGTACTTCAACTTCCCCCTAAGAAATGGTTTGTTAATCTATCAGGGAAAATAGTCAATGAAAGACAGAACCAGTTAGAGGACTATCTTAGAAGCGTATTAAGAATGATTCAAAAGAATCCTGCTAGTCCTCTGCATCCAAAAAACGTCAAGTATTACTCCAAATATACTCTTACTAACTTTCACGAATTCTTCCGTAAAGGTCTCTTTGAAACTACTAAACATTCTACAACTTGAACAGTAATATGTTAAGCTATGTAATATTGTTCTGTTAAATACTTTTAATTGGTAAAAATTACCCTTTGAATCTCTTTTCGTTTTGCGTACCGTTTATTTATTGAATCTTTTTTAAGTATGATAAATTCAGATATAATTTTCAATGCAAAAACTGTTCATTTTAACCAGTAAGACGATCTTTTACTCCGTTATCACCGACAAATAGAACCTGAATGACGTTGACATTGGTCTTTTTCGGCTTGTTCAAATTTTTTATAACATTCATTGCAACATAACATGCAACACCTAGGACTAGCATAACAAACATAATATAAAATTTGAATTTCATACACAGAGTAGTAGAGTATAAACAGGATATGGCAAAGCCAGAAGCTTCATAAAGACGTAATGAGGAAAAAGCCTGGTCCGTCTTTCCTTCAAATAGAATTCCACATAGACCTATTGCAAAAGAAATTGTTTTTTAATCAATGAATAATAAAGCTGTGATAAATATAGAAATATCATTTTACATACTAAAGAACTGAGTTTGCCATATTGCATCACCGATGCCTAACGCGCAAGCAAATAGTGAACAGACTAAGAAATCTGGTTTTGGATCCCATAAAAACATAGCACATAAAGTAGCTGAATTCGCGCAAACAGCTATCGCAACGAAACCATTTATGGGCACATACTTTTGTAGCTTACCAAACACAATTGATCTGTGAGGGTACATTGTTGGAGAATTGAAAGGAATGTAAGGCAAATTTGTTAACAGGCAAATTATATTTATAGTTTAGTAACTTACCCAACAGCGTCGGCTGTACCGAAAACGGCCATTATATAGCCGATTCGATGTAAACCTAGCAGACAACTTACGTAAGCTCGTGTAAATTCCCCAAATATCAAAGCCTCTTGCATTCCGACGTAAATCATGAGTGGTATGAGTAGGAGAAGCTTAAAATCTTTATGGATTTCTAATATAGTCATTATTTGCATACATGCCGCTCGTTTTCCTAGCATCTGCCTCTTCTCTTTCTTCTGGTCTAGAAAAGCAATTAGTACAATAACACCCGTTATTGATACAGCAGCGAAAAGAATAATTAATATTGTAAAGGAATCAATCTGCAACTTTTGTTGAGAGGTGGTAGAATCTTGATTGTGGCAGAATTCGACGCCGCAGGTTTCCGCCGTATGATTTGGGATCGCTTCGCTGCTGTTGGTCAATTCGATGGTAGGTGATAGTACAGCGGATGAAATTAGGTTACCAGCTATTTGGGAAAGATGAAGCAAAAAAAGGAAGGTCCCATTAAATAGTCCCAAAACCGCTCGAACGGGACGGATGGTCTTCTGTGCGAATTCCATGGCTATTGTTGTAAGGTACGATCCTTGGGCGATCCACATGAAGGCCAGTAGAATACCTAGCAGAACGTTTGCCGGAATCAGCAAATCCGGGAAGAACATAGACCCAATATAAACTAGTACTGATAGCATCCCTGATAGTATCGCCCATTTTGGACCTATGAGAGATAAAGCAGGTGCAGCGAAGAAACAACCTACTATATACGATATGTACATGGCAGCCAAAGAATGGATACCTGTACTGTGAAGCGAACTCTGCAAATTGCGCAACGAAAAAAAGGCCAAGTAGAGAAGAGCGAAGGACGAACTTAAAGCAATCAAGTTTTTTATTTGATTCTTTCCCAGTTTCGGATTAGAGAAATTATTTGAGTCTGGTAATAGAACTTTTGAATTTTTCGGTTCGGGCTGTATTGCTTCTTCGTGCAGAACAATCCGGGATTCAGGAATATTTACCATGGAAGTATGATCTGTAACTGCCAGATTGCTTACCGACGAGCATTTTCGATTGAATTTTGCGGGTGGATTAGGAGATGGAGGAGTGTAAAGACTCCACATGGATCTTGCAGCCTCCAATTGCGACCAATCCATAGCGGTGAAAGAACGTTTCTTTAAATTCGCTCTGACGAAGAAATTGCTAATGTAAACCAGTCCGAACTGCTCTCAGCTGATTTCAAGCCTTACGCATGCGCGTTATGCAAATGTGAGATCTGGAACGAACTGGATCGACTATACACAAATACGTTTCATGAAATTTGTTAAAAATATACCTAATTTAACTAAACAAATGTTAAATTTAAATTCTAATTTTACTTATAAAAGAATTGTCAGTAGTTTTTGAATTTAATATTTATATTTTAAGCTGTTTTTAACCCATCCTAGTCAAAAGATTTTAATCAACAGAGAGAAAATATGAGGTGCCAATCAATTATATCTGTTGGTAAAATATCTAAACATCAATGGAATTACTAGAGGCCTACTTTTTAAATTTTTACTTTATCATAAATAATGTAAAATTGATTTAAAATATTAAATTATAAATCTCTCTATCGTCTCAGTCTAACCTGTACATGTACAGACAAATACACCTATAATAGATACACTCCTTTCTCTCTCTCTCTCTCTCTCTCTCTCTCTCTCTCTCTATCTCTGCCCTCTCTCTTGCTTTGTTATTTTCTCTGCTATGCCTATTCCTTCTCTTTATATCTTATTTGTCCAAAATGTTATATGTTTTGTTACATTTGTAGCTAAATATAAGAATGGTTTTGAGGACATTTACCAAATTTCGACCAATCGTAAACATGTTTACTATTGTAATAGCAAAATTAAAAATGTACTAGTATCATCTTTAGATAACCAAGTCAAGAGATTTAAAAAGCGAGGTTACTTCCATAGAAACCCCTCGATGGTGTCAATGGTATTTTGGTAGATCTAGGCTTAAATACAAATATGATATAAATTACACAGAGGTAAAAAAAAAAGAGAGCAGAGAGCCTTTATCAAGAAAGTAATATTTTAAAGTTAGGTAGGACTAAAAACTAGGAGGGTAGCATAGAAAATGAACTTGAACTGAATTGAGAGCATACATAACCTAAGCCTACAATCACTAACTCGTGTCGTTTTTAGAAGAACTGGGATATATTGCATAATATCTCTCCCTCTACAGAGCAAACTTAATCGAATAGAAAGAGATGGAGATTCTTAGTGCAAAAAAACAAGCTATAGGATGCTAGAAATTAGCTAAATAGTTGTATAACATTAAATTATACTATAAGCGAAATTGTGATAAATTGTAGTACTGCACAACACCAATTTTCTATACAGTCTTTTTATATTGAACCAGATGGAAATATTTCATCATATTAAAAAAAAAAACAGTTATTTATTGGGTCATATTTGTCAATGATATTAATAATGCTTGTCTCCCACTTCAATAGCGTTACTATGTAAAATAATACGCTAATTCTTCATCCTCTTTGCTTTGCTGATTATCTTTATCATCATCTGTCTGCTTATGAGCCGGTGGCTCGCTACGACCCATAACTCTTCGACCAACTTGTTTTTTAGGCGCTGCCTGAGCCCTCTGCAAAGCTTTCTGAACCCTTTCTTCCTGATGCTTCTTCTGCTGTTCCATTTTATCCTCTCGAGCCTTCAGCCTCCTTTCTTTTTCTTTCTTCTTCTCCGCTTCTTCAACCTTGTCTCTCGGTAGAGTTTCCATTAATTCGAAAAGTTCTTCTAATCGATTTTCAATATTCGTTAGCATTTGTAATGTTCTAGGAATTTGGAAAAAAAAGAGATTGTATGTAAATGCGCAGTATTTTTTTTTTATATGAGGTTATGGATTAATAAGAAACAGGATTATTGTTATCATTTCAATATGACGCATATATTTATGTCGTTATATCTTCTTTATAAGTACTAGGAATTCCCGGAATATCCTAAAATACGCAACCGCATGATTATTATAATAATGTAAGTCATACTCAATATTAGCTTCGTTATCACCAATGGTGGATCTGTAAACTTCTTCAACCTTTGCTTTGAGGTCTTTAAGCATATTCTCTTGATCTTCGGATTTAAATTCTCCATAGTTAAACATTCTAAGTTAATTAAAGAAATTTTTCATAATTATTTAACGATATTCTATAGAATTATAGAATTATCATAAAACATTTACTTAGCCTTCATTTTGAGGTCATTGGCTTTTACATCTTCTTTCTCTATAGCACTTTCCAATTTGTTAATTTGATCTTGTAAAACTTTCGTCTCTTTTTCCCTAATAGTAAATTAGTCTTTGTAATAATAATTAAAAGATCAAGAAACGTATATATTACATATTTTTTTGCGTTCTAGCCAAATTTTGTTTCATATCTTCTAAGGTCTCTTCAGTTTCTTGACTATTTTGTATCAGGGATAAATTTTGCTCCTCAAGATCAGCGAAAATGTCTAAAAGCTGTTGTGGATCTGTGAAATATAATTCCGGTTCTTCATCGCTATCTTCGTCAGTTAGGGACAAATTAGTATCTTGATCTTCTCTATTAGTTGAGAAAGAATATGCTATTTAGCGATAAAATAATAAGATTAATGTCCTTCAGTTCACCCTTGAACAGCTGGCAAATTCCTTCTACTCGATGCACTGGTTTTACCACCCCTTCCCCTTCGTCTAGATTCTCTACTTCCAACATTTTGACGGGAAGCCTTACTACTTGGACGACTCGATGCTGTTGACGCTTTTTAAAAAATTTACAAGATATTATCATAGATTTCCCTAATGATAAATAACTACCTCTTTCTTGTTGATCAGCAGCCGCTTCTTTCCTCTTAGCTTCAACTCGCTTTTTCCTATCTAATGCCCTCAGTTCCAACCATTCCTATTAAAACCAGGAAATGAATAATAAAATATTTCGAAAAGATAAATCTTGAAGGATAATCCTTACAGGAGGAGTTAAAGATTCTAAAAATCTCTTGTACATTTGATATTCTTTAAGTGTTTCTTCGTGTTTGGAAATTTCGCTTTTAATTGTCATCATCTGAGCAGTTACGCGTTTTATTTCACTGAGTTTTTCTAATTTTTTCTTTGTTTCGGCTTCCGCTCTAGTTAGTTAAAAAAAATGCATAAATAACATATTTTCAATATTTCAGATGTTTATAAGCCTATTACTTTTGTATAGCGTTAACTGAGTTGGTATCATTCTCTTTTAGAAATGCGTCGAACATTTGAGCATCTTCTTCCAAATATTGTTCAGCCTGTTCTAATTTCTTTTCTTCTGCTGAGGCTATTTCCTCTAATTTTCTCATTTCATCCCTTTTTACGCCTAAAGAATACTAGACAGGAAAGAAAAATCGAACAATTGCACATTAGCTGACTATAACTTATTCAAAATCTTAAGTGTAATATATGATAGAATTCATCTTAATCTACAGTACTAACGAATAGGAAAATCTTCCCTATAAAAAGTTTTTGATAGCTAAATGCTAAAATAGAAGAAAATCGTTCTTTTTTTTTTATAAAGCTATTTTAGCGATTACGAAATAAATACCTGGACCAGAAACATCTCGCGCTTCTTTGTGATATAATCGTTCAATGATTCCTTTTCTATATGACGATCTGAAAAATTATATCGTTATTATTTTTTGCAATTATGTGTTTTGTATAAAATTATTTTTTAACCTCTTGTGACCGCTAATGTAAATTCAGGATCTTCTTTTACAGGTACAATCTCATCATCATCGCGTTCACGTTCTTCATCTGATTCAATTGGTTTTATCATTCTGGCAGTTTTAAAATTGATTCTTGTAGCTTGAGTAGTTTTTTCATGAACTTTCAAATCTCTTAGTCTTATCCTATCTTCAGCTTTTCTTTTCTTTTCTTCTTCTCTTAATTTAAATATATCGCTATCTTTCGGCATTTTGTAAGGATTTTTCATCTTTTCAACTTCATTAGTTTGACAAACAGAGACTTTTGTAGACGGTCGACTTACAACGGCCATTGCTCCTACTATTAAAGAGAGTTTTATTATGTCTTTAGCAACTTTTTAGTGATTGTACATTTAAAGCTATACTGTATTAATTGGATTTTTTAACAATTGTAAATTTACGAGTACTTTAAGAGTAATACTATGTTAGTTACATATATAGAGTTTTTGCGCAAACTTACGTTGAGAATTTCGACCTGAAGTTCCTTTTGCTGATGATTCCGTCATTTTAGAAATCTAAAACTTCTACAATAAGGTTTTAAAACCAACTATTATTGTTTTAATGTTTCCATAGAAATATCTTAATCCGGTTTCCGGTTTAAAAGTAAAAGTGCCGAGGCGGAATATTTGAAATCGTAAATTTTTTTGAATGGCCAGAAAAAGAAAGATACTAAATAACAGTCAATTGTTTTATTTGTGAAATACATAAAATAAGCAAATTAAATAAATTCTTTGTAAAAAAATCTATTAATCGACCTAACAAGTTGCGGTCTGAGTTACAAATGCGTAAAAAATTGAGTAAGTAGTACTACCAGTTGTTTTCATACGAAAATAGGTGTTTAAGATGGCGAACGGCGTCCCGTTTCATTGATTTCCGCAACGTTTCTCGCCTGCTATGGATATTAATGCCCATTACAATATAGTTTTTTTCTACGCACTTTGGCGGATTAATTATTCTTCATAATGTCTAATAGTTTAAACTATGCTCGTAATTCGTTACGATGCTGTGTTGCAAAAATCGCTATACAAATCGGCTGGGTGAGCTCTCACGACTCATGTTTGGAGTTGCTTGCCGATATTTTGGAAAAAAGACTCCAGGAAACATGTGTTTTAATGCATAAATATGCAGAGCATTGTAAGTTACACCTTATTTCTGAAATTATGAATTTCATAATTAATTGATATACCTTTTTGCAGTTGGCAGAAGAGAAGTTTTCTTTGGCGATCTCGAATTAGCCTTTCAAGATATGTGTATTACAGAGAGTGAACTTAGACAATTTGCTGAAGCCCTTGTAAAAGGATCACAGGATAATAGCACCGATGTTTGTCAATTTCCTTATCCCAGAGCTGATGATCTAAGGATACCTAAAATTGGGAGAAAAAATCTCCAAGAAAGACCTGAGTATGTGGACGAATATTTTCCTCTATTCAACCAGGAAGCGATGGGTAAATTGGTTTAAGATATAATTTTATAAATTTTTGGCTTTTTTCTTAATTATTTTAAAGTAGTGTTTGAAAGGTTTTCATAAAAATCTCTTTCAGATGTAGATAGGGCATCATCAGAAGGTACACCTCAAAATCAACAACAAGACTCCCCATCTAAAAGAGGATCAGCTGGGAATAAAGCATTACCTGACGAGGCTGGTCACTCACAGTACGTGCCACGCTCTGTCATTCTTCGAAATGGTGTTGTCTGCGCTCCAACAACAGCTGGCACTCGACCTGAAGCAAAAACTCCACCTCCTATTAATCATAGCGTTCCTTCGAAATTTTTCCTATCGAAACCTCAAGCCGTACCTCCTCCTGCAAGTGTTGTCGTACGACATGAAAATGAGGATGTCGATGTCGACGTTGTAGATCCAAAACCAACAGGGAATACTAAAGTAGGCGGTGATCCTGACTTTCGTCCGGCACCACCAGTTGCAGCTCCATCTACTAAGAAGGTATATTGTTTTACTTTCAATAATAAAAAATTTTATATGATTCAGTAGTTTGTTTCAAAAAACTGATGGATTTTTAAAATATTACAGGTTACTAAAAAGTCTATAAAAGCAGTTGATGACTCGTCAGATAAGAAAAAAGAAAAAGAAGCCAAAAAACGTCGCTTAGAGAATTACGGAGAATTTATTGATAAAGTAATTCATCGGCTTCTTACAGAATACGAAGCAGACAAGAAAGAGAGAATGGAAAGAGAATTAGAGGAGGCGTTCGAAATTGTAGATAAAGAATTAAAGGCAAAAAGAAAAGCTGCAAAAAAGGCTGCGAAAGAAGCTTTACAGCAAGAACAGCAACTGCAACAACAACAAAAAGAGCAGCAGCTGAAGGAACAGCAATTGCAACAAGAATTACAACTGCAGCAACAAGAAGACGTTGTTCAGGAGAGGCGAAGTCCCAGCCTACCACCAGAAATTCCTTTGCCGCCATTTGCTGCCGATCCTTCGCCTAGTTATACACCAGCTTTTGCTGCAGCTCCCTCTTTACTGGACACCTCCCCTCCAATCACTACTCCTCTAGTCACAGAAGAGAAGAAAAAGAAGAAAAAGAAAAAGGATAAAGATAAGAAGAAAGACAAAGAAAAAAAGGAAAAGAAGAAAGAAAAGAAGGAAAAAGAGCGTTTAGAGAAAGAGACATTGGAAGAAAGTAGTCCTGCAAGGCCAAAATTGAAATTTAAATTTGGTGGTGCTCAGATATCCACACCACCTGTTGAAGACAGTGGACATTCTTTACCAAAATTGTGAGTATTTACGCTATTATCTATTGTGTCAATTACATAGGATCTTTCTTTAATTTTTTAGGGTAATTAAAAATTCTTCTCCTGAGAAAGATATTTCTCCTGCTCCTGCTCCTCCATCTCTTAAACTAGACAGCCCCAAAGGGACAGTACCTGTACTATCTGTTCCATCACCTCCTAAATCTAAAGTAAAAACTTTGGCGCAGAAGAAGGAAGCATCTTCTATGCGTGTTTTAGCCGAAACTATGAGTTCCACTGTGGTAAGTAACGGCTTTAAAAAAAAGTTTTTACCAGAACCAATTTCATTTTGATGATCTGATTTATTCGATCAGACAACGGAAGGTGAGAGGGTATGGATTTGTCCTGTATGTACTCATCCGGACGATGGTAGCCCTATGATAGGCTGTGACAATTGCGACGATTGGTTAGTTTTAGAATAAAATCTTTAACTATAGTAAATGTTAAAACATATCCATATGTTTTCTAGGTGTCACTGGATATGTGTAGGTATAAAAGATGAACCACCTGAAAATATGAAATGGTTTTGTCCCAATTGCAAACTAAAGGGAAATAAACCAGGCAAGAAAAAAGCTGGTCGAAAGCCAAAGAAAAAGAGTCTGTAACATATAATAATTGATATTATTTATTCCTTTACTTATTTTTTTTTTAATTATACATATTCGATCCTTTTTTTTTGTAAATCTGTTTTTTTAAAAAAGGAATAAAGACAAATAATTGTTCAATAATTCATAGGAAAATCGTATATTTACTTTAAAATTTAAAACATATATAGGAATGCCTTCATCATTAAGAACTTCATAAAAACAATTAAATTGAAAAATATTCAATTGATTTATTCAATATTTTTTGCAAACGTTTGAAAATATGCACTATAAAACCTTTGAAGATTTCCACTATATTGGAATCTATTGTAAAAACAGTGCTAAGAGTTTTCTTCAAGAAAAAAAAAACAATTTTTGAGCTAGAGTGAACGTTTTATCCGTCTCTAAACCGTATAAGACAACTAGCAATAACTCTGACTATATTTTTCATTTAACATCTTCAACTAGACCTATTTGCTGATCTATGCCACAGAGACCTTTATCCATTCGAATTTTTAAGTAACCATCCTCCCCCCAATCATTTCCCCATGAATTTTGCACTAAATAGTGCGGAACTTCCCCTTCCATATCATATCCAACAACTAATACAGCATGATTTAGTTGCTTATCACAATGAAATTTGATTATGCCGTTAGCATAATGTATCCATGAAGCTGCATCCACAGCAACTGCAACCGGGCCCTTTTGAAGACTAGTTTTCAAAAAATCCTCTCCAGCACCGCAAATATACTTAGTTAACTTTATACCTGACGTTGAGGAAGTTCGCTTGCATTCCTCATCCGCATCCTTTAACGGATAGCTACTCTCGGTTGTTATACTGATATGTTTGTTTTGTAGCCAATCCATTGCTGAGCATATATTGCCTCCTTCGCATCCCCATAAACTTTCTTTAAAGCCTCGAGAACAATCTATAACCTCTTGAATGGAAAGTTGAGTAAATTTGCCAACTTTCTTAGAATTTATAGCTTCAACTCCTTTAATTGTAGCAAATGCCCAACACCCTCCACATGCTTTTTGATCTCTTGGTCGGCCAACGTACTTTCTCCAATCAACTTTTTTCAACAATTTTACATTACTTGGAACCGAAGTTACTGTATTGTCCATTTTGAAATAACTCATTTTAGTTAATAACTTTTTTACAAATTCATCTTGAGTTAGATCGGAAAATTTAGTGATACCATACACATCTTCACCGTTCTCACTATTTAGTCTCTCTTGTTCTTTTAAGTTATTCTGATAGAAGTAAACAAAAAAATAATTTATTATAAAAGTCTCTTTTAAAGCCAATTAACTTTGCGAAAATCACAATTTTATTGCATTTATTGAATGAAAAACTTTATAGTTAAATAAAACCTTAAAGATTGAAAGTCTTTTGTTGTATTCTGGAGAATTGTATAGATAATCCTTTTTATATTTTAGAATAAATGCATTAAATTTTCTCTCATGGCTTGCCAAGTTAACATTTGTTACATAAATTATAAACAAGACTAAGAAAAGTAAAATAGAAATGGAAACGGCAAGTATCAACTTCATTGTTATCACATGACAAAAAACAAATATCAGTCGTCACATGATAAAAACCGGATGTAGTAAATAAAATCAGCACATGAGCACAATATAATATTGAAATGTAAGATGGCCGTTTTCGTAAATAGTTAAAGTTTTGACGCCATTTTGATTATCTTCATAATATCCTAGTCGCTTATGTTACTCCATGAATTATTTTGCAGCGAAACTTGAAATTTCACCGAAATGAGTGATGCAAATACATCGTTATTTGGCAATGTATAAGACCGCTGAATTATAATTTTATCAGTAATTTATTTATAATTTCATTTTAGACGGAATATACTTGCGAAGAACACGGTTCCATTCAAAATCTATTAAGATTGAAACTGGGGCCAGAATTTATTAGTCAAAGACCTGGACCTAGTGGGCAAAAAGTATTTATATATCAATTAAATTATATTACGAATTATTATAAACATATTTTTATTATTTTAGTTGGCATATATTGAAGGATGGAAACTTATTAACTTGGCGAATGAGACGTTTGGTTTTAGCGGATGGTCACACTCTATCACTCATCAATCAGTTGGTAAAGCAGAGAAATTTTGAGTTTAAAAGTTTATCATCTAAATCATAAATAATATATCTTTAGATTATATTGATCATATAGACGGAAAATACCATGCAGGAGTGAGTGCCTTCATCAAAGTAACGCTGAGAGTTTGTTCAATAGTTTCTACTTTTAAATCATTAAATTAAAGCATCAAGAAGTTTTCAAAAACTTTTAATAACAGAATGGATCTTTTCACGAAGATATCGGCTATGGTATTAGTAGTGGCTTGAGTTCAAAGGGACTTGCATTGGAAAAAGCCAGAAAAGAAGCCGTAACTGACGGTTTAAAGAGAGCTTTAAAGTATATTAATTAAATCATTATAATTTTCATATAAAAGATGTATCAGTATATTTTCAGATGTTTTGGTAATAGTTTAGGTAATTGCCTAGGTGATAAAAACTACTTAAAAATTGTTCAAAGAACGCCTGCTGTATGTTTATTTTATTATTAGATTAATTAATTTTCAATTAGATATTTAAAACTGGGATTGTTAAATAGAAAATGACAGAGAAGACCGATACAAATAGTTTTCTTCGACGGGAAGGAGACGCCGGTGTTACTCAGGCAAGATTGAAAAGGTTACAGAATGTAGAACAAAACTATACAATAAGTGGAACCGTTGGAGGTAATTCAACTAATTACGCCATGAGCTGCACGTCGATTGCCCACGATAGAACTGATCTATCGAAGAGTAACCCTAAATTAACTAGCACTCAGAAGCAACCAATTCAGTTTGTTATATTGTATAATATACTTTATATATACTATTAACATACTTCTTGTAAAACAAAATAGAAAACCCCAGAAACGCTCGATTTCCGATGTAACGCCTGTTGTATGTAAGAAGAATAATCAAGTACCATTAAATAATCAAAGTAAGTTAATATTAGTCTAAATTTTTAATATCTCTACTATAGATAAATCAATTTCTGCCTATAAATAATTATATTATATGTATATTATCTAGCGATTGTTTCCATTTTCATTGCCAACGAATTATTAATAAACATTCATTTATTCGAATGTAATGCTACATATTTAAAATTATAATTACTAGGTCTATTATCCTTTTATTCACAATATATTATATATTTATGTAAATATGCATAGATGCTAATGGGAAAATAACGGAAGGAATGTCTAATAAGATAAAATCAGATAATAGCCCCTCTGATGAAATAATTAATGAAGATGATTTTGGTATGATATTTCTTTTTCTCTTTATTTCTAAAGATTTTCGATTTTAATTAAACATTTCTCTTTCTCTAATTAAAAAAGATGAATTAGAAATATGGAATCAAACTCAGGAAATGGAACAAATAATGATGAATTTTAAAGAAGAGCCTCCTTGCGCGTAGACGATTTGGTATCTTTTTTTGTGTTTTTACAAACACTTTGTATATATTTCAATCACTTACGTCCTTTTATATAAGAAACTGGAATATTAATCATATTGTCTTTTTTAAAATATTTACTCCAGATTTTGCAGCTCAGAGACCTGTTATCTCCTTTCAGATAGTATACACATTATATATATATAGATATCTTATTGCTTTTTTAACTTTTAAACTAGTTACCTCTTAAAAAGGACACAAAAAGGAAAATAAAAATAAGTCTTTTATCTAAATTTAGAAATAGTGAAATAGTGATAAATACTGAATTATTTACAACTGTGATAATTAAACAAACAATTGCTATTGATTTGCTGAAACATTATTTGTATAGTGCTATATTTTGGATGTGGGAACACTTTTTGTTAGTTTTTTTTATCCTATTTGGAAGAGGAACAACAAAGACTTTTTTTTTCTTTTTATTGAAGATGTTATGTCAATATTTAATCATTTTTTATCAGTTATCAATAGACGAAGAACAACAGCAGGGAAGAAGAAGAAAAGGTTTTCGAAGAATTAAAAAAATTAATTGTCTATAGTAAGGAAGACAACGATTTTATAAGCATTCCTATACCATAAATGTAGTTATCATCAGCCTCGTTGGTTTCGAAAACATGAGTAAAATCAATCATTCGTACATCAGCTAGAGATTCAACAGGTGATTGGCTTTCGTCACCTTCGTATATAATAAGCAAACTACTGGAATAGAATGCAAATTCCCTTTGAATATGGAAAAACTCATTGATACGCCCTAATTTGGATAAAACTAGCTGTAAAACATCTCTTCGTAAGCTGGATTTTTGAGTAAAAAACAGCTTTAAGCCATTTTCAGTTACATCCTCAGGCTCCAAAGATAATCCAAAGAACCTATCCTTAAACTGGAAACTATTTTCCTCTGGCTTGTAAATCTGACATCAAAAGTAATTTGTAATTACAAATGTATAATATAAAATCAGAATTAATCAAAGTTGAGCTTTCTACCTGCATGCCTAAGATTCGGAAACCAATTTCCCCCATTCGCGGATATTTCTGAGTCTCAGAATTAATTTTTTTCTCTGTTGCTTTTGGATCATAAGTCTTTTTTCCTATTTTAATATCCATTATACATGGCTTTCTAAAAGGTTTTGCTATGTCTAGCAATTTTAGGTATGTAATATTAGTTCCATTGATAATGTATTCCTCAGTACCATAAAAAGGGGGAACCAAATTTCGAAGCTCTTCATGTACTGGATTAATTATAGAGAGATCAAATATTGTTCTGTAAAATTTCACTTCCACTTCGCCTCTTGGTGGACTTTGCAAAGGTTTTAATACATATTTGTCTTTTTGTAGTAAACCTAGATAAGAGATAAATAGTTAGTTAAAAGTACGTAACTGTTATTATAATAAAGTATACCGCTTTTTATGCCCCCATTTTCATCTTTCTGAAAACGGTGACCGGCTATTTGATGACTTAGGATTTGAACGTCAGCAGGCAAAGTTATGCCATTATCCATAGTCTCATAAAACTGTCTGCAACGAATGTAACTGTTCGAATGATTCTTTCTAACTGGACTATTTCATAGAGCGATCACCAGTTTTTATAGGCAAGACATGTAGTGACATCTTTTGTAATTCTTGTATATTTAACAATACAATATATTTATTGCAGAAAAGTAAAACATAATTATAATACAAAAAATATAACAAGTTTGTTAAATTAGATTTCTTCCATTTCCTCATCCGATTCTTCAACAACTTGAACAACCTTTGCTTCCAATTTCTTCTTCTTTTTGGCACCCGGAGCTCGAATCAAATGCATGTTCTTTTCTACCTCCTTTATATCATCTGCTTTTCTTAATTCTTTGCCTTTTTTCAATCTGTAATGAAATAAAAACAATTGTTAGACACTCTCAGTTGTTTATGTATCTTTTAGTAATTAGTAAATTACCTATTAATAATATGTTGATTCTGTCTCTTGACTCGAATCTCTTCAATGCGCTTCATAGCTTTTATACTGTTTTTCCATAATTGTCTGTCGTATTTAACTGGAGCATTTCTTCTCTTTTCAAACTCAAATGTTGGATCGACAGCCAATTCTTTACCAGACGACTTTCTGAAAGCTTTAGTCCAACGAACCTTACGGGGATTTCTCTTCTTTTTAAAAGCTTTATGGCATTTTGATCGACAAAATCTGAAAATCTGCGATTAAAGCAAAAAGAACCATTACATACTTATCAATGGAATGAAAATTATGTTCTTAGTCTCTTTACCTTGCAGTCATTTCTGACGAACTGTACCCCATGTCCAGGATAGATCGTAGACGAACAAAAGTAGCACTTCTCCAACCTCATTTTTGAGACGTGCCACGGTTAAGAATACAGAGGTTAATCGAGCAGTTAGAACTATGTATTCTATTTTACCGGATTCAATCTCAAACACAAATTTCACAACACGTGGTCAGAAATTATTCTAAACTATTCTCCACTCTCCCAATCAGTAAGCATACTAACATTACAAGTGCTGCCCCCAACCGGTCGATGTTAACTTGAATTTTTTTCCTTGCCAAGAAGATGTGCCATACACAGTATTACAATACATCAATAGTAGCTTAAACGTAAGATGATAGTTGATTGTTAGGTGCACATGTTTAGAAACTTATAGTGTCCTCATAACAAATATAAACTAACTTTCGATATTTAGGATCCAGTACTTTTAGTCCAATGAATCATGGCTTTGTAAGCTCTTTTCTTTCTTTAACAAGAATTTGGGATAAAACTATATAGAAAGGAATATATTATCACCAATATATAAATATATCCTTTTTATAATGTTGATAAAACTATATATACAGTATATATATATATGCTTTCTGGCTTCAAAAGTTTATTTATAATTCTACGTTAGCTGGTCTATCCTATAATGCTGTCTCATACTGTAAATGGTAGGTTTTTTTTCTCTTTGTTCTTTACAATCTTATTTTATTAGAATTACTATTGATGTATTGTTGGCAAGGAAAGAAAATTCAAGTATACTGCTATGATAATTGTCTCTCTCTCTCTCTCTCTCTCTCTAAACTACAATTCTTACTTTTTTTTTAATTAGTTTCCTATATTTCAGAGATAGCCAGACAAGAGGAAGTTCTTAAATAACGAACATTTTTAAAGATCTTTATTAAGTTTCAATCTATATTTTCCAAAAGAACTTTGAAAAGGATATATTTTTCATTTATTTCTCTTTAAATGATCTATTAATACACTACAATAAAATATGACTAGGGTAAGTAACTTATGTACTTATAGAGAAGTATAAAAAATAATGCAATAGCTCTTATACTCTACAAAACAAAACGTATTGAGTCCTTATTATTCAATTACTTTTTAAAGTTTTCATATTGATGACTCAACCATTAAAATTTTAATAAATCCCTACATTTTCTTTAATAAAAAGGAAGAAGAAATAGATTTTCACACCGTTATGAGGATAGTTTGTCTTCTCTTTTTATTTTATAATACAGAATTTGTTGAGTAATTATTACAATTTTTTAATTGATGTTTAATTATTATTTAACTTTTTTTTTATAGATCTTATGGGAAAATAATAACTAAAACGCTATCAATCGATGATCCTATATTAGAATGCCCTAAGGGTTCCGTTATTAATATTGTAAGTACGCCTTTTACGGAAGAACCAAGGAGGAGTGACTGTTATCATGAAATGCTATTAGCTGATAATGTAACATTTCAAAGTATTTTATTCAGGTTTATCGATTTAAAATGAACGTGTAAAAGTTATATATTAATTATTTAATTCATTTATATATAGATGTAACTTTGAAAGAGAATGTGATACAAGCGATACCTTTTATCGAAAATATCCTTGCTTTCTTTATAGCCTTCATTCGTTTGAAGTTGATTTTGAATGCTCAACAAAACACCCTTCAAAAAGTTTAATTCTCCCTACTGATTATTCTTTTAACTTGAACTGTGAAAATAATAAATTGATACGAATTAATGACGTTTGGACTGACTTTCAAATATGTTCCGATGAGTACGTTTGGGACGAATCTAGGGTTGGACATATAGAGAGATGCGATATTGATTGCAGATTTTTTATTAAAATTAAAGTACTTAAAGAGTATGTTTACTTTAACAGTTTGTTTATTAAAATGTCTACAGAACAGTTTATTATAGGTGTGACAAGAAGACGAAATGTACTGTTGATCTACGAATACTTTTTACGAATAGATATCCAGTTTATATGAGCGGTTGTTATATATCAAAGGTCTCCCATGAATGTATATCGAATGGTTCTCTATTCTCCTTTATTAATTATCCTATAATATCATTGCTTATACTACAGAAACGACTGCTAAATTATCGGGTACTACTACTCTTAAAACCACTACAGCACAAAATTTTATTAAATTTACTACGACAAACCCTCAATTGAAGGCAATTGACGAAAATAATGAGAGTATGCAATCAAATTCACTTTTGACAGATAAACCAGACTTATCAACTAAGCCTTCTAAAGAAATAACACAAGATTTGAATAAAAATGATGGAGAGATGAAAACTTCGTTTATCACACCTAAAAATGCACTTAAGCAGACCAGTTCAAAGTCTCAAAGTTTAATTAAATTATCTACTAAACATGTTATTAAAACAACTAGTACCGATAATGTACGACAATCATCAATAAGACAGGAATTAAAAAAAACTAGTATACAACCGGTTACAATTACGACTAATTCTTTGCAGACAAAATTCCACAGTCCAAAATTTACAACATATAAGAATGAATTAAATACCGAAGTGTCTTCTAAAAATATCATAACGGAAATTTTAAACAATGTTCGGGGATCGACAAAAGAGAAGCTGAGTTCGATACAAGCGATAAGCGAAGAGAATATTGCAACTATCCAACCAACCCTTGATAAAATATTATCTCTGAACACTAACACTATATACAAGAAAAAGGAAACTGATCATCTCAATAGGAGAACTCAGCCTATTCACAACTCTGAATCAAGTAGGAGTTCTTTTATACCAAATGAAGTTGCTAATGCGTTGACTATCCTCACTCCTCCAGAAATGGAAGTATATTTGTCAAAAGCAGGAAAAACACATATAAAAGCAGGATTTTCAACCGAACCTTCATCAATTACAGATGTATCTCAACAAAACACATTAGCAAACAACATTATTACAACAACTGAGACTACGGCCAAACCTATTGACGTACATAAAACTAGAAAAAAAGATACAGCTGTATCTACAAGTGAACACAGTTCAACAACAAGTGCCTTTTCAACAACTGATTCTAGATCAAAAGTTGTCATAATAGAAGAAGAAAAACTGCAAACACCAAATTCTGCAGAAAGAAAAGACCCTGCAACAGACACGTATTCTTCTGTGCGAAAAAGGCCAAAAGTTATATTAGATAAAGACAGAGGTAAGTAATCTAAATGTCTCTCTTCTGTTAAAATCAATAATGTAATAATAAAAGCTTTTACATTAGTTCAAGAAAGATCGACTACCTCAGTTGAAGATAGTGGAAGGTTAATCAAACCTTCTTCTGTCAGAGCCAACAATCATGTAACCAACGTCTTTACACCAGTAGGGGAAAGACCAACGAGTGCTTCAGTGGAAGACAGTGGAAGGTTATATGAACCTTCTTCTGTCGGAGCCAACAATCCAGTAACCAATGTCTTTACATCAGTAGGGGAAAGACCAACGAGTGCTTCAGTGGAAGACAATGGAAGGTTATATGAACCTTCTTCTGTCGGAGCCAACAATCCAGTAACCAATGTCTTTACATCAGTTGAGGAAAGACCAACTAGTGCTTCAGTGGAAGACAATGGAAGGTTATATGAACCTTCTTCTGTCGGAGCCAACAATCCAGTAACCAACGTCTTTACATCAGTTGAGGAAAGACCAACGAGTGCTTCAGTGGAAGACAATGGAAGGTTATATGAACCTTCTTCTGTCGGAGCCAACAATCCAGTAACCAACGTCTTTACATCAGTTGAGGAAAGACCAACGAGTGCTTCAGTGGAAGACAATGGAAGGTTATATGAACCTTCTTCTGTCGGAGCCAACAATCCAGTAACCAACGTCTTTACATCAGTTGAGGAAAGACCAACGAGTGCTTCAGTGGAAGACAATGGAAGGTTATATGAACCTTCTTCTGTCGGAGCCAACAATCCAGTAACTAACATCTTTACATCAGTTGAGGAAAGACCAACGACTGCCTCAATTGAAGATAGTGGAAAGTTACATGAACCTTCTTCTGTCGGAGCCAACAATCCAGTAACCAACGTCTTTACATCAGTTGAGGAAAGACCAACTAGTGCTTCAGTGGAAGACAATGGAAGGTTATATGAACCTTCTTCTGTCGGAGCCAACAATCCAGTAACCAACGTCTTTACATCAGTTGAGGAAAGACCAACGAGTGCTTCAGTGGAAGACAGTGGAAGGTTATATGAACCTTCTTCTGTCGGAGCCAACAATCCAGTAACCAATGTCTTTACATCAGTAGGGGAAAGACCAACGAGTGCTTCAGTGGAAGACAATGGAAGGTTATATGAACCTTCTTCTGTCGGAGCCAACAATCCAGTAACCAATGTCTTTACATCAGTTGAGGAAAGACCAACTAGTGCTTCAGTGGAAGACAATGGAAGGTTATATGAACCTTCTTCTGTCGGAGCCAACAATCCAGTAACCAACGTCTTTACATCAGTTGAGGAAAGACCAACTAGTGCTTCAGTGGAAGACAATGGAAGGTTATATGAACCTTCTTCTGTCGGAGCCAACAATCCAGTAACCAACGTCTTTACATCAGTTGAGGAAAGACCAACTAGTGCTTCAGTGGAAGACAATGGAAGGTTATATGAACCTTCTTCTGTCGGAGCCAACAATCCAGTAACCAACGTCTTTACATCAGTTGAGGAAAGACCAACGAGTGCTTCAGTGGAAGACAATGGAAGGTTATATGAACCTTCTTCTGTCGGAGCCAACAATCCAGTAACCAACGTCTTTACATCAGTTGAGGAAAGACCAACGAGTGCTTCAGTGGAAGACAATGGAAGGTTATATGAACCTTCTTCTGTCAGAGCCAACAATCCAGTAACCAATGTCTTTACATCAGTTGAGGAAAGACCAACGAGTGCTTCAGTTGAAGACAGTGGAAAGTTTATCAATCCTTCCTCTGTTGAAAATAGCATTCCTAGAACAAGTGCTTTTTCATTAACGCAAAGGATACCACACACTTTGTCAGCTGATGTTGTTAGGAAAATATCTACACCTAACTACGCAGAGATATTTACAACGAATGGAATTAAATCCAAAACTCTGGTAATAGATAAAACTGTAAAGAAAGCTACACCTCGTTCTCAGGAGAGTAACCACTCTCAAATGATTAGCATTTCAACAACTGAAAGAAGACTGATGACGATATTAAAAGATGTTGTTGGAAAAGTATCTATCCCCAGATCCGTACAGACAAGCTATCCTAAAATAAATATCGTTTCAACAACCAGTGATAAAGCTAAGATAGCAGTAACAGATGTAGCTTGGCGTGATAGGACTAATATTAAGCCCAAATTAAGAGATTTTACTCAAGCTGGCATCTCGAAAGCTACTTATGAAGATCAGAATAATTCATTTGAATCTCTAGCTACGCAAGTTAAGAAAGCAACAAAAAATATAAAGGTTACTACAACGACAGCGTATAGTGTCGAAAAAATATCACAACCAGTTTCTAGAATAGGAAGGGAAGTTATTTCAACGAAGTTGCCTGATGACTATTCTTCAGCTGGATCAACTCCTTTGCCGAAATTAACTAGCAATAACTTAATTTCGCCAATAGTTTTATCGACAATGGAGAAAAATCAAGATCACTCCTTAAATTTCATAACAGATAAACCCTCGACAAGGTCAGCTGAAACAAATTGGCCAACAGCAAAGGAGAATATAAAAGAGGAGTCCTCTAAAAAGATACAATTAGAACAATCGAAATCATTTACACAGATATTCCCTACATCAACGAATGGAATAAATCAACGAATGGATAAAACTTTTATACTTGAGGAGTCAACTATTGTATCGACTACTAAAATATCAATAACAAAATGTCCAAGGGAAGTTATAGATGGTCTGGTTTGGAAAACTGTCTATGTATCACCTAAAGAGACACAAAAAGAAGTAACAATACAATGTCCAGATAACGAAAGTAGTAATTAATTTAAATTTAACTGTAAGGTTAATATCTTTTTATTCGTTCAGAGGCTACAAGATTGTGTACTTTTGATAAAGGCTGGAAGCGACCTAATACTACCAGTTGTAAGTCAGATTTTATTGGGAAAATATTAATAGATGTAAGGCATCTTTTCTCTTTTGAATATTCATAAGCTATTATTTAAATTTTTTACTAAATTTTAGAAATATTTTTCTACAGCTGAAACAGAACAAAGTAACAAATTACAATATTGCTAGAAGGTTAGCTGAAGAAACAATGAATAATTTAGAATATTCTGGAAATATCGAAGCATTTGAAGAGATTTTATATCTAATATCGAAAAAGATTGATACTACTATTCCCATTCAGAATTCAGTTTATAATATTTCTAGAGTAAGTTGTTAAAAATGCTAGAGAATTGGTTAAATAGATTTTTGTTTTTCTAAAAAAACAAAGGATATAATAAAGTCGATTAATAATCTGTTAAGTGGGGAAAAGGTTAAAAAGTGGAGAGAAGTGTATAACTCTCGAAGAATGAGAATCGTTGAAAGTTTAGTGCAAATTGCCGAAAGTACTGCATTAAATATGATTAAGAGTAAATCGTTGAATCAAACGAATCTTTTAGTTATTGCTGATAATTTAGGTTTGTTTATATAGGCTTAAATTTACAAACAATATATATATAGAGTTCGTTTATAATTATAGTTATAAGCGCCGAAGAGATTAATCAAAAAAATGATTCTACTGTTGAAAAGTATAAATTTTCACCAAATTACATCCGTAAACATAGAAGAAAAGGATATACAAATGAATTTATTATTCCAAAAAATTCAATAAGTATTAATTAATATTCATAAATATTCATAAAATAATTTTTTAATGAATATTCAAATTTTTATTACTTTAGAAACTAAAAGTAAAAGAGTTGTTTTAATTTTCGTTGAATATTCAAATATTGAAGAGATGTTAGAGACGACTTTAAAAAATAATAATACAGTTTTAAATAGCAGAGTCATTAGTGCTACGGCTATTGACGGTTCAAATTTCAAGCAGTTGAAAGTTTCGGGTGATATTTTCTTTATAACTGAAAATAGGAAGGTTTTGTATAAATTTTTATTATTATTATATGTTAATAATGTATATTGCTTTGAATAGAAAAACTTGAATGGTAAGACATTATGCTCGTACTGGAATTTAGGGTCAAGGTTAATTAATAAAATTATCAATAAATTCCATTTTTAATTAAATAATTCTCGTTTAAAGGGAAAATGTCGGGTCTTGGTCACAGTCAGGATGTTCTTTCGTCAGAGAGGAGAGTAACATTACTCATACGAAATGCAAATGCAACCATTTAACTAATTTTGCTGTTCTATTTGATATGCACGGAGTTGAAGATACTGTAAAGAAAAGAATGAAATATATTCTCCATATAAAAAGAATGATTAATCTCTTTCTTCCTTAACTAGCTTTCTCTAGAACATCGATTTAGCCTTTCTATTATAAGTCGTGTTGGATGTTCTGTCTCAGTTTTCTTCCTTGTATTATCTTTATTTCCGTTTATAAAATTTAGGTCAGTTTATGTTAATTAATGCATAATATTAATTATTTCCATTCATATAGAAAAAATTTTAACGCCAAAAGAAGCTCTGCAATGTCAAATCTCATAAATATTCATTTGAGTTTAACATTACTAGTATCTCAATTAATATTTCTATTTGGTATAACACAAACTTCAAATCAAGTAAGTTATTAATATTCATAAGTTTGTTATTATTGACATAATTAATTTTATAATGAAAGTTGATTTGTCGATTGATTGGGGGCTTGCTATTGTATTGTCTTCTCTCAAGTTTTATGTGGATGGGATTGCAAGGAGTCTTAACTTTTTTCCTAGTAGTTGTAATCTTTGAGGTTAGGACATCTTTACGTAGGAAATTCCTTATAATTGCATACGGTAAGGGAATATACTAAAGATAAAATATCTATATATTCTATTCACATACGTTCTAAGAGTTTATTTAATAAATAACATTATATTTTGTATTTTTAAAGCCTTACCAGGGATTATCGTTGGTATTACGGTAGGGCTAAATTTCCAGGGGTTAAGCTCCAGAAATTTGTAAGTATACAGTCGAAACATAGACGTACGATAAATATTCTATTAATTTCTTAGCTGTTGGTTGAGGAAAGAACTATTTATTTGGAATTTTATTTGTCCACTTGCCGTTGTGATTTTAGTAAATAAACTATTATTTCTAATAATTTTAATTAACTTAAGTTAATTTTCTATTTCCCATCTCCTTTTAGATAAATTTAATAGTAACATGTATTGTTTCTATTAAACAATGGCGTCTTTCTCATAATCGGAAACATTGTCTTAAAAACCAAAAATTAGAGCTTAAAAAATACTAGTAAGCTGATTGGATATTAGCTAATTAACTAATTAATTGATATTTGTTTACAGTTCTGTTTTAAGATTTACTTTGAAAACGCTTTTCGTATTTGGTCTTAGTTGGACTTTTGGATTTTTATACATTTCGAAAAAATTCGTATGGGCCGCTTATATTTTCACCATTTTAAATAGTTTACAAGGCCTAAGCATCTTTTATTTCTTATGTATTAAGAGCGTTATTATTCAACGTTCAGTTTTAACGTGGCTACGAAAAAGAACTTGGTTATCCTTAACTTTTAAAGACAAACTAACTAATTACTTAATAGATTCGTCATCATCAGGGGTAAATAGCTCTTTCATCTATTTACTACAAATTAACATAGTCTTTTTATTATTCTACTATAAAAATAAAGGAACTTTTCAATGCGGGTGATAAATCGAAAAATGACAAACTGAATAGATCGGAAACAATTGAAAATAACGAACCAATTAGAAGAGAAAGAGAAAATGAAACTTCAATCTATTTAAATCCAAATGATATATATTTAGAGAGATTTACAAATGCATACGAAATTATTAACACATCTCAAATGCCGATAATATTGCAAAAAGATGAAAGAACTGGAGAGGTACGAAGAAAATGATGAATGTACTATTTTCTTTATATTTTTTTTAAACAAACAAAGAAAAAAAACTTCAATTTTGAGTTTTTCATATATACTTTGATATATTTATATGTTTTATGCATTAAAAACTTTATATATACGTATATAGAATATGTAAATTACTTCTTTTATTCTAGTTTTAAAATATATATATATATAGATAGATATATACAGTATCTACTAAAAAAATATTACTTGTTTTCTCCTCTTAAAACCACTAATAAGATATACGAATATGTTCCTGAAACTACAGAATATAAAAGAATGAGAAAAAAGAGAGACAGAGAGAAGATAAAACTCTACGGATAAAATATGTAGTAAGTTATTATCTAATTAATCACATATCACTCAGTTAAAATAGAAGATTTAAAAAATAAAAAAATAGGTAGGTTGATATGGCTATGATTACTCTAAGATATATACAGTATACAGTATATATATATATAAACTTAATCATTTCTTTATGAAATTCTTTGAGAAAGGTAAAATGAATAAAAAAGAAAATTCAAATTTTTCAATAAATATTTTTTATATATTCCTGTTTTGAATTCATTTTCTTGGATTTCACAAATGTATTCAATTCTTCTGAACTTGCTAAATGCGGCCATAAAATGGATTTACTTGAATTTTTTTGGCAGGTTGATAAATTTTCATCTTCCGGTGGATATTTCTCAATTGTTGGCGTCTAATTAGAACATTTTTTTTTCAAGTAATAATACTAATTAATCGATATAATACTATTACCTGTGATACTTTCGATGTTGAATAACTCGTTAATATTTTATCTTGTAATGTTTGAGGTACCCAGCCCTGTTTTCTGAGCCATCTTCTCGATGCGTCCCTTATTATTTCACTCCGTGCACAGATGAATATAAATACGCTTAGCCCTTGTAAGGAATTTAATATACAAAATATATATGCTGCCCATACAAATTGTGTCGAAATATATAAAAAGCCAAAAACCCATACGAATCCAAAGGTAAATAGCATTTTTAGCATAAACTGCACCATAGATCTAAGTTGGAAGAACAAAAGTAAACAGTTACAAAATTTTCCATACTCTTTCATTTATAAAAAAAAAAGACAACTATTTCGTACAAAAATTTAGCCTTTTCCGATTTTTTAACATGTGATATCTTCTTTAAATTATTACGATTGGCCGTTGAACGTCGATATTTGATGCAAATTACAATTGATGCTATTAAATTAATCTAGAAAATACGTAGATTTGTGTTAAAAAAAACACTTTAAAAGTATTTATTTCAATACTTACGAATATTACCAAACATAGGGGTAAAATGAAACAATAGATAAAATGTTTCTTGTCAATCCAACAACTTTATTAGTTTAATTAAAAAATGACAAAAGTATTAAACAACTAAAAATAGCAAATATTCCAATTTTATCTAACTTACTAAGTCTTCTCCTTTAATTCTAGAAAGAAATCCTTTACGACATCAATTGAAATTAGTATTGGTATACCTTACAAAATAATAAAAACAATATCTAATTAATTAACTGATTTATCAATTTAATAAAACAATTTTCTATAAATATTAATTCATTACCATATCCAACTGATAGAAATTTCCATCTTAAAGATGATTTTGGTTCGTATACGAATATAACCATAATTAGTGATAAAATACCGTATAAACCCATCCACATGAAACAAGCTAATAGAAAGTACAATAAAACTGTTGTGACGACATGGCAGATGATCTAAAAGAAGACAAACAAGCAAAAGAAATCGTAAATAGCTACTACATCTACTGTACATCATACAAATTTGCTAAAACTCTATAAATAGACATAGTAAGAAACACTAAGTTTAATTAATTTAAATTAAAGATATACCTTATTTGATGTTTGCGGTATTCCTATAGAAAAGATCACTTGCGCCAATAATAATGATATACTCAAATTTATGTTAATCAAAAAAGTCGCTTCCTTCGTCACCTTACCATAAAATTTTCTCCTGTTATATTTATATATAACAATTAACCATTCAAAATAGGCACCAAGGAGAAACTTACCGGAACTTTGCGAAAATAATAATTGTTATCATTAAAAAAAAAATTGATACACAACATCCGCATCTAGTAATTATCATTAAAGCAAATCGATCAATTTCCGATAACTGCAGACATAAGAAAAACAAACAAAAATAATTATTTGTCAAGTTAATCTATAATTGTAAGTTGATACAATTATACTGACACTTTTATCAACTCCATGTATATCCATTAAAATCGCAAAGTTTGTCAAATGATTACATCTACACTTTACGTGCGTCTTGTTACTTTCCTCTTTCATCATAAAACATCCGTGATTCGACCAAACTCCTTCCTTATTCTTATCCCTTCAAATTTGAAACAAGTCAAATATCAATAACTTTTCCTTTCATTTTCATCTTCAAATCTCTCCTTCTATTAAAAGATTACAACTAATTTCTCGAAATCGTTCTACTTACGTTGAAGTTGTATTCCAAAATGAACATTCAGTATTTCCCACTAAGCTTTTCTGTGAATAACGAATGACATCTTTACATTTATTTATCTATTTATCTATCTATCTATCTGTCTGTCTATCTTCATCTTTTCTCCTAATAACCTTTTACTTACATCTTTCCTTTCGACTATCAAAAATACGTCACTCTCCAACGCCGATTGTTTTACTGAGTTTGTCGACAAAATGGCGGCAATTACTTTACTGTTAAACACTCTTTTTCCTTTTCTGCTTTCACTTTCTACCGTCTTCTTTCCACGAATCGTCAATGTTTCATTCATTTCCCCTCGCCATGTTTCTTCTTCGACGATGCGTTTGTTATTGAGAAGAACATCTTCCATATTCGAATATTCGATAAAGATCAGAACGCTTTCATCATTCACAAGACCTAAATTGAAGACATTAAATTGATGGTTTCTTATTGCAACACTTATTTTCAATATGCGTAGATGTTGTATATATAAAAATGAGTGCGAGTGTGTGTGTCTGTCTGCCTGTCTGTCTGTCAACCTATACTTTTGTCTCTCTCCCTCCGTCTATTGATCCCCAATCCCCAATCCCCACTTTTATCTCACTAACAAATCTTTTTCACTCTTCACACACTACGTATTCACCTCCAATAGCCTTTCGAGGGATAATAAATTCATTCCTAGAATTAGTCGAATCCTCTTCACCATCTTCGCTCCGGCCGAAGGCTGATTGTCTTCCAATCGACGATGTAAAGATGAATTCCGTGTTTGACTGTCGAGTTGAATTATTCAATTTCTGAATACTAACAACTGCGTGGGAAAATAGAAACGATAGTCAATTTTGCGCCACTTATTTTAAATGTTTTCTACAAGAAACCCAGTTGATTAGAAGTGATAACCGACCTACGTTTTCCTCTTCTATTAATAGAGAATCAGTATTGTTTCTCTGCAAAGAGATACTATCTGATATCTTCATAGTAGTCTCTTCAATGCTAGTGATCATTCTAAGAGCAGTTTGATGTCGAGTTGTTTGCGAAAGTTCCTCCCAAACGAGAAGTTTATCGGGTTTAAGAAGATTACTAACAGATTGGGTAATAGCCTAAAAGAAACAATTATAAATTATAGACCATAAGTAATGAAAGTAAAGTAGGTAGAAATGATATTACCTTGGTTATATTCTCTGCCTGCGTAAACGTAACATTTTCTATATTCTTAGATAATACTTGAAGGATTTTTCCAGTTAGACTAATATCCCCAGCATATAGACGACCTGTTTGTGTCAGTTTGGATATTTTATTTGCTGTATTTGTTAAATTTTCCTGAGATTTCGGCTACGAAAACATTAATATAATAATTATTAAATTGAACGTTTTCTTCAAAATATCAGTAGTACCACCTCTTGATCTATTTCCAACATTTCGCTCGATTGGCAATTAGAAGTGTTCATTCTTAACCAACCTTGATTGTTGTACGAACATATTCTGGTAGCATCTGTAATTGTTATAATAATACGATAGGCTTAACGGAATATGTAAAATAGTGTTTGAGCTTTACTATTTTCTCCATCAGGACATAAACTGCTAACAAGAACTTCTTCCTCGAAATTTGTTACATTTGTCTGCTTCCAATGAAATATACCAGAATATTCTTCCAAGCATTTAATTTCTAGAATTGGCTTATCTGTGTTAATCCATGCCATTGTGCTTTCTTTAGCAGTGAAACGAGAGCCTAATTAAGTGAGGGAACTAATTAGTAATGTAGCTAAATTATAGATATTGAATAAATTCGAAACTTTTCCTTACTATTATGCATAGTTTTATTCGAATCTTCAGTAGTTGTTTGGAAAGTTCCTATTGCCTTACTTGGCATATTAGTGATTCTCTTCTCTTCTTCTTCTTTGTTTAAAAGTTGGCTTTTTTGAGAATAGGTAGTTGAAATTTTGCCAATTGGAGAGGATTGCTGATGTTTCGTTGAATAGGTTACCGAAGCTGTGGTCCCTTCTTCGTTATCGGTTGTTGAAAATTCACTATTAACCGTTCGTTCGGTAGTGGATGTATAAATTCCATGGGACGTACTGTAAGACGTCTGCTCGCCATTTATCGTTGATAATGTTGCTTGATTATTCACAATTGTAGTTTCTTCCATATATGTTTATATAAATAGAGAAGCGTATGATAAAATTAAATTATATTCATATCGAATCATTACCAGATGTAGAAGGAATGCATTCGTGAAGAATTTTAATAATAGGACATCTTCTTATAAGTTTTAAATCTTTAAATTTGCATATTGTCTTTCCATTACATCTAAAAATGAATATATATGAATATATAAGTAGAAATTATTTGATTATTTTAATATTAAGAATTGTTTTTACTGTTCAATTAACAGCTTTTCAATATTTTTGATGGAATTTTTAACATTTTCAAGGAGTTCTTTAGAAATTTGATTAAGTAAAGTTTTCACGAAATATTTATAAAAGCTTATCCAAAGGTAATTAATCTTTAAAGTTGTATGGTTTGGACATCCTAATAAATATGCAGTATTCATTATTGGATATATAGCCACCATAACCTTTTTAATGCACGTATACACAATATTTCCATTGAATCGCGTGCAATTCTTAATAAAATGAACGGATTTCCTTTTTATGGAGCACTTTTCTTTAAAATTACATCTGAAAATTACAGTTTTATACATAAATATTAGTATATCTTTAACAACAAAAGAGTATATTTATAAAGACATTATACCTTAAGGCAAAATACTCTTTTACGTAATTATAATGAAGGTCGCATTGACTTTCAATCGGATAAACTGGACCTTCTTCAATTTGAATCATAAAATTCGAATAGCAATTCAATTCAAACGAATTTCCTCTATTGTCAATTTTTCTTTCATTTTTTCCTATCAAACTATTTTTTTTAAAAAAAACAACAAAAACAAAACAAAAAGATATTAAAATTTTTACTTAGTTTTTATATTTACCTCTTTAATTGAATATAGAAAATAATGAAAAATTGAACATTAATCCTCATAGTTTTATTTATGAAAAATTATCAAACGAATGGATCGAAAGAATGTTCTGTTGATAATAGTTTATATATTAGATTCTTAGTCAGCGAGGTCAAAAAATAAGAGAAATATATAAATAAATATATTAGTTTATAGATGTATTTTGAGCAATTTCAATACTATATAAAAGAAAAACATATTCAATGTAGCATTTTGATATTATACCTTCTTTTGTTTTTTTTTTATTTTGTTTAGACTTTCGTTATTTTTTACTTTCCGGTTGATGTTTTTTGTTTTCTTTCAAACGATACTGGTAGCATTGTACTCAACGAAACTTATATTAACTTAATTAATAGTTAACAAAAGAGAGCAAAAATTATATGTGACGTAAAACATCCATAATTATTAATATATTGAGTATTATTAGATATAGAATATAGGTAATCATAAATACATGTAATTGCCTATAATTTTTGCATAATGTCCAAAATATAATAATTATAGTTTGTCGTATTTTGTATATATTAGTATGTTAGAAAGTGTTTACTGTATATATTTGTTTATTTCAAACTGTATAGACCTGTAAAAATCAAGGCAATTATTCAATATATTGTACATAAAAAAGTGTTTTTGGAGAAATAATATAGAAAGTAACCGTCCAGGGTTGTGGAAGCAAGAGTTGGAAAGTTAAAACTATGTCATTCGAACTTTAACGTACATTTGAAGAAATCAAAAAATTAGAACATTGAGAAGTTTCTTTATACTCATTTTGTATAAATTATATTATACTTCCTTTTTAAAGGCTATTATGATGCGTAATAATAGAACAAATAAAGATTTAATAATCAATATTTTATGTCTATTATGGTACTATTTCATATTTATACAAATAAAAATTTTATTAAAAGAAACGATTCATCATTTAACTAAACAGGTTCAATTGTTACGCAGAAACCTTATTCGTAGAATATGAAAATGGAATGTCAAAGATAGATATTGAATGTTCAGACGATAGTTTTATTTTAATTGATTTTAATGCAACTAACAATTCGGATTCTTTCACTTGTTTTGAATCAATTAATTTCATTTTCAAACAGAGGTAAAATTTTTGTTTTATAAGTTAAACTATGTAAAATAATGAATGAATGAATCAACTTTTTTCAGGTGTAATTATTTAAAGAATTGTACTATTTATCATCTTGATCGTTTAGAATGTCAAGAATCGGTTCAAGTTAACTATATTTGTAATCATTACAACTACGACTTGAGTAGGTCAATTTTAATTGAATTTATTAATATTAATAGATTTATTATCAAGCTATTTTAAGTAATTTTTATATAATTATACAGATAAGGAAATGATTATTGGCAACGATTCAAAGAAGACAAACTTGATAAAGACATCTTATCAAATTTTTATAGACAACATTAATAAAACTAATATAAAATGTCCATTGGGAAGTCTTATTCATAGCAATCATCTACCTATAAATCTTACTTGCATTGACGACTATTGTTCCTGTAGATATGTTTTGGAAGAGAGTATAATGTTTAAGTAAAAAAAAATGATACTATACTATTTAATATCTATCTAATGATATGATGAATCACTTTATTATAGATGTAACTTCAGAGAAACTTGCAATTTGGATTTCCTTTTCAAAAAACAATCTTTTTGCGAATTAGTAGCTAATTTTACCTTCGAATACGATTGTATAACAAAAGAACATTTGAATATTCAACCATACTATAACAACGATTCTTCATTCATTCATTTAAATTGTGACACGGAAAGGTCTACTTTAATGGTGAATAATATCTGGACTGATATCCAAATGGCCTCATATTTACTTTGGGGAACTTATAGTCGTTCTAAATTAAAAATAATTGAGCGGTTGGTTGATACTTTTTATTATTATTTTAATTAGTTTATAGGCTATAAACTATGTTTATATATTTATTTCAGTTGTCGCAATAAGCACGATTGTCAAGTACCAATTAATGGTTTAAATTTGTATAATGAGCCATTTAAGATGCTGATTGAATTTAAATGTATATCTACTTTAAAATTAACCGAATGGATTGAACACACCACATCAATAATTAATTCTACCAACAGTAAAAATAGTATTTCGAGTAAAACTGATTTTGAATATACGTCTACCCCTGAAAAGTTGTTGTCGAAACCGGTAAAAGAAACAAATTCATCGTTAACAACTTCTTCGAAGAAAATAACCTTTGAAACTCAACAAAAGAAATTAGATATTTACCGTTCATCCTCTAATTATCCATCATTATCATCGACAGAAACAGCAACAACAGTAACAACATCGTATTCATTAGTTAATCAGTCAACAGAGAAAATATCCTCTTCTTATCAATCAAATAGAGAGACGACAATAGCACATTCATCAAAGATATTTAACGAAACAAGTAAGAACTATTTAAAGATTTTACACTTTAAGCTGCTATATAAAAAATTACCATTATAAATAGTCTTAATTAAATTTTACTGTAGGTCAACGAACTACTTTTTAGAGAAAATTTTCAATACTTCAATAAAGAATTGTTAAAAAAGAATTACAATTTTTACAGACTCAACTATCACCACTATTCGTACAACTAGTTTTCTAAAGAATCATTTACTGGATAATCAATTAACAGCAGCAACAACAACAGAAAATTACGATCCAATTGCTACAACTGATTCACAGTTAATTAATCGAATCTTCAAATCTACAGCAATTAATAACAACCATAAATCATTGGAAGCGGATGAAATTTGTAATTGTTTTTCTTTTTTTTTTAAATATCATTTTTCTCTTTATAAGACTTCACTTTTAACTCTTCTTTCTTTATTTTAAGATCAAAGTACAACACAAATTCTACCATCGAAATCACATAAAAACGATTCTACAATAACTTTCATACAATGCCTTGAAAATTCATTAGAGCACATCTATTGGAAAAATACTTCTGTTTCCTCTAAAGAAGAGATAAAGCTCGTGACAGCTTCATGCCCATATAACAATCAGAGTAAGAATAAATGAAGAGTACTTTCAAGGAGAATAACTAACAAATTTCTTTTAAGATGCTACTAGAATCTGTTCTTTTAAAATTGGTGGATGGTTAAGACATAATTCTTCAAATTGCATTTCGAATTACACTAACTCTTCCATCAATTGGGTATATCATAACTTTACCGTAAATCATTAATTAGTTCCATTCTATTTTACGAATTAGATAAACACCACTAACGACCTAATTCAAAAAGTCTCTAATAACGAAGAATTACAAAATACAAACAAGTCGGAAAGACAATTTGAAATATTTCAGAATATTTCGCAGAATATTCTGAAAATGACAAAAACTCAACATCTGTATGCCGGAGATATAACTGTGATAGGTGAAATAATGCTACAACTATCGAATGACGTACACAACATGCCCTATAATCAAGCACTTAATTTAACCAAGGTTTATCATTTCCACCTACTTTACTTTCATTACTTATGGTCTATAATTTATAATTGTTTCTTTTAGGCTATTACCCAATCTGTTAGTAATCTTCTTAAACCCGATAAACTTCTCGTTTGGGAGGAACTTTCGCAAACAACTCGACATCAAACTGCTCTTAGAATGATCACTAGCATTGAAGAGACTACTATGAAGATATCAGATAGTATCTTTTTGCAGAGAAACAATACTGATTCTCTATTAATAGAAGAGGAAAACGTAGGTCGGTTATCACTTCTAATCAACTGGGTTTCTTGTAGAAAACATTTAAAATAAGTGGCGCAAAATTGACTATCGTTTCTATTTTCCCACGCAGTTGTTAGTATTCAGAAATTGAATAATTCAACTCGACAGTCAAACACGGAATTCATCTTTACATCGTCGATTGGAAGACAATCAGCCTTCGGCCGGAGCGAAGATGGTGAAGAGGATTCGACTAATTCTAGGAATGAATTTATTATCCCTCGAAAGGCTATTGGAGGTGAATACGTAGTGTGTGAAGAGTGAAAAAGATTTGTTAGTGAGATAAAAGTGGGGATTGGGGATTGGGGATCAATAGACGGAGGGAGAGAGACAAAAGTATAGGTTGACAGACAGACAGGCAGACAGACACACACACTCGCACTCATTTTTATATATACAACATCTACGCATATTGAAAATAAGTGTTGCAATAAGAAACCATCAATTTAATGTCTTCAATTTAGGTCTTGTGAATGATGAAAGCGTTCTGATCTTTATCGAATATTCGAATATGGAAGATGTTCTTCTCAATAACAAACGCATCGTCGAAGAAGAAACATGGCGAGGGGAAATGAATGAAACATTGACGATTCGTGGAAAGAAGACGGTAGAAAGTGAAAGCAGAAAAGGAAAAAGAGTGTTTAACAGTAAAGTAATTGCCGCCATTTTGTCGACAAACTCAGTAAAACAATCGGCGTTGGAGAGTGACGTATTTTTGATAGTCGAAAGGAAAGATGTAAGTAAAAGGTTATTAGGAGAAAAGATGAAGATAGACAGACAGATAGATAGATAGATAAATAGATAAATAAATGTAAAGATGTCATTCGTTATTCACAGAAAAGCTTAGTGGGAAATACTGAATGTTCATTTTGGAATACAACTTCAACGTAAGTAGAACGATTTCGAGAAATTAGTTGTAATCTTTTAATAGAAGGAGAGATTTGAAGATGAAAATGAAAGGAAAAGTTATTGATATTTGACTTGTTTCAAATTTGAAGGGATAAGAATAAGGAAGGAGTTTGGTCGAATCACGGATGTTTTATGATGAAAGAGGAAAGTAACAAGACGCACGTAAAGTGTAGATGTAATCATTTGACAAACTTTGCGATTTTAATGGATATACATGGAGTTGATAAATTGGTATGTTTTATTCATATTTCCTTTGTTTTCACTCAATTACCATAAATTTTATGCTGAAAGATATCAGATGCTGATAAGCTCAGTCTGATGATTATTACCCGTATAGGATGTTCAATATCCATGTTTTTCCTTTTTATGTCTTTAATTATATTTTTAAAATTTCGGTAAGTATTAAAACACGCAACAGAAATAATTTATAACTGATTTTGTTGTTTTAAGGGAAAGTTTCCGTGATAAAGTGACAAATGAAATATGTTTTATGATAAATGTGAATTTGAGTATATGCCTTTTGACTTCACAGTTTATTTTTCTTACTGGAATAACTGAGACTTCAGATAAAGTTTGTTTTTATCATTTACTTCCGTTGAAAGTTTTTTAATTAATCATTTATTTTTATGAATTTTATCAGATTTTATGTCAAGTAATTGGTTTATTTTTACTATTCTTTCTTCTGAGTGGTTTTGTGTGGATGGGATTATATGGTGTATTATCAATAATTATGGTTGTTTTAGTATATGATCCCAAGTCGGGAATAAAGTGGAAATTCTTATTGACAGGATATGGTAAGTATCCTGTTATTTATAATACATTGTTTATTTTTTAAACCTCTTATTCAGGTGTTCCATTTGCAATATGTTTGGACGCTGTTAGAGGAAATTTTGCTCAATTAAGAACTGAAAATTAGTAAATCATCACCTTTTTTATGAATTTTAATCATTAAATTAAATGATGTTAACTTTTTCCAGTTGTTGGCTTGGAAACAATCAATTTATCTACTACTTTATAATTCCAGTTTCAGCTGTAATATTGGTATTGTTAATTATAAAACGTAAAGAAATATATATTATAACTTATGAACATTCATTTACCCAGCTTAACATGATATCATCCATACTAATTTGCATAAAATATCAAAGACTTGTAGAAGGAGATAAACATTCGAGCGGATCGGAAAAGTTGGAAAGAAAAAAATTCTAGTTGAGTGAAATATAAATAAATTTCGTATTGTAATTTTTACACTTATTTTCTTTTCACTATGAAAAAAACAGTTCAATGATCCAATTTATGTTGAAAATGCTATTTACCTTTGGATTTATTTGGGTATTTGGCTTTCTCTACATATCAACGAAATATATATGGTCGGCGTATATATTTACTATTTTGAATACACTGCAAGGATTAAGTGTTTTTGTGTTTCTTTGCCTAAGAAGTTTAATCATTCAAAGAGCATCTTTAAGATGGTTAAAACAACAACATTGGCTACCGGAGAAATATCAACAGATCTTTACAGATTATCTAACTCAAAGGCTTACATCAATAGGAGGGGTTAGTATTTCTTTCTTACTATTAGGCTTATTCATATAATTTCTTTATTTGCTTTCTCTTCTCTCTCTTTCTCTGACCGCCTAAATAGACGAGAAATACCACCCTTAAATCTGAAGATGAAGCTAGACCTTTGGCAAATTCAGAAAGTATTATTACTACGGGAAAAGACGGTCTAAACAATTCTGAGAACTCAAATCGTAGCTTTGGAGATGGATGTTATTATATAAATATTACGGAAAATCCTGAAAATCTAGTTTTAAAGTTTGATAATGAAATAAGCAGCGGTACTAAGACGTAAACAATTACGTCAAGATATGATTTTTGATTTCTTCAAATATTTTTAGTATTTTATTAGACTTTTTTATGTTTTTTTTCTCTCTAATAGTTTAGAAAATGAATATTTATAATATTTTTATTTATTTAATGTTTTTCGTATTTTTTTCACTTAAATACAAAAACTTTTAATGTATTAAGAAATATAACTCCTGTTAGTTGTATATGCCCGGTATTTAGTAATAACGTTGAACACGTGATCGTTTTAGCAGAAATTTAGTATAAAGTAAAAATGGTAAGTTTTTTGATCAAGTATACAGAGATTAATTATGAATTAGCCATATAGATAAAGTATATTTTAAATAGGAGTAATTACTTCTAACTAGAAGGATTATTCAATTTGATTTGATGATTTATTTTATACATTGGTCCTGCTGCACATGTTTCAAGTTCATTTATGACATGTTTTCTATGTGTAGGCAAAATATCTAGCTCAAGTTATCGTTGCCGGAGCCCAAGTTGTGGGCAGGGCGTTTACTAGGGCTCTTAGACAAGAAATACAAAACTCTCAAAGAGCTGCACAGGCCAGATCAACAAAGTCGACGTCCCAACAGGCCGCCGCCAATTCGGTTAGCGGTATAACAGTACAAGAAGCGCTGCAAGTATTAAATATAAAGGATATTCATGATTTAGAAACATTGAATAAAAATTACGATCATTTATTTAAAGTAAATGATAAATCAAAGGGTGGGTCATTATACTTACAATCAAAAGTTGTAAGAGCGAAAGAACGAATTGATATGGAATTAAAACAAATGGAAAAAGACAATCAAACAGCATCAGAATGATTAATGTTATTTTTTTTGTAAATACAATTGTAATGTTATAAAAAAAAAACTAATACAAGAAAACAATCATTACTTGTTAAAAGCATTAAGAAAGCCATGAAAGATATATCTAATTAGATATTGTCGTTGGTGGATGAACGTGATAAACTCCTTCATCACTTATCCTTATAACAGCAATTTGATTTTTACGATCCTCTTCTCTTTTTCTTCCATTTGTGGACGGTTCAGAAACGCTAAAGGAGACCGTATGCGTAGGGTGGCTAATTAAACTACGTTTATTAGGGATTGGAGGCAGCGCTGAGTGTTCCAAAGCCACGGATTTCATATAATTTCCTGGTATTCCTACACCTTGACTCGACGTACTTGAAAAAAAAAACCCTAAAATTAAAGTAAAAGTCAATAGTTAAATGGCATTGAAATTACCTTTGTCTAAATTCCGACTCTTTAATAGAAAGTCTTCTTTTTTGACTAATTATACGATACTTTCTCTGATCATAAATAAAGCTGCCGACACCAATTCCAGTTAAAATGAGAGTTAAAAATACAAATATAGTACCAATTATGATATTAAGCTCCTTTCTAGGCGGTAAAGGCAAGGTTTCAGAACCAACTTGTAAGATACGGTTACCATAAATAGTATCTTCAATTTCTTCACGTTTATCTTTAACAACTTTGAACAAAGACTTTTCGTCAATCCTTGATCGTGAAAAGAAGGTTATAAATAAAGATCCTGATTTCTTTTCCACAATTTCATACTTATCAAGTACGAAACAAGCCTTTGATTTTTTATTACAATAATCAATAAGGAATTTATTTAAAGTTTTGAGAAACTTTTTATTACGTTTCAACCACTAAAAATCAAAAGAAAATCATTATTTCTTATATAGATTTAATGTATAGAGAATTGAAAAAAATATATAGAGAGAGAACATCACCTCAGATTCTTTTAAGCCATAAAATTCAAACTTTACACCTTTCTCATCGCAAGAGATTGTATAGAATAGTGAAAATGTAATAATAATTACACTAAAAACTAGTAGCTTCAGAGGCATTTTTTTTATAAAAAAACAAGAGTTTATATAATTATGAAGAAGTTGAATGTAGTTTGGTGGTATTCCAAATTAATATAAATAAATATAATATTATTTGTTTGAAAAGTCAACACGTGGTATTGGATTGAGGAGTGCCGTTTCTATTTAACTATTTAAACTTTAGCAAATAGGCTCAGAATTATTTCAACACCAAATTTTTATAATACGTAAGTATAAGCCTATAATTACTATGTGAATTTGTTTATTTTTAAATACATATATTATATTTACAGCATATATATTATTCGAAACAACCACAAAATCTATCGGCTTTGTTGACGTTCAGACGTGGATTTCCTGAGAACTTTTCCCAATAGATTTCTTCATCATTCAATTCGTCGTTACAATTTTCTAACTCTTCAACAACATCATCAAAATTAACTTCACTAAATTTGGCTTGATGTAATGATTTATTGCTAACCTTAATTGATTAGAAAAATTGATAAAGAATTATATTATCCATGTAATTCGATTTTATGATATAATTTAGTTAACTTAAGTATTCTTACCCTCTCATTCCCAACAGTAGCTACACAGGCAACATGATTAATGTCTAATTTACTTTCTTCAAATGTCCATTGATCTTTTAAAGATCCCTTTATAAAAAATTTTGTGTCACCAACAACCCTTTTCGTAGAAAGTCGTTTAACTGGAGTAGAGAATTCTATTTCGTGTAAAGGAATGGTTATACCAACACCAACTGCTTTAACATAACTCTCTTTCAAGCACTAAAGTAATAGTGAAAGTGAAATTATTATAGAATATATTATAGAAAGAATAGATTCGCTTTTTTTACCCAGAGACGATAGAAATGTTCCATTTTTTGCGAATCTCCTTCGTAAGAATTCAAAGCGTCTAATTCGTCTTTTGAGAATTGCTTACTCATAAGATTGATGTACCCTTTGACTGTTCTTTCGGCGCCTGTAAGATAACACATTTTGATACAATATTATCCTTTTAATGCAACTTTCTTTCGTTACTTGGACTATCTATTGTCATGATATCAACTCCTATTGGCGATCCAACTTGAGCTGCAGCAATGACGTAATCTCCGTGGTGAGATACATTGAAGGAAAATCGATTATTTTTTGGCATATCCAGAACTGGTTTGCCCTTTTCCGTCCTACTTAGCTTTATCTCGCTATTGGACACGCCAAAATGATCTCTTATTATTTTCCTCATCAATAGTCTACCAGCCTATTAAGTATATATTTAGAATTGATAAAAGAAACCGTAATAAACAACAATAGATATCATGAGTGAAAAGATACTAAACCATTGACGATATTGCATCAACTTGATAGTGAAACTTCGCAATTCTTTCTCTTTCTTCTGATTGAATACATCGAAGAGCCCTAATCCATTGGTCCTTTGTTGGGAAAAAGGTTGAAATTTTCCAAGCAAAGCGAACACCGGGTTCGGACATTTTTCCTCCGTTGAATTACTGCAGCTGTTGCAATATATACAATTTTTATTTTATCATATATCATATCCAACTTAAAAGAAACTTTTCTTAATGTTTTATACCATAACTACTTTCCTTAAATAATGTAAAAGTTGCAAAAAATTAATAAAAATCGTATATTTACGTCAAAATTCGATATAGCGAGAAGTAGCAGTCAGTTAGTCTGAAGCTCCAGAGCGTGCCAAATTTATCGTCTGCTAGCCGATTCAAAGTTGAAAGAAGTTATAGTGATATAAAAGATTGCCAATTAAACAAGATTAAATTTGTTTTTATTTGATATATATCACAATTTTTTATATTAAAATATGTACTATGGAGTTATGTAATACAACTCCCAATCAAAAGTTTATTTTTAACCTAACTTCCGTAACTTGGTAAAGTGGGTCTGAATATTTCGCAACAACATGGCCGCGCACATGCTACGTCGGTTCTGTACTATTTCGTCACGTGCTTTCTTTAAACACCCCAGAACGATAAATAACATAGCATACTTTGGAACAGGGTCTTGTTTTAGAAATTCACAAAATGCTAATTCTAAGCTTAAAATTATGCTACCACCCGAGTTGTCGGGATCGAAAACAGTTCGAAATATTCATAAGGAAATTTCACCTTTAACGACCAAAAGAGTGAGGAGGAGAGCCTCAAAAGAAGGGCAAGAAAAAAAGGAGGAGTTTTACGATGTCTACGCTTTTGCAACTGCTCAAGAATATCGCTTGGAATACCTTAAAGATGGTTTAGAAGAACAAGGTTTGTACGAAGTAAAGCCACTTCCTTCGGATGTTGAAGATGCTTTGCACGTCACCGCTAAATATCTTGTTGGAAATGAAGTTAGAGAGATGTACTTGTTTAGAGAAGGGAGTGTTGTCTTTTGGAACATGGCTGAAGTAGAGAGGTTTGCAATAAATTGTCTTTTTAGTATTTATTAATTTAACTAATCGTTTAGAAATGCTGTTTTGAAATTTCTGGCACAATATCAAGACCATTCGTACGATTACATTCTAATGCATCAAGAAAGTGAACAATTTGAATATTCATTCACAAATCAGCCAACAAAACTAAGTGGCAATTGCCTATATTTAGAAAAGGAATCAAAAGAAGATCAGTTGGAAAAGTATACTTTTTCTAATGCCTTGTCAGCATCCGTAAAATTGGCTATATGGGAAGCATCTTTAGAAAAATACATTGACTCAATAGAGTTTATTCTCAAAGATATGAAAGCGGGTAAACGGTTAAGAATAACAAGAGAAGAGCAATTACGAAAGACTGGAGAATTATATACACTGAAACATTACATTAATTTAACATCCGATTTACTAGATACACCCGATTTTTATTGGGATAGAGAAACCTTGGAAAAACTTTATGTAAGAACTGGCAATTATTTAAATGTTCCCAAAAGAACAAGAGTTATTAATGAAAAATTAAGTCATTGTTCGGATTTAGCAGAGTTACTTATAAATTATTTAAATGACAAACACTCTTCCCGATTAGAATGGTTTATAATTTGGTTAATTGCAATAGAAGTCGGATTTGAAAGTTTTAAATTGCTTAATTGAAATATACTATTATTTCATACCTTTTGTTAAATTATTTTGTTTATAGACTACCTTTTCTAGTTGTTTAATCTAGTTGATCAATAAAATGGTTTTAAAAATTAAGTCAGATCTTACAAGTTTATATGTTTTAGACGATTATGATATTTTTGAAGACAAATGAAATACATGTAGAAAAAGAGCAGGTTTATATCTTTTTAATTTATCAAAAATCGGAAAACAACATTTTGCTTGAAACTATTTAATCGTTTAACTCATAAACTTGTCAGCTTGTTCAACCAAAATTTTAGCAGAACTTTTCGCGTCGAAGAATAGTTCGTTAACTTCTTCTATTTCATCATTACTTATGTCTTCTCTACCATTCACCTTTGACAATAAGTTGCAAGGTGTTAACAATTGGACGGCATATCTGAGAGTTGTCTTCTCTCCTATTTCGGCTAGACGAAGTACAGATTCTTCTGATATAGACAAATTTTCAGTCTCAGCTCTTATTTTGATAATCTGTCGGATAAAAAATTGTTAGTCCCACGCTGGGAATCAAAAAATTTCCTGTTAACTTACATGAGCCATTTCATCTTTACCATAAGGCAAGGTACGGATTATCATAACACGATCAAGTAAATCATGTGGCATTCCGTGAGGGCTTTTCATATCTTGAATTCCTCGGACCTTACTAATACCTCTGTTGGTGGCAAAAATAACAATGGGCGCAATGGTTGATTCTAAAGCACGATGAAGATAGGTAAAGCATTCGATATCCAGCATGTGAACTTCATCAATAAAGAGAACTCCAGGTACAAGCTCAGCTACTCCTTGATCAATATATTTGTTAACTACCTTGTTGATTTCTTGACGAAGTTTATCAGTAATTTCTGTCTTCTTCTGCTTACTTAATCGGTTTAATAGACTCATCGCGTCCATCCCACCTTTAGGTTGAGCATTTGCTGAATCCAAGTCATGGAGTGTAACATCTTGTATAACTTCCTTCTTCTTGTGAACATCACCCTTTGGAATCGGTACGTATTGTTCCGCTTCTAAATCGAATTCAGCGGCAAATACATCACATCTACCTTGACGTTTTACCGCTCCAGTGTTGGCTTCAATGTAGATAACATCGCCCGGTTCTACTTTTTCTTTCTTAATTTGTTCGTAAATTGTTGGGTCTAATTTTAAGGTTCTAGAGCCTTTGGATGTTTTTAGTGTAATAACAACGTGACTGATTGTCTTTCCTAATCCTCCGCCAGAAATTGGATTTTCCATTTCGTGTGGAATGATTTCAGAGACTTCTCCCTCGTATACCTCTTTAACTTCTTTAATTCTTAGCCCAATTGCTCTTCTAAAATTTTCCATGAGAACTGCTGTTTTTTTCACCTCTGAAGAGTACACTTCACTGCCAACCATGGGACAAAAAGGCACCCTACTCCCAAGTTCTTGTGCTATAGCTAGGGCAATGGCAGTTTTTCCAGTTCCAGGTGGTCCTGTATGTATAAAATATGAATTAAAATAGGTTACACATTTTTCTAGAACTTTTCTTTATAATTTCATGGTCAAAAGTAAAAGAAGTAAAATATCTTAAGTGATGGGTAAGACATGTTTCCATGTGAAATAATATTGACTGAAGGTTAAATTTATTGGGCATTGTTGAAAAAGTAAGCATGAACTGTTATCTGAAATATGAACAATGCTCACCCGCTAAAAGAACAGCTCTTCCTGCCATTTTCTTCATTTTGATCATGTCTACAACAAGTCCCGCAGCCTCTCGAGCCTAATAATTCAAAAAAACTACTTATTTTCTGTTAGAAATTCAAAACAATTTTTCAAACTTGCCTGTGTTTGTCCGACAAGCCCAGCTGCAATTTTAATAGCTTCTCCTCGCTCATCTAGACCCAATCCCTTGATGTGACTGTGAGCTGCTATTCTATGTACTTTTGTCGTACTTTTGACCTCTTCTATCTTCATTTCGGCGACTCAATTATTTGTAAATACCAATTAATGGTGTTTTAAGAAAAAGTGCCGGTTTAGAAAAATGGCATTTATTGTAATGCGCATGCGCAAAAAAATTCTACTATCCAGAACACAGAATAGTTTTCGACTTGCATTTTAGCGCGCCACCTACTTCCAGTGTATAGGAATCGATCATTTGTTTTTTAAGCGAAAAATGAACAATTTTAGCGCGTATGATGAGAAGATTCAACGGACTTTAATCTTATCGAAAACTTTATATGAAAAAGACCAAATAATAAGGAAACAAAGTAGAAAAATTATTGAACTCGAGCGTGAAGTAGAAAAATTGAGAAAAGAAAAAGATGAACTGAACAGAAAGACGACGTTATTATCTTTTAAATTACACGCTTATCAGGTGAATGAAAATTCAACGAATGATGAGGATGAGAAGTAAGTACCTTACAATTTCTTTTGCAAAAATTTAGTAACTCTGATTGTTAGTAAACTTAGTTTTAATCCGGTCGTAAAACAAGTTCTCCGCTAAAATGAAAACCAAATAGGCCTATGATATATAAACAATAGCGTTTAAGTTGGAAAGTTATTTCCAGTTTCTCGCTTAAAGAATTATTTTATTACCGAATATGTAAACAGTTTAGAGTAATGTTGCTGCATACATTCGCCGTTAAAAAGAGCATATTTTATTGGAAGCAATTTATTTTGTTTGCCTTTAAGTGCTAAACGATTAAACTAACACAGCTAGAACTTTCCAACACTGATTGTGTTTTATTATAAATCTAAGTGAAAGAAAAACACCTTGAGCTTATAAAGAAGATTCCTTCTAATTGATAAACAGGGTATCTATTACATGTTCTTGACATTTACTTCAAACTTGAGTCAGTGGGCAATACTGGAATAAATGAAATTGAAACCGTTAGAGTAGGAAAAGGAACAACTATTCCAATTTCGAAGCTAAGGTTTATTATCGTAATTTCTAGCTTAATCTCAACAAAATATACCCTTTTGTTTATTATACAATAATATCTATAGAGTATTAATTGGGTTACTTCAACTAATTTTCTATTTATATATTATATAAATCACGTTTTATTAGTTAATTTTCTAACAAGTAGAGAATAATTGATAAAGAATTTTATTATTTTATGCATATTATATTATAAGGATTTTTCTATTAGCATTGCAGTGTTTAATGATATATTGGGGGAGACGGGAATAACGGAAAATAGCCGTATAAGTTGTAGATATACTTCACATATCCTAATGAATATATAGCAATAAACCACCACATAGTTATTTACACTTAATTTAGTCTAATCCTTGGAAAAGATTAATAGTTGTAACACGATCCTTTTTTGTTTTTTAATTTTATTTAGCCAATTCGTTTTCCGACATGATAACTTAATTATCGTTAATCCGTTATTAAACAAAATTCATCCTCTTTTATTCTTCCATGTATAAATTTATACATTTCTTATGGGGCGAAAAACTTATGCAAACATTCATTCATGTTATCTATAAAGGTCAGATTTCGTCTGTTGCAGTGCGTGCAATGTACCCACCCCAACGCATTTGCACCGGCTCACTTCTCAGTCACGTGATAAACAATCTAGTATAGGGAGACAAAATCTATATATCTAAAGTAATATACACATATATAACTTTCTTTTTTGATGGATTTTTATAAACTCGCATAGAATATTATTAAACAACAGCTTCTTTTGAAATAGTATAAAACAAATATAAGTATAATATACACAAAAAAGACGAATTTGTCTACCAAACATATAACAATTGTTTGTTTGTGCACACATTATTTTAATTAGATAAGATGTTTTCAATTGTTCTAAAAGGAAAAAAACAAGAGGATATCTTTTTTTTACTTGTTTCCACTACGTTTCGTTTTTAATCTTTTTCTATTCCGTCTAATTTGTAGATGTTAGCAAAAACCTTTTTGCTTCTTCTATTTAAAATAAGTAATCTTAAACTAAATGAATTAATTTGTATATAAGATTTATATTTTAGTTCCCCTTTTCTATATAGATAAAAAGTTGTCTATATACCGTTATCTTTGTAATTAATATAGCATATTTTCTTTATTCTATTGATATTAAATTACATATTATGATACGCTTGACCGAGTCATGAAGTTTTTTTTTCTATTATCTATAAATTATTCTTGTATATAATTGATGAAATAAACAGTATTAACAAATATCCTTTCTTATCTAAATCTATTAATAATTTCGACTAATTATTTATGATGTGATAACGCTACGAGTTTGTTGAGTGAAATAAAACAGCTTTTTCCCTTCAAATTGTTTTATATAACATTAGAAGAATAGGAAAAACTTTAACCTTTTCAATTTTACATTTGATATGTTTGTAATTTATTTTTAATGTAGATTAAACTACGATTATTTCTGAAGGGAAAATTAATAATATAAAAAAGAAGTATTTACGTAAACAAGGCTCTGGTAACGGTATTAGAATTATATAATATCAAATGTAATATTTTAATCTTATTGTCTTTAATCGATAAAGAGAAAAAAGAATAAGATTACATATATAGTACAGATTGATTCTTGTTGTACTTTCAGTGTACTTGGGTTTACCACCTCTTATGTTTAAGCATATTTCCATCAAAAGAAGAGTGTACGCCTCCCGATCACTAATTAGTTTATTACCCATTACAATGTAATAGAAAATTTCGAAGTTGTACCTATAATAAGGTTACTTTCTATTGCTCTAATTTATCATCCGATTTAATCGAATATTCTTTAAATATAAAAAGAAATAAGATAAAAATACTTTATAACAAAACATTAGAGCATAACAAAGGTTATAAATGATATAATTTATCTTTAAACCATACCGCAGCTGTTCCATTGTCATATTAGGCACTCGGCACTTGATCTAGATTAAGGTAATAAAGAGCTGGAAAATGTTGCATGATTTATAATAAGGGCCATGTGCTAGGCTTTGTGGCATGGTGAATGATATACCGTATGTATATGCCTAGAGCGTCTCTTGATAAAAGATTCAGAATTTTTCAATTTTTTTGTCCAATAAAGTGTTATAAAAAATGTGACCAGAATACATATAAAGCAATTATTAATTTATCGACGGTTTATTCTTTTGTATCAGCATATATCTTATTACCCGGAACACAAATTGCCAACTGTTTATATGAGAAATGGGTTGGGGAATATTTGAAAAACGATAGCAACTTGACAACAAAAGTGCTATTGATTAACTTTTTTCAATACTTGAAAAACTTGATAAGCTAAGATATTTTTTTTTCTCTTCTCTTGTAGTCAAAATTGAAAAAAAAATGAAAGAAGTCTAAAGATTAATATTTACCGTGTAATTTTTTTTATTGGGATAACTCTTGATTAAAGAAACTATATCTAAGCTGTTCGCTAACATTACAATGTTGAATTTATATATCAAAGAAAAGTTTTGAAACTTAATCAACTTTTTTCTTTCTATTTATTTTGTTAAATATTTATATATATATATATATATATATATATATATTTCATTCTATCTTTCTTATAGATAGTTTTGATATTGCTTACACCTTCTCTATTTTCGCGATCTGTCTTTTAACACTATCTCTCCTTGTCTTTTTTTTTTACTACATATATAAAAATAAAAAACAAGTATTTATCAAATTTGTCAACAATTCTTGAAGATATACAAATTTTTATAGACTATAAATTTAGCCTTTGAAAGAAATTCGATAGCTTTAATGGTTACTTTTGTATACTTAAGGGATTTGTACTCGTTTCTTTCCTGTAGCTGGTCAAAGTTTTTTGCGATAATTTTGTTCTTTTTTATTACCTACTTATTTCCTAGTTTAATGACTTTAGGAGTTTATCTTATTTCATAATTGATAACAATAATTCTTACTTTTATCTAATGAATAAACCTATTTAATAAATAGGACCGGGGGATAGACGAATTTATTTAAAACAATATCTCAGGTTTTCGTCAAAATTTAATAAGTTTAAGACTATTATCAAAACAAAGAGACATCCGTGATTTTATTATATCTGGACAGATGCCAGCGCTAAATATTTGCAGTTTTCCGTAAACAAATGTGTAGCAACATTTGTTTAAACATGTGGTTCTTCTCAACGCAATCTCTTGTCTTTAAGAATAGTCAAGTGTTTATTTGATAAAGCTACTTTTAATTAGATGAGAATTTTATTTTCTCTAATAGCTTTATACAAGTATTATGTAATAGTTTTATATACTAAGTGCAATATATTTTTATATCGTATGTGTTAAAAATAACACAATAATGAAGCTCAACATATGATCCTTGATTATTTTTTACTTAATTATATTTATAGAGCGTGTTCAAGGTAAACAAGTTATTAGAGATTAGTTTATTCTATATCTGCATTCCAGTTTTGGAATGTATATTGAAGAATTTTTCTTATTAGATTTGTAAGATGAAAAGATATATATACTAATATATACATAAAAGTATATTAGTATATAAAAAAAATGTTATTTATAACAGAAGGATTTTCAATAGTTAATTTTGGTAAGACAAATTTCACGCTTGACTTAAAACTAGCTACGTGAAAATTTTTAATCTTCTTAGTGTATATTGTAGTTTAAGAAAATGAGGTAGTTTTTTTTTCTCGCTATTTTTTTTTATTTTGCTATATTACCATTTTAATAAACTATTTGGGATTGTCCTATTTGCACAAAAGCTTCAGTCCAATAGGCTTTATATACTTTTAGCAAACTTAAAAGAATAAAATTGGTAATATTGAATACACTAATAGCTTGTTTTTAAAGACTTTATCAAGTTAAAGAAAAATAAATAAGAAAAATATATATGTTAAAGTAATGTTTTGTGGATACTATTGTGCTCTTTGAATTGCTGATTTGACTATTGCAAGTTATCTAAATTATTATTAGCTTATATGTATTTATAATGGGAAGCAGAATTTCTCTTATTAATTATTCAATTTTCCATTTGCAGAATAAAACCCCCTCTATCAGTTCCTTTACCTAATCAGTGTCGGTCGACGTCTTGCATACCAACGCCAAAAACTCTGACGAGATACTGGTCGTACAAAATTACTGAAGATAAAGTCGAAGAGAACAACAGAGTATGGCCTACAGGTTATGAATTATCGCAAGATCTCGAGAACGCTAGAGTAGAAATGCTAGAGAAGAAATATGGAGGAAGAAAAGCAGCAGGAGATGCCGCAAAAGTCATCCAACACGCATTCAGATCTTACCAGTTGGCAAAAAATTTTAGAAGATTACGTTCAGTAAGCCTAAATGGAGAGAGGAGGTTAATGAGTACTAACGAAAATATGAATAATTCCGAGAATAATATAGAAAGTAAGTGTTTACCCTCCATTTATTTCTATATGTGTACTTCAACTTGTTGAAATATTTAATATTAATACGAATAGTTGAAAAACAAATAAGTAATGATTTTAGCTTTTAACTTAATAATCCCATCTTCACGGGAAAGAGACTTATTGAAAATGCTTTTTTAATGAAATACTTCAGATAAAGGATAAGCCAATATCTATAGAATGAAAATGCACTAATAGATTTGTCTCACTTGTCATTCTTTTAGGAGATATAGAGCATATATAAATTTATAAAATAGGTTATGAACACTAGAAACGTATATTCCATTAATCAGCACGCTTTCTATATAAATATCTCATATAAAATAAAATAAATATGTTGAATATACATGTTTATATATACATTATATATAATATATACTTAGTATAAATTTATATATACTAATATATAGTTTTATATTTTAATAGACTAAATTTAACAATACATGTAATGCTTTGTTATAATAAGTAATCTATTTTTATTTTTTATTTTATAACTACTATTAAACAATTTATAATACGGAAAGGAAACATAAACAAAATCAATATTATTTGATAAGTAACACGACTTTAAAGTCAAATGAAAAAAAAAAAGAGAGAAAAAAATACATCGATCGATTTCGTATTCTAGTACGTTGGTTTACTCAGCTCAGTAATGATGCATTACTTTCCTTGTCTCAGTCAGCCGGTTATGGCAGGTTATTTATTTTCAAAGGGTTTTCACTTTTTTTTATTTATTGTTTTGTATATTTAAATTGTTTTACCTTCATATTATGTGTTAGCTTTTATGTATTGAATTTTCAAAGGACACAGTAAGTCAGATAATATGTAAATATATTAAATATAAATACAATGTACTTTACACTTAACTGTACGTTTTTGTATTTGACGTGATAAAATCCTTTTGTAAATTAACTGACCAGTTTTGTTTCAAGCCAATTATTTTTAGGAGAATACGAACTATTTTCTTTTTTATTTTTCCGAGTTTCGTTTTATTATTAAACATATACAGTACACTGTATATTTATAGATTATTGTTTTATACAGCGCTGGGAGACGTAATTGAGTCTTCGGACGAATACGAAACAGTATTTAAAGAGGAAAGGACACAAGTAGAATCACTAATTATACAAAGTCCAGTTGGAGAGTCTAGAGAAGAAAAGGTTTATAATAATACATCTGTTTACCTAAGAAAGAAACGGGATAGTCAGAGTCCTTCACCCATTTGGAAGCGAAAGAGCTCCTCGCCAGAAACTGCAGACAGAACAAGTACTGAGGCTGGAGAAACCAGCTCTGACGCTTCGAGTACTCTGAAGTATACGTATAACTCGCCAAGAACATCCGAAGACGATAGAGAGATAAGCGAAATCGATAAAAAACGATTATATAGAATTGGTTTAAACTTATTTAATAAGAAACCCGAAAAGGGTATAAAACATTTAATTGAACATAATTTTTTAAGACCCAACGACGAGGCTAATACGGCCAAGTTTCTATTACATAGAAAAGGTTTAAGTAAACAAATGATTGGTGAATATCTGGGTACACCAGAAGGTGCTAAGGTTCTAAGATGTCTACTCCTCATTATGAACTTTTCGAATTTAGCGTTAGATGTTGCCCTAAGAGCCTTACACTCTTACGTTTCACTCCCATCAGAAGCTCACAAGATTGAAAGACTTTTAGAGGCGTTTGCTCAACGCTATGCCGAATGCAATGATCAATTAACAAACAAGTTACGATCTGGTGCTGATGGACTATTTGTCTTATCGTATGCAATTATTATGTTAAATACCGATCTACATAAAGTAGCTGTACAAAGGAAAACGCATAGAAAAATGAAGAAAGAAGAATTTATTTCCAATTTGAAAGGATGCGATGGTGGTGCTGACTTTGATATGAACCTTTTAAGAGAAATTTATGAAAGAATTTCAGCTCAACAATTAAAACCTGGTAAGAATAAATTATTTTTAGAAAGATAATTCTATTAGCGCCTTTTCTCTTACCCTAAAAGGTATTGATCATGTCACTCAAGTTACAAAAATTGAACAATCTCTCCTAGTCGGAAAGAACAATGAACGTCCGCCCACCCTTGCAGTACCACATCGTAGATTAGTCTGCTATTGCAGATTGTTTCAGTTGCAAGACGCAGCAGGAAAAAAGAAAGATAAACTAAGTCAACGCGAGGTATTCCTTTTCAATGACTTGCTGCTTGTTGCTAAGTTGGTATCGAAGGGAAAGAAGGGAAGAACACAATACACTTTTAAATCAGCTCAATCATTGTTAGGAGTTCGAATAGAGAATTTTGAATCAATTCATTTCGAGCACGGACTTCGATTAGTTGAAAATGGAGATAAACCCATTATGGCTTTTGTGGCCAAGAACGCTCACGACAAAGAACGATTCTTTAGAGATGTGGCCGAAGCCATAGCGGAAGTTGGGGAAATGGAAGCTTTAAGGATAGATGCGAACAGATATTCCCATGACTCTGGTATTGTTGAATACGACTTAGTTCTTCATCCTCCTTTTAGCAACGGTGCTGCAAGACCAGTCTCAAATCCTGAATCAAGAGGATCCTTTGATAGCGGTGTTCAAGTAAGTATATAAATCAAAAATAATTTTCCTTTCTTAATAAATAATTTATTTCCTTTATCAGCAAATGGTTTTTAATCGAATAACGGCGCCCTCTAGTGATACGTTGTATACAAGTCCATCATCAAATTCAACATTTACATCCGCCGCTACTCCTAGGAGTGCTAGCAAAGTATCCATTTAGAGGAAGATATAAACTTGATAAATAAATGTATAGATTCATATATATATATATATATATATATAGCCTTATATTTATATATATACGCATACGTTTTTCAAAATATTTTTCTTAGTCTGAGATTATTTTTTTTTATACAAAGCATCGTAAAATTTTTGCGTTTTAACACTTTTTACTGAAATATATTGAACAATGACAATGACCTTTTTTTATTAAATTATATTGTTTTTATCAACAAAATCTTACTATATCATTTTATTTTAGAAATGAAAGAATAGAACCTTCGTTAGAAAGTTGCAAAGAAAAAAAAACAGAAATATAAACATTATCTGTATAACTCTAATGTTTCGCTTGATTGAAATAGCCGTCAGCGTTCTCTTTGGTCTAGTTTTAATGTTTTTCTAACATTATTCCCTTAATCAACACATATAGTCATTTGAAATATTTACTTTTCTCTCTTCTAATCTACTATTTGTAAAAAGAAAAATAAAGCTTATTACTTATTATAGAGATTATCCAAGTGAGATTGTTACAAGCTGAGCAAATGATTATTAACTTTAGAAATCTTTTTTAGATCAAGTTAAAAAGATAAGGAGAACTAAAAGTCATGAGAAAGTAATTCTTTTTTGTGTGATTTTACTTAAAAATATTTTTTTCCCATCGTTATAGGCCTAAACTCCTCCCTCTTTACACTCAGACGTATGATAATATAACGTATACAGTATTTTTTCTTTTTCCCTACATCTTTTCTTTATAAATTATTTCTTTTCGTTCCCATTTTTGACTTAGTTTGTCGAGTATTGTTATAAAGAAGAGTCTTCGGAATTGCTCTAGTTATAGGCCAACCGCCTTAAATATTCAGCGTAAAAAAGAGTAGAGTCTTAGGATCAGCTAAGGTGATAAGGTGAATTAGAAGAGAGAATACTCCTATATCAATATTACACAATACTTTCTTATATCTATAAACAGCCTTTTCACGAATGGATATATTATAATTGAACAATAAATTAACAAACAAATATAGGCTTAAAGTTTGATAAACTATACATATTATAATAATTAAGGAGATAATTCATCAACATGCTCAATCAATCCACTTCCTTTCGTTTCACTTATTTTCGAAAAATACGAAAGTTTCTTACTCAATGAATTAGTCTTTGTTGCCTTTCTATTGAGTTTCTCGTCCCTCGATTTAAGCTGCAGAGAATTATCCGATATTAACGTAAATTTATGATTCTCTCTTTGCGGAAGCCTCTGAATGAGATGACCAAATCTTTTAAAAGCGTTGTTCTTTATCTTCTTCATCGCTTTTGGATGCTTACTTAAAACTTCATCTAAATCTGTTTTATTTAGGGACATTACTTCGGCGTGCGTTGAAGCTCTTAATGTTGATGTATGTGGAACTGGAAAAACCAATGTTGGTTCCCCAAATACAGTACCAGGTCCCCTTATCTCTAAAACATGATTTTGTTTATCACCAGTGTCTTCTACAACCTCTAAATAACCCCTTTTAACGTAAAAAAGCTTTGAAATTATATCTCCCCTTCTTATTATCGTGTCACCTGGAGCATAGGGTTGACTTTTCATTTTAAGAGCTAATTGTCTCATGATGACGTCAGAGTTCACATTTCGTAGCAAAGATAAAGTATCTAGGACAGATTTATAAATAAATAAAGATACTTCGCTCTTCAAGCACAAAGGAAGTTCAGCTAATAAATCGTTCGGTATCATTCCTTTGGATTTTTTCCATACATAATTACGATAAGCCAGGATTCTCTTCTTCAAATTATCGGGTACGTGCTGATCTTCCATGAACGTTTCCGTTTGACTCATTGCCAAGTTATGACGGGCTTTTAAGGAGTTTACATTGGCAAGCGTTGATGCAATGATAGCGAAAACGGATCCGACAACAATCTGCAATAGTTTGTAAAGAGAAAGAAATATAAATTGTTATGGTGTAGTTATCAATTTAACCTTTCCAAAAATAACAATAAAACAAGCAACAACCATTTCCCAGAAAGTTTTAGGAACAATATCTCCGTAGCCGGTTGTTGTTATTGTAGCGGCTATAAAGTACAAACTATCCAAATAGAGTACCCTCTTTTCGATTGAAGATGTTTCATTAGTCAATCCCCGTAGTTTATTTACCCAACTATTCCTCTTACAATATCCGTACGGACACGCAACCCAAAACCACACGCATGAGCTTAAATGAATTGTTAGAGAGAAATAAACAAAGCACGCCGCTCCTCTCATATAAAATATATTTGCGTGTAAAACAGATCTCCAACTGTTAAAGAACTCTACTAGACCTATAAATCTTAATAAAGAGCGTAATAATCGAATAGTCGCTCTTATTTGAAATTTACTAAAGAATAGTTCAACTGGTAGAATCGTTAGTAAATCGAAAAGAAGACCAAAATAATTTAATAGATAACGTTTCATTATCTCTTTCCAATTTGTAATTAGGTCACCGTCAGCATCTGGAACTTGAATTCTGGTCTTACTTAGAATTTCTAGGAAGAAGATGAAATCCAATGTATATAAGATTACTGCGAAGAGCAATCTTTCATCCGTAAAAGCTAGACGATAAGAGGATAATGCAATAGCTAAATAAGTTGATATTGCTCCCAATAAATAGATTATCTTGACGATTCTGGCATCAGGATGTAAAGTTGTTGAATTTTTCTGTCCGTAATTCAAAATGAATGAGTTGTTTCTGTCCGTAAATTCTTCATTGGATGAGTTCAGGTGTGGAATGTAAAGAGTATTACTAAGATCGTTTCCATCCTTTGTCTTATACTCAATTTCTTTCCTATAAACCATTACATCTTTATAGTCAATTTCTGAAATTCTTTTTCTTTGATTGATCATCCCTCTATAAGACGGAATTGAAAAGCGAGAATCCTTTATCCTACTAATCTGGAATTTATGCTTAATGCCTGAATTAAATAATCTATTAAATCTTATTCTCTGTAGATTATTCTCCCTATGGAATGTCGATATTTCATTATTATTGCTTATATTACAATTTAATTCCCCTAGCCCCATAATATAAGAATTAAGAGGTCGAGCCGGTTGTTTCTTTCCCGCAATTAACTGATAATTACGAATTTTAGGAAATTTCATCCTTAATTCTTCTTCTTCTTTGTCCTCTGGATTTTCGGTTATAGAATGTCTAACTAGATGCCTCTTTCTTATCCATGGTGGATTCTCTAATATTTTCTTCTGTTCGTGGAGAAGATCGCATGTTTCGTCCTTTTCATTATCAATTAGTTCCCTCCAATTGTCGGCCAAGTTTCTTAATCTTTCAATTATTGGGGAATAAGGTTCTAGTTCATTTATTACAACTTCATCAGGACTTTTTACAATAGCCGTTTTTGGTTTGGACCATAATTTCATTTTTGTACCTTCAACTGCAACTATATAACCCCTATTCTCGTCCATATCTTTTTCGGATTGTGGTGGGCATGAGTCACCAGAATCGAAATCATTATCCGAAATATTTGCGTACGAATCGTCATCTGTTATATCATTTAATTTCCTTCTTTTAGCGATTAATTTTAGGCGATTATCAGCCTCCTTCTGCATCTGCATTTTTACATCTGGATAAAGATTTAGAAGATCTTCTAGAGCCTCTCTACTTAAACAAAATAGATCGCAATTTGTTCTTGCCCGAACGCTATTTGGCCTAAAGCATAAAAAGACATTTCGTAACGCCTTCCTTCAATAATTTGAAGCGTTAAAATCACATTTTTTCTCACCTAGGAGATCCGAAAAAGAATGAAACCTCCCCAAATGATTCACCCGGTCCCAGGTGATCAATAACATTTCTGTCGTCTTCGGATATGATATCGACAGAGCCTCTCCATATGAAAAACATGGACGTTCCCAAGTCATTCCTTCTAATAACCAGCTCATTCTTAGGGATAAACATAGGACTAATTGATTTACAAAGCATCTTTAGAAAGGCGTCACTCGTTTTGTTAAAGAAATCAATTTGACGAACGGCATCAAAGTACAAAGAAGTAGTAACATCCTGCCAAAGTACAGTAGGAAGAGTCGTAAATAAACTCTTTGGATCAACCCCCTTGGTTCTTGTCCAAACAAACTCAAAATAGCGTTGAATCCTGTTTCGTAACGTTAGAGGAATCTCTTGATCTTCTGCAAGAAAGAGATAAGGCGGTCAGACAGAATGAGAAGATAAGATAACCCTCTCACTTACCTAATATACTATCTAAAATTCTCATTTTGAAGAAGTAGGCTTGCTTAGCAGCATCCGCGTTTACTATACTCGCAGATACAGCAGCAATTACATATGAACACAGTAATTGTCCACCAACAACCATTAGTATAACGTAGATAACTTCAAATACAGTTTGAGGTACCATATCGCCATATCCAACGCCAACCAAAGTTGACAGAGTAAACGTTAAACCCATTAGGTACATCTTTTCTTTAACGTATATACTACTATTGAATGATTGAATACCCGTAACGTGCCAGCCTTTTGAATGACAAACAAAGAATGAACCAAAATTGATCACATTGTCATCGTGAAATTTAAAGGGAGAACACGAAAATAGTATAATTAGACAGACAAGTGTATTTACGATAATGCCAAATGATAAAAGGTATTTTATGGCCCTAATTATGATAGGATTTCTATCAATAGGCTTTTCAATCCAACTAAGTAGCAGGGTAATTCTTAGTACTTGAAGTATTCTATTCCATCTATAGGTTTTCATTAAAAAAAAGTAGTAATTAATTGGATAATAATGAACGAATAGTAACCTTAACAAGCATATTGTTTGTAAAATACTACGAGAAGGTTGTGGTAAAAGCTTGTAGAATATCTCGAAGGGGAATAAACATAATAAATCGAATCCAGAGTTCTTCCGTAAATATCTTAGGGCGGTTGATATTGGATGTCTAATTAATACACCTTTAATATCTGGTCTATCGGAGTAAAATGCAACATGCATCATTAAATAGACGTTTATTAAGGCTAATAAATCTGTAAAGTATGAAACTATCCATACTCCTACTACATCATAGTAGAATACTGTTTGAAGTGGAATTACGAATGCTGCCAAAATCGAACTTGTCAATCTAAAAACTGTCCATATTCTTAAAAAATTGGACTGAGGCCTAATTGTAAAAGGAAGTAACAGTTTCACGCATAGTCTACAGATAAGTGATGGAGAGTTATCATTAAAGTCCTTATCTTTTCTTTCCTTTTTATCTTTCAATCCGTTTATTGAGATATTTGTATGATGTAAATTGTCTTCCATCTCTTTATCTTCCTTTTTGCTATCTTCTCCATTTTTTTCTACTTTTAACGTTTCTGGAATTCTCAATCTAATTTCATTGTTTATTGAATAATTGGACTTTCTAGAGAGTACACTAGGTTTATAAATGTCTTTTCTGCCTAGAAGATTTGTTAATTGCCGCGCAGCAAGTGTTAAAGTCTTAGTAGCGTCTAACACATCACTTAAACAGAGTTCTAAGATTTCTGCATGCGTTATAGCAACAAGATGAAAGGGTCTTGGTTCACCTGACATCATTGTTAGTTCACCATAATGGCTATGTGGTCCGAATTTTGTGAGTAAAGTCGAGTGATCGGGAGTATAGAGACCAACCCAACCCCTCATAATGATATACGTGACCCTTTCTACATTGCCCGCCCTACTTACAATATCTCCCGGAGCGAATATATAGACTTGAAGCTTTTCAGATAGGTAATTAATATATGAGGAATGAAGGCCGTGAAATAAAGGTATAGCATTGAGGGTTTTAGCAACATTTTCTGTGGCCAACTCCTACATTTCGATGAGGTTTTCATATATTAAAAGATAATTTACATAAAAACTTCGGACATTGATTATTACAATACCTTTTGTAGCTGCACTGGAGAATCATACAGCAAAGGCTTTTGGCCTGGTACCCATTCCCCTTCGAAATAATGCCAAACAACATCTAGATATGAGATAACTCTGTCTTTTAACTTTTTATCTAGTTTCCTCCTGTCCATAAATGATTGCACGGCCTGTACGTATTGCCTAAAATTAACTTTTGATTCATTTAGATTAGCTAAATAGGCTGATATGTAGGCTTGGCAAGTTCCAAAGCTAAATAGGCCCATAAAGACCACAGCACATGCTATTATCATAGAACCAACGTTCTTTGGAGTAATGTCCCCAAAACCAGTTGATGTCATTGTAACAACAGCCCAATAATAACTTAACAAGTATTCAATCATAATTGTCCTTTCTTTGCAAACGTTTTTGTGATTGCGACACCAAATTTCAATCCACGAACCACTGTCGCACGATCTACCTTTACAGGCGGATGCAAAGAATGCACAAGCGCACCAATGATTAAATAGAACAATTAGAAGATACCATTTTAATATTGTAATTGTTATATATAATTGACCAGCTGGACCATGTTCTAATCTTGAAAATAGGTTCGGTAATCTTTAAAATTTAAATAAATTAATTGATTTTTAAGAAAAAGCGAAATCTGACCTAATTAATTTAATTAGATTAATTAAACGAACAGCATGGTAGAAAGAGTAAAAATCTATTCCATAATAACTGAATAGCAAGACTGGAACTAATAAAACAGATGTAAGGTCAATAAAGAACCAATAAGTTTTGATATAGTGTTGGAAAACAGCTTTCCAACTCCTTAGAACTCCTTTTCTTGTAACTATAGCCAATTTTAATCTGATAACGATATCAATAACGAAAATTGCTTCACCAAACAAATTGGTCAATATAATTAAAGTCTGACCAGAATAGGTTGTCTCTAACGATTTAATTCTACTAGTTAACCTTCCAAAGGCGAATAAAAGCGGTAAGAAACAACCCATTTGAATCATCGAAACAATTAAGAGCGAACACCATATAGTAAAACCTCTACTCTGCGGATTTATCCATATATCAAACACTAGAGCATGAGTCTAATAAACGAAATATGATTAAGATAGCGAAATAGTCTTAATTGAGTCGTAAAAGAATAATGGCTACCTTATTTCTTATATTCAACATGGCTAGTGCTGAGTACGTTAAAAAATCCTTGAAATACGATCTAGCATTCGAATCAATTGTATCCTCATCCTCAGAAAGTTTAGTAACATTTTGGAACTTTTTAGTTAATGACCTTTCATAATTATCTACAAAGCGAAAACTGTAATGAATATGTCTAAAGGTCGACCATGTTTTCTCAGTATTATATTGATCGTCATCCTTAGTCCGAATAAGAAACGGTTGACCTTTATTAAGCTCTTTTGCCTGTTCTTCCGAAAAGACGGGAGGAGGTTGAATTGCAGTTCTTTTAATAATTTCTCTTTCAATATCGCCTTCCTTTTTGGCGCACGAATGGGCGTGAGTGCACATTTGCCACAAAACCTTAATGAAAAACACTTATTAAGTAGTTTTTCGCTTACTAAATGTTACCTCTAACATATTTCAAATGATCTTTCTCCCTTGGATGGTTTTGCAGGGTTGACTGATAATTAGCTTTTTCCAATATCAAAAGTTCTACGTGTGTATGTGCCCTAACTGTAGCCGGTCGAGGTCTTGATATAATAAGGTCAGCTTCTCCTATAATTCGTCCAGTTGATAGAATAGTTAAAACTTCACCTCGATGACCCAAAACCTCTAGTTTTCCTCTTAATATGTAATATAAACAATTACCAATTTGATTTTCGGCCAAAACAACTTGTTTAGGTAAGAAAAGACGAGTTTTTACGTTAAGCGCCAACATTCTAATTATGCCAATGGATAATTCTCTTAAAATTCTAGACTTTTCTATTAAAAATGAACCGGTAACCATAGCTAATTCAGATCGTATTGTTATTGGCATATCGGATAGTAAATTATTAGATGCAGTACCCCTGTGTTTTAGGTTTTTGAAAATAAATGAAAAATCTTTTCTTTTGTTTTTTTAAAAAAAAATAGTCTATTTCTTAAAGAACCTTTTCCTTTTCCATAGATATTCGTAATAGCCTATTACATTTTTTACGAGATATTCCGGCACACCTAATCTATTGACATGCGATTTAATAATCGATACTCTCTGGAAATATCTAGCCCTCGAGTTATCCCTATTCGAAAACCATGATGCCATTTTACCTAATTGTATCCCATGTATAAATATCATTGATAAAAGCATACAAATAAGGACGTATGCGATACTAAGTGAATCTGTATTGCAAAGATCACCATAACCAGTTAATGTTGCAGTTATACAAGCCCAATAGAAGCATACAATATAACTATTAAATATATAGTCCATTGTTGTAAATGCTTTAACTATCCAATTTGTATCATCGTCAATATTTGCAATGAATTTATCTTGGAAATAATCTTTTGTCTTTATTTGTAAATTATCTCCATGCCAACCATCTGAATTGACATGAAACCATAAACAGGCCATTATATGAACAGGTAGGACACAAGTTAAAAGAAATCTTGTTAGAGGTATTTGCAATTGTTGCCTATTTTCATATATATCTTCATGACGATAAACAATACGATTAATAGCAGGATAACGGAACAATCTGATATAATTGTTAATTTACTTTATTAGTTATAAACCAACTAAAATGAATAAACCTTGCAAGGCTTAAATAGCGTCCTATTTGACTGTTGAATCCGTATAATCTGAATCCAAATAATGGTATAAAAGATATAACATCGAATAGAAAAAGTTGAGGTTTTATTAAATATCTCCTAATAATAAGACGTCTAGACGTTACTTTAACGCCTTTTCTTGAGTACGAAGTAAAAAAGTTTGTTATAACGAATATAACATATATGAAATCGGATACATAGACTTTTAACGATAGATTAATTCATCTCATTAATATTCAATTATGTTAATTAATTTAATTTTAGAATAAAATAATTAACCTAATGATAAAAGTGACGTTCTATTCGAATCTATAAAAGAGACAAATGGTATAATAAACAATGTTATTATAATACTTATTCCAACTGCCACATGAAAGATGATAGTCAGTTTATTAAAAGGATTTAAGTAAAAATGATCAGAAATCTCTTCATCTTTAGTTGTCTTGTTCTGATTTTCACCAACAACGAAATTTTGTCTATCCTCATCCCTTATTGATTTAGTTGACCTTCTTGAGGAATCTTTCAAGCAAATATTAGTTGGAGTAAGAAATGATGATCTTTCACCTTTAATCATTATTTCTTTTTCTTCAAATCTCATGTATTTATTTACAGTCTAAATATATTTGAATAATTTTTTTTAAATAAATTCTCCCTCTTCAAAAAAATTTAGGCCTACAAAAGCTTTATTCTCGGAATAAAAAACTCCAAATCGAGTTATATTAACGAGTATAATATTTCTATATAAACACAAGATTATATACTAAACATTATCATGTATATACTTGTATATACAATATATATATATATATATATATACTTGAATGTTAGAACATATCTTATTAGTTATCTCGACTTTTTAATTTAAGTCAACTTTTTATATAAAAATAACGAAAATTTTTTTTTTAAAAAAAAAACATAGGCTACTTTATAGTCCATAAATTTTTTTCTATCTTCTTATCTTCTCTATTTTATATTCTCTCGATATTCTCAATTATGTTCTACAAAAATAGAAGAGCAAAAAGCTTAAATTTATTCCAAAACTTAAGCCAATGAAGCCAAAAATATAAGGTGAAAATGAGGTTGTATTTTCGGCTGTTGAAAAATAACAAATATTAATGTAAAAGTTCAACATTAATTTATGTTCATCTATTGAAAATATTTACCTTTAACGACTGTTACACCACTTCCAGGAGACATTCGACAAGAAACAGATGTGAAATTATCATCGTCAAAAGATCTATCTTCGTAAATTGCTGAGTCTGACGCTTTGAAAACAAATTATAAATATATTGAATACGATTATATTCAGTTAGTTAAATAATTAATATACCAGCATATTGTCTATTTGATTGATCAGGGTTAAATCGGGGAGCAGATAGAATATTCCTTTTTCGTACCTAAAGAAAACGACATTTATAAATATTTCAAGAGAAAGATTATCAATTAAGAAACTTAATATATACCTGACTTTTCCTTGTGGTATGTATACTCATATTATCAAGACTATTATTAAAGCTTACATCTTCTGTGCTAGAGTTCATATTGCTATTAAATTCAAAAAACCTTAGATGTTCTGAATTGAAGACAACAAAAATATTACTCAACTTACAACGAAGCCTGAGGAATTTTTGCAAAATGATATTGCTCCTTTCGTTTTCTCTTCAATCGAAGAAAATTAAATAAATTTAGTATAAAAACTAAAGAGTTCAAGGTTATCTGTAAAAAACAAAACCAAAAGTGTATACTAATTGGTTATTAAGTAAATTATCGACACTCATAGTCTGTATTGTATTTTGTTATCTACCTGCAAACTTTTTCGATAGCTTTTAAGAAGATTCGAGTTATAACTTTCAATTGATACTTTGACGATAAGTAACAATAAATTGATTGTATCCATTCGATAGTAATACCTTTTAAGTGGACATGTTTTATGTAAAGATTAGAATAAGGAACTACTACTCACGATTTCAATAACTTTAATGATAAAATAGAAATGGATAAGACTAGAGATATTCCGATGAACATTGTTGTCAATTTATCGTTAGAGACCAAGCTTATTGTATCAATGATCAGCGTCATTGATTGTACCAGATACATTAATTTCACAAAGATTTTATAGCATTTCTTTGTTTTATCCTAAATGATTAAGAAAATGATTATTATATTGGTTACAGTGAAAAATATTAAAAAATATATTAACCTTATTTTGATAAATACTATCGGTAGTGTTATGATCTATTCTGGGAAGTGGTATATCATTATCAATTAGATCTCTTTGAATTGATTCGTCTTGCTGCCTCAGATATAAATCTACTCTCCTGTCGCATGGAACACAAAGTTTATAGGCTCTCTCTAATTTCACTTTATAATCTTCAAGCTCGTTATAATAAGTATCCTAAAATAGAAAACAAATTTTTTTGACCTCTAAAAAATTTAAAACCCGTATTATTAAATATTCATATCTAATTTATATAAGTATCTTTGTGATGATAATATGCTATTATTTCAACTTTTTTCTTACCTCGCAACGAGGTTCAAAGCTTGCAACATGTTTAACCTTTAACAGTTGGTTATTATTGCAGTTATCGCACAAAATCTTGCCATAATTATCCTCTGGACTGTTTCTAGTCCTTTGTGCTGAAGGGGCATAATTAAGATTTTCACAATATTGGGATGGTATTGGTTTGTTGTAATCTCCATCCTGAAATATGTATATTATAAAGAATTTTGTAAGGTATATATAATTAAGGTAGGGTGAGGGAGGGGGATAAAACAGGGGCAGGTTTTTATCTTTATTCTCTTGTACTGAACAAGTTTGTTTTATAATTTAGAGTCAATACAACAAACAAAGGGTTCTAAAAGCTCATTCATAGTTCATGAACAACTATTAAATTGCTTGTAAAAGATATAATAAATAATTAATTAGAGTCGAATTTCGGTTAAAAAATATCACCTCAGAAAAACCATTATACTGTTCACATTTTGGGCAATCCCAGCAGTTTAAGTTTCCGTAAGGGACAACACACGTTTCGTTACAAAACCAGCACTGAACTTTAACCTTGAAGAAGGGTCTAAGAAAAGATGAAAACGCCGCTGTGAGCGATATTACAAGTTTATTACATAACCTACCGTATTTTTCGATACAATAGAGTTATAAATAGAATAGCAAAGAGAGGGATGGCAAATCCATATAAAGTTATTCCGAGGAAATATTCCACACTCTCTTTCGTTTGGGCGTTCATGACATTTCCGAGAGATTTTTGGGACATTTCCTCATGCGTCGCATGCGAAAGCCTATTGAGAAAGTGAATAGGCGCCAATAAATTTATTTAAATGTCAATTTACGGATTTGAATGTAAAAATATATTTTATTACTTGAATAATTCAATATTATATTTTATTAATGCTTTTAATGAATATTTTTGCAGAGTTTTAGCCCTTTAGCTTTATTTAGAAGAGCTAATTTTTAAAGAAATAGACTTAAAAAAACTTTATGTTTAAATTAATATTAATGATTTAAATAAAAAATTTTAGCAGATCAAAGCACACTTTTCACTAATTACATTGTGTTTTTATTTAGCATATCTCATTTTATAAATAATTCCTCATTTCAATCAAGATTTAAGGGTTTTATGGTAATTTCCAACCTGGATTTTTTTTAAATGGTATTTTCTTAATTGTGTTTAACTATAATTTTTTATTACAAAAATTTTAATGGTAAAATTAGCAATTTTCACAAAAAGTTGAATAAAAATTTTACAGGAACCAGATTTATACAATGTGGTTCCTGTCTACTATTTCAGAAATCACAACTTTACTCTCCACCACAGGCAGCGCCACCTCACAATCAATCAAGCATATGTGACGCATTTTTTAAAATAACGATCTCTGCTGGTCGGACATGGAAGAAAAGCGTGACATCGTTCAATATGAACAACCACAGATGCATCTTGCTTTTGAGGAGGATGAGGATGTTACATCCGATATGATCCTGAGTGGAGCAGCGGGAACGTCTTTCGTACCGCCTAAAAGTAGGCGCCCCCGGCGTGCACGTACACCTCCTTTAAAAGAAATGGAACCGTTGTTTGACAAGGTTCCCAATTATTTAAGAATACTATCTAAACCTACCGAAAGACTAATGATTGAAGCAAAAATACCTGTTATCGAAGATAACGATGTGCTTCTTGTGCAACGCGATCCATCACCAGAGCCGATGGACTTACACAATAAACTGCCGGCCTATCATTCTGATTTTACAAATAGTACAAAGTTTGACGAGTGCGACTTTGATGACCCTATTTCACTTCTCTCTTCAAGATCTTCTTCACCAGATCCTGGATCTGCAAACATATCTCTAGTAGATTCATCTTTCGAACAGTGCAATGACAATAATCCATTAAGTCAATCATCGTCATCGTCTATTCACTCCATATCAAGGAGTAGTTCTTTACAGGTGGAAACTGATTCTAACAGACAACCTGTTAATGAAGAGCGTAAGAAAAAGAAACTGGATCAAATTGTATACAGAATATTCTTAATTTATTTAATAAAGAAGAAACTAATCCTCTCATTTCTAAATTAACAGAGAGAAAGACGAATTGTATACGTTGGAAGATTACCAAGAACATTCACGAAAAAAGATTTGAGAAAGAACTTTGAACAGTTTGGAAAAATTGAACGATGTAGTATTCATATACGGGAGTGCGGGTAATATCCTTGAATTTATTCATGAGTCTCTCCATAAAAATGTCTTTTCGAATTTAACTTTAACAGTGATAACTATGGCTTTGTGATATTCTTTTCAAGGGAGGCAGCATTTAACGCTGTTGAGAGTAAGTGTGTCAATTCAATATTAAACTAGTTTCTCAACTATATTGTATTCAATACTTTAATAGAAGCCTCAAGTTGTGAAGGAATGGAAAAATTTGATATTTGCTTTGGGGGAAGAAGACAATTTTGTACAGCAGAATATGCAGATTTAGGTAACAAATATTAGTATAAATCAATTAATTCTATCAATAAATTTATACAAAATTCATAATAATCGTTTTCAGACGGTAATAAAAAGGAAGAAGAAGAAATGACTAAAGTCAATTCAACCTATCGTCATACATTGAATACGAATTCGGAATTTGATGCTTTGTTGCAAACTGCGCTAAGTAGGGCAAAGAAAAAGAAATAGAACCCTGAATGTTATTTTATAGAGACTACCTTTTCTAAGGAATCATTTTAACTTTATAAATATTTTGTTAAAAAAGGAAGATGCCTATTTTCATGATCACAATTACTTGTACAGACTAATTAAATTCTATAAATTGTCAGCTATATTTAAGATGGTTACCTGTTATCTCTCTTCTTGTAGTGGATAATAAAAATTAATCTTCACTTATAATGGAATTTTGTTTTATTTTATACATTCAAGGACAAAAATCATCGTGTCATTTATCTGTCATTGCATTTTTTTTATAAAAAAAAATTGATACTTACCAAGTTTAGGTCTAGTCTAATCAATTAAAATAAATATTTGAAAAATTATCACACGACTATTCATCAGCTGGTTAATAATTTTTTAATATACGTTATCAGATACTTAGATAATATGAGTAATAAGGCCTATTTTCAGTTTACACTTTCTTCATCTAGACTACCAGAAACCCAGTTTAACAATGTGAAAAAATGAGAGAAGATTCTGTAATACACAGCCTATACACAATTTTTTTTAAATAAATGCTAACAAATACTAACAAAAGTTTTCAAATTCTATCGAATCTAACTGTTTCACATTTTCCAACCTATTTACGTTTACTTACTTGTTACACGACACGAGCCAGTTTAAAAAAGTAATATGGATTCGTGTTGTTACTGGTATAATGGGGGGTTTTTTGGCAATAATTTGAATATTCTTCATGTAAAAATAAAATAATGCATAGATCTATGTCAAGATTGTTCTAATCCTATTCAGGTATTTTGGAGTATAATTAATATTAATAGAAAATTATCCTGATCATTTTCTTGAAAAAATATATCAGATTGTTCTTTACATTAGAAGAAAAGTTGTTTTTAAGCCTCATGATCATATTCTCCTAGAAGTTGCTATTGTAAAGACTTTAGACAGTTGTTTGCCATTTTTCCTTTCAAAAGAAAATCTCCTCAACAAGTCACTTATCATTATGAGCAAGAATAATAAAATGGTCTTTGGCGGTTTTGAGTTTCAAAGGGCTGACCAATCAAAATCCAAAAAGCGTAAATCTAATTATCCTTCGTTTCAATCTGCCAAAAGACAAGTTTCTTCAAAGATGTTTGAAAGTGCAAGTAATTTGTGTAAACCGAAAAAGAATATCAAAGCTGATGATGACGTTATTATTCTGAAGGAGGAGAAAGTAGTTAAAGAGTTTCCAATTGAAGTTTGGGAAAATATAGCCTGCACCTTGTCTATTATAGACATTATTAGTTTATCACAAACAAACAAACGAATGTATGATATTATTAATCAACCTGAATATATGAAATACAAAAAACTTTACTTTAAATATCTAAAAGGATATATAACGGCTGAAGACAATAAAGAAGTTAAAGACGTTATTGAAGGAAAGCAAGATTCTGTCAATTGGATTAACTACTGTGCTCAATGTGTACCAAGATATACAGTAAAGTCAGATTTTGTTCAAGTAATTAAGAAAATTGAAATTTATGAAGCCGTTTGTAAGCTTTTAAAAAGCACTGAAGATATTTGGAAAATACTGACCTATATAATAATGTTCAGTGATGGTATGAATAAGATACTTTATATTCTGACAAAACTTTCATCAACTTCAATTCACCTGCCAATACTATTGAATTACTTTTATAATCTGGCATTTCACAGTCTTGTTTTATTGAGGAACTGTCATGTTGATAATAACATTCATATAATTCATTACAATATATATTATGCTATCTATATGTTTGAAAATGAATTCCAAGCAACGATAGATGATCTTAGTCTTGCTTATTCTCATTCTGGTCAACAAACAATTACAAAATATGCATCAAGTAGTAGCAAACTTAGGCTGACCCATGAACAGCTTCAAATTTGTTCGTTCAATCCAGACAGAGGACTGATGGCTAAAATAATTGCCTTCGCAGGAACAGGAAAAACTACAACTCTACTTCGATATACACAACTAAGACCCAACTTAAGTTTTCTACTAATTGTTTTCAACAAGTAAGTCTATATTACAATTAATGTACCATAGCTATATCTCTTTTTATCCTTCTAAAAGGGGTGTTGCGGAACATGCTAAAACGCTTTTCCCAAAAAATGTGGAAGTTAAAACTGGCCATGCAATTGCCTATCGTCATACTGGTTTTCGTTATGCAAAAAAGCTGACGTTTGGCTCGATCAGAGTGCAAGATATTCTCGATGCAGTTCCAGCTAGAAAAGGCTTTAGTATATTTGTTAGAGCAAAATGGATTTCAGAAACTCTTCATGCATTTTTTGCATCAGATGATGAGCGTATAACAACAGAACACATCCCTACACATGTTACTAATGTAGATCCTGAAAATGGAAAATGTGTAACTGAGGAAGATAAGCATAATCTTGTTTATGATGCAGATCTATATTGGAAAAAAATGTTAGATATCGATGATTATTCGTGCAAAATGAATCACGATGGATATATGAAGGCTTGGCAATTACAGAAACCCAGGCTTAATCGTTATGACGTAATATTAGTTGATGAAGCTCAGGACTCAACTCCGTGCCTGTTGAAAGTAATAACCGACCAAACGATTCCTGCTAAAATTCTAGTGGGCGATCCCCATCAGCAGATTTACTCTTTCAGAGGTGCTATTAATGCTTTGGGAATTATAAATGCCCATAAAACTTTTTATTTAACTCAATCATTTAGATTTGGTTCAGAAATAGCGTATGCAGCTCATTGCTGTCTGTATTCATTAAAAAACGTTCGCCAAAAAATTTTAGTTGGAGGCTCTCAGATTTGCTCAATTCGATCTCCTAATTCAGATGAACTAGCAATATCAGAACTACAACATTCTTACAATCCAACAGATATGGAATTTGTTACAAACCCAAAAGCAAAAAGAACTATATTATGTAGATATAATTTCACGGTTTTCGATATCGCCACTAAATTAGTCTATGATTGTGAAAGGCCAACCGTTTCTATACTGGGTGGCTTACAAAATTTTGGTTTAGATGTCATTGAGGATATATATTTATTAACATTGCCAGCAGATGTTAGACGAGAGAGGCGAGAAATCAGGCATGGCCTTATAAAACGATTTGAATCATTTTTTGAATTTGAGAAATTTGCTATAAAAGTTTCTGATGCTGATTTAATCGGTAAGATTCAAATTGTAAAGAGGAATTACGCCGAACTACCAAAACACCTTGCTAATTTAAAGCAATACGCACACTATTCCGAGAAAAATGCAGATATTATTATTGGTACAGTTCACAAAGCGAAAGGCCTAGAATTCAACTGTGTTGAAGTTAATGAAGATTTGTCATTGGACGATGGTGATGTAACAAATGATGATATAAACTTATTGTATGTTGCTATAACAAGAGGCAAAAAGCAACTTATACTTCCCAGATATGTTAAATCTTTATTAATTTCTATGGGATTTTGCGGAATATGTCCTATCCCGCCAAATAAATTGGATATTAAGGAAACCACGACCTATGCTGACACTGGTAATGTTGTTCGGGATGTTAACAATTTACCGTTCGTTCTTCTGAGAAAACCAGATAAAGATTTTGTTGGCGGTATTATTACTTATAATAATGACATTGCTACATCATGTTTCGGATCATTGTTTGCTTCATGATAAATGTTGAATTGATTGTATAAGAATTTAAAAATGTCTACACACCATGAAACCAAAACTGATTTCAATAAATGAGTTATTCATAATTTTAATTTTTTTATAGAAATTAATTATAAATTTTAATAATCCCGGCACTTCTACAATATATTTAATATGTAGTTCGAATTTTAGAACCCTCCGATAGATGGCAGGTCTAAAATTTTCTATAATTAATCTCATTTTATAGATTATCATATTCAATTGTTAAAAAGTAGATTTTTTTCAAATAGTTTAAAAATTTTGTTGAATAAAATGAGTTTTTGAAATTATAGAAGGGTAGGGGAAAGCACTTACAATCGTTCTGTGGTTTCCGGTTCATAGCTTCCGGTTTAAAAACCATTTTGTTTTGATATTTGGACTTGGGCGTAATGTCGTCTATGAACTTCAATTTTGTTGAAAAATGTCAAAGAAGAGAAGAATCAAGTAGATATGCTAGAAAATTTCAACGCTCAAGTATTATCAATCATTCCTTGATTAAGAAAATTGGACTTAAAACTGAACTAGAAGGCCATAAAGGATGTGTCAATTGTTTAGAGTGGAATAGCACAGGAGATGTTCTTGCAAGTGGTTCAGATGATTATACAATTAAATTGTGGGATCCATTTAGATATCGCATGTTGAATTCAATGACAACTGCTCATACAGGGAATATTTTTTCCGTAAAGTTTATGCCTGAAACTTCAGACAATACAATTATAAGTGGAGCTGCTGATCACAATATTAATGTTCATGACGCCTACATTGGCGAAACAGTTAGGATTTTTTCTGAACATCAAAACAGAGTGAAAAGGTTGGCAACAGCACCACTCGAAAGAGATATTTTTTGGAGTGGGTCGGAAGATGGGACAGTAATGGAATTTGATTTGAGATGCAATTATAAAGATGATTCTCATAAAACTGTACTAATTAACTTAAGTGCTTATTGTAATATAAAAAGCGAAGTGAAAAGTATCAATATTAATCCCCTGAAACCTTATGAGTTGGCTGTTGGTGCGAATGACCCGTTTGCTCGGATTTATGACAGACGAAAACTTAAAAAATATAACTTTGATCTCCCAAGAAATACTGCCTCTTTCAGCAAAAGTTATTCTGATAATCTTATAAATTCCGATAGTTATAAAATAGATGAAAATGCTGTTAGTTATTTTGTACCAAGACATCTAATGGAGGTAAATTTACTTTTTTAATTTCATATCTATAGAAGATAGATATTTTCAACTAAGCTTGTATTATCGCCCACAAGTTTGACTTGAATATTTTTTCGGATTTTAAATGAAAATCCTTTCTAACGGTCATAAAAGGTCATTGCCCATTATTTAAGTATATTAAACTACTCAATTTTTTTCTATCAAAAAATTACATTTTTTATTACAACTTTATATATACGTGTTGAAAATGTATTAAAATTACCTGATGTAATAATTTATAATATGATAGCGTCAGTTTCGTATTTTATTAAATCAATTTAATTGTTTTATTTTTATTATTATTTTAGGATGACGGTTGCTGTAGAAGGGGGAAAAACTTAACCATTACGTACTTAACTTTTAGTCCGAATGGTCAAGAATTATTAGTGAATTTGGGAGGTGAACAAGTTTATTTGTTTAATACGAAGGACCAAAGTGAGGATATTCTTTTAAAAGTTGGAAATTTAAGGGAAAAATGCTTTAGTCCTATTGATAATGATGAGAAATTTGAGTTGAATTCTCTCATGAAAATGAAGCACGTTACATTGAAGAGTAATTCTCTAAAAGAGGAAGCGGATAGGCAGAATTCCATCAAGGAATATTCCAAAGCTATAAGATTGTACAATGAAGCCATAAAACTCTCGCCATCAACTCCTATTTTATATTGTAACAGAGCTACAGCTCTCATGAATCGTGATTGGAATGGGGATCTATATTCTGGTTTAAGAGACTGTGTTAAAGCATTAACCCTAGATAAAACGCTTAAAAAAGCTTACTTTAAAATAGCAAAGATTCTTCTTACTCTTGGATGGCATAAGGAGGCGGAAGAATGGACAGATGCTGTCTTTAAAAAATACGTAAAAAGTGAAGCTGGACCACTTTTTGAGTCACTTCGAAAGGATATTAATACGGCTAAAAAGGAGGCTGAAAAAGAACCGAGAAGAAGGAGGAAGTCAGAAGATGAATTTTGTAAACTGAATAAACAAGAAACAGTATGGAGAAATAAATCAATTGATTTCCAGAATCGTTATTGCGGTCATTGCAATACTACTACAGATATAAAAGAAGTCAATTTTTGGGGCTCGAGTGGACAATTTGTTATGGCTGGATCGGACGATGCGAAAATATTTATTTGGGATAGGAAAACTGAAAATCAACTTATTACCCTTTCAGGAGATGATTCCATTGTTAATTGTTTACAACCACATCCCTACACATGTCTTCTTGCTAGTTCTGGTATAGATCCTGTTGTAAAGCTATGGGGTCCGCTATCGGAAAATGAAGAAAATAAATATTTGATTACTGACAGTGATAAGGTTGCAAGTGAAAATCAAAAGCGAATGAATTCTGATCCACTAGAAACAATGCTGCTTAGTATGGGGCAGAGTATAAGATATTTGGAAAGACAAGAAAGTGATGAGGATCAGAGAGCTACCTATCCTTGTAGACCTAGCTGATCTATAATTATATCTCTATAGACCACAGATAATATTTACCTCTATTCAAATCTCTATACAATATACTCTGTCTCTTTCAAGATGATAGTATAATGTTGAAAATATTCCAAATAGTCCTCCACTCAACAGTTTCACTGATTTATTAGATATTAAATAAGCAAAATAATAAATATTACAAGGCAATTGAAAACAAAGCAAAGATACCATGAGCCCTTCGTTATATGATAATCTTTTGGATCTCTTCTACCTAAAATGAAATTTACCAATCATCAATTTGTGTGACAAAAACATAGAGTTTAGTGCGTTTTTCTTATACTGTGTTCACCCTATAAAGATTCTTTGTAGGGTATCAAAATCATTATTAATTATTATTACTTTGCAAATATGTCAAAGAGTTAAAGCAAAAAAGAAAAAATTTGTCTCATTTTGTGTAGCTTCATTGTTTATTTTGTTCTCTTTATTGCAAATGTTGGATAATCCCTGAAAATTTTTACCTTTTCCAATAACGTTTGTTATTGTTGGCTGGACGAGTTGTATACAATTTTTGTATGCATAAATACAAGACAAAGAACAACTTTTAATCCTTATTGATGATGAATAATTAGGCATTAATTATTCCTATGCGATACTCGCCTATTGAAAATATGTAGGGTGTGTTTTATCACTAGGAAACGAAATTTTTATGTACAAAAGAAAAAAGTTTTTATTCCCCTTATTAATCATAATTTTCGTGTAGAAGTTATAATCTTATTACACAATGGAGAAAAGTTTATTTTTATTCTAAATTGCATTGCTAATTCACTTGCCAGAAGTTTTACAAATAATGTTCTAATCTGAACGGAATCTCTTTGAAGAATCCTTGGCATGATCGTAGAGTAAGTCGCAAGGTTTGAATGCATCTCCATAAACTGCTTGGAATCTTTCCATTCTTTCAACTAGTTGCTTGGCTCCGTGATTGTCCAAATAACGGAAAGGTCCTGGTAAATTAGAATATACATATATATTATTTTTATAAATAATTCAGACGATAAAATGAGTATGTTAACGAACCTCCGAAAAATGGAGGGAAACCAAGTCCAAAGACGGCTCCAACATCTCCGTCAATTGGTGAGGCCAAAATTCCTTCTTGTAAGCAAAGAACGGCTTCATTAATAAATCGGCTAGCCAAACGCCATTGGATATTTTCGTCGGTAAGCCTGGATATGGGATATTTTGTTGAAATGATGTTTTTTTTAGGCAACAAATGGAAATTTTTGTAACTTACTCCATCTTTGGCTCTATTTTAGTTTTTTCCATTATTTCAATTGCAGCAGGATTTTCTGGTTTATCCTTACTTCCCTTTTGATATAAATAAACTCCCTTGCCAGATTTTCTTCCCAAATTACCACCGTCAACCATGTCATCCATAAAAGAGACATCGGCATCTGTATAACGATCTCCAAATTCGTCCTTCATGAATCTACCAATATGACTAGCGACATCAATGCCAACTTCGTCAACTAAGGTAGCAGCGCCAACTGGCCAACCGAACTTCTTACTAAGTTTGTCAACTTGCTTTGGTCTAACACCTTCTTGGAATAATCTCAGTAACTCAGCCATCATGAAAGATAAAATTCTGGTTGTGTAGAATCCTGGCCCATCACCCACAGTAATAACAGTTTTTCCTTGTTTAAGACCGAGTTCTACAGCTGCTGATGTTGTCTCCTTTGATGTTCCTTTATGGGTAATGATTTCCAAAAGTTGCATTTTGTCTACAGGTGAAAAGTAATGCATTCCAATAACCTAAAAAAAACATTGTTATAGTTCATCTTTAAAAAAAAGGAGCATTAATTTCATTTTACTTTTTCTGGTCGGCTACTTCCTTTGGCAATTTGTTCGATTGGTAGAGCTGATGTGTTTGTTGCGAATACACATCTCTCTGGTACAACAGCTTCAACTTCTTTAATAACTTTGTGCTTGATACCTAAATCCTCGAAAACGGCTTCAATAACCATATCGGCATCTTTGAAACTGCTATAATCCAAGCTAGTGTCCAATTGACCCAAAAGTTGATCACGTTCGAAGCTTGTCATTCTCTTTCTCTTAACTTTTTGATTAAAGTTAGATTCAATTTGATTGAGACCTCTAGCAACTCCAGCTTCAGAGACATCCTTCAAAATTGTAGAATAACCCTTATCCATTGTAACTTGAGCAATACCAGCACCCATAAGACCGGCACCTAAAACACCAATCTTCTTTAAGGGAGGAGGTGTACCAAATCTGTTCTTTTTACAATGAGTTTGTCCGTGAAACAAACCCATTAAAGCGTTAGATTCCTTAGTAGTTCCTAATTCACCAAATTTTTTCGTTTCAGCCTTATAACCTTGATCGTAACCGTGTTTCAAAGATTCATCAATAACTTCTAATATTTTTAAAGGAGCAGGATAGTTTCCGAATGTTAATTTCATGATTTTATCTCTGGCTTGTTTAAGAACATAGTTTCTCCCAAAGTCGTAAGAAACAAGACGTTCAGTAACTTTATCGACCATACTCTTCTTTCTGGGAGCAACTTTGATAGATCCATTAGCCAAGCCTTTGGCAGTTTGGATTGCTACTTGTTCAAGGTAGTTTCTAGTATTTACTTTGGGCTCGTCAACACCTGGGCCAAGGGGTTCAATAGTTTGGTTAACTAAACCCATCTTCTTTGCTTTGTCAGGACGAATGTTCTTTCCGGTAAGCATCATATCAAGTGCATTTGGTAGAGATACCAATTTCTGGAGTCTTTGGGTTCCACCAGCACCTGGTAGAATGCCTAACATAACTTCAGGTAAGGCTAGAGTTGTTTTCTTATCTTTAACAGCAATTCGGTAATGACAAGACATGGCAACCTCTAAACCTCCTCCTAAACATTGACCCATAATAGCGGCGACAATGGGTTTGCTGCTCTTTTCTACGTCCATCAACATATCTTTACTCTCTGTAGAGACTTTTTCAACATCTTCCGTTGTTTTGCATGCTTGTAGCATACTATAAAATACATTGCAATTATATGTTGTACAATTAATAAAGATAAAGAAAAACAAAGTTATATAGGCCTATTTTTTAATCAATCTATTAGTAAATCAATAAAATCTACAAATTTTTAATAGTTTTAAGAAAAACGAAACAAGGTCAAATAAGTCGAACACTAACCATATACCTAATCTATTTTTACCAAGTAAAAAAATATAAATATACTAATATATATATAATTTACCAAAGGTCATTTCAAAAACATTCGATCTTATTTATTTTGTGATATTATCTATATTACTTTTTTAGAATGTTACCATTTTTTTACTTAAACTTTGAACTCTCTTTCATAGAACTTTGACCAGTCTCTATTTTACTATTAAGTCTCCATTAAAAATTTATCATTCTTATCAATTTTTGATTTGAGATAATAGAAAAAAAAAGTTCAAAAATTTTTGTCCAATTTTTTTTCTTATCCTTAGAAGGACTTGAGAACTTTCTTTTTTTTTTAAAAAAAAAAAGCGAAAGAACTCTTGAAAAGAATGTTTTCTCTTATTTTCTTTCCCTTGTAAGTGTGATTTATAGGCGGTAAGAAAGACAAAAAAATTTTTGTTAACTCACTTAATATCGGCTCCGGCGATGAAACAATCGGGTTTACCAGATATAAGGACACCTGCTTTGGCAGTGTTGTCATTCTTAAATTTTTCCAAAATTTGCTTAAATTCTTCAGAATTTTCAAATGATAGGGTGTTAACCTAGAGAAAAGACATACTGACTGTTTATATACAATGAATTTTTGACTAAAAATAGAATTCTTTCAAAGATCAAAATCTAGTAAACAATGTTAAAACATACCTTTGAATTTGGTGTATCAAAAGTAATAACAGCTACACCATCTTCAACCCTGTAGGTCAAGTACTTTGACTGACTTGAAGATACTGAAAATGCTCTGGAATAGTAGAGGTTCGGCCAGCCTAAAAAAAATTCATAGTTTCATAACAAATTGAATTAAGAGATATATTTTGGTTAAAGATTAATGTTTACCCAATTTAGACAAATGGTTGGTTTTGCCTATTGTTCTTAAGGCTCCTAAAAGTTGAGAAGACGCCATGGATTTATGATAAAATGATGTCTTATCGTAATTTTTGCTTGATGAACTTTACCGGTGGAGGTGGAACCAAATAACCGACTGCGCAATAAAAAATAGTTCAGTAGCGTATTCAAACTAGCTAAATAAAAGTTCTTTAAAATTTAACCAAAAGAGCCAAAGTGAAAATTTAACTTAATATTCTATTAATTTTATAGAAATTCCTTTTAATATCATTGAGTGTATTATTTTCAAAATATGGTCACGTGTCTTATGTTGCTACGCGTAGCAGACGAATATTTGCAGTTGGCCAATTCCATCTTCAAAATCAGCTATATAAAGTACTTTTGAACTTTGAAGTAAGTGTTTGATTGACCATACTAAGAGAAATTTTATTTAGTATATAATTGCAATATTTGAGTTAACTTTTACTTAGCCGATGTTGTAAATATTGAATTTTCATAAGGTCATAAACCGGGACAACTTAAATCCACAACAATTTTCTCTTATTTAGATCTCTATTTATGAACAGGTAAAGAATTTGAAGAAACACCATGTCATTATCAAGACCGAAAATTCAACTTTTAAATAACATTCGTAAAAGTAAGTTTAAAATTTTATATATTAACATTCCAAAAATTTTTTTAATTGTATGTGTATTGTTATTGTGGGAACTTTTTCACATAAATAGACATTATGACAGTAAACAACCCATTCAGATGTTAAATCTAATTTTTATTAAGTCATTTTTAATCTAAAATACTGAAGTAAAAAATATTTCATCAATTATTTTTATAAAATGATGGAAAAAGTATTTAATTAACGAATTATTATGTTAAATGTTAGTTTTCTTTGAAAAAACTCGTTTTTTTTAAATATTATAAAGGATATAAAAGATTTCTCTTCATTTTCATTATTAAGTAGTAGTCGTAAGTTATATAGTGAAATTCCAATTATCTTCATTCTTAACTATTAAGGTTATAAACTAGATCCTATATTATCTGAAGGTTATCTACTGTTATCATTCCCTCAAAAATGTAAGAATACAGAGATTAAGTGCCGTTAACTTCTTCTTTTTAACTTTTCAATAGATATTATCAGAACTGCAGCAACTGCATCTGCAACGAAAGCATCAGCATGTAAGTGGATTATATAAAAATGAATTAATACAAAATATATTTCTAACGTCACTGTCTTCTATCTTACATAGCTAAGCCTAAATCGCTTGAGAGATCCGGTATACCGAATATTGTCTTAATCGACGGTGTTCGAACTCCATTTCTTCAAGCATGGACCGATTACAAAAATATGATGGCCCACGATTTACAGAGATTAGCTCTTCAGTAAGTTCTAAAAACTGATACTAATTAGAGAGCAATTTTTACTTACTCTTTATTGTTTATTTACAGAGGATTAGCCAAAAAGACAGGAATTTCTAAAGGTCATCTATATACTTTATACTTCTATTAATTTAGCATAAGTGTTATTTTATACAGATATCGTAGACTACATCGTTTGCGGAACAGTAATTCAAGAAGTTAAGACTAGTAACATAGCAAGAGAGGTAATTAATTATCTCTTTTAGTAAAATTTTAACTGACCGATAATAAATAGTAAAAGATACTTGACTCACATTAATCGATTATCTAGTATAACAATCATATTTTGTCTTTAAGGCTGCTTTGGGAGCTGGATTTTCGGAATTTACCCCATCACACACTGTAACTCAAGCTTGTATCTCGTCTAATCAGGCTATTTCTACCTGTATTGGACTTTTGGCTTCTGGTCAAGCTAGTATTACAATTGCTGGTGGAGTTGAATTTATGTCTGATGTTCCAATTCGTCATAGTCGCTATATGAGATCATTGATGTTTGATGTAAGATTATTCTTTTGCTTATTATAAAATTATATATACTGTACATATATATACGTTATATTTATATATATTTGTGGCAACAGTTGAACCGTAAGAAATCTACAGGCGATAAATTAGGCATCGCAATGAAGATGCTTTCTGGTAAAGCTCTTACACCTGAGGTAAATTCATTAATTTTTCAAAAAAGGATATTTTTATCAGCTAAGTATTTAGACTACTATTTGTTTCTTTTATAGCTACCGGCTGTTGCCGAATTCTCCACAAATGAGGTTATGGGTCACTCCGCTGACAGATTATGCGCAGCTTTCGGCGTCACCCGTAAAGAACAAGTATTAAATACCATTATCCAATTAAAAATCACTTGTAAAAGCAAACATTTTTCTGTTATGTTCCATCTTAGGATGAGTTTGCTCTTCGTTCCCATACTCTCGCAAGAAAAGCCATCGATAATGGCTATTTGACTGATGTTCTTTCTTTTAAAATACCCGGTAAAGAAAAAGTGATCAAAGAAGACAATGGAGTTAGACCAAGCTCTATGGAACAAATGGCAAAATTAAAACCGGCTTTTATCAAACCACATGGAACAATTACAGCAGCTAATTCATCTTTCTTGGTAATAAATATTAATAATCCTTTTAAAACATACTTTTATTGTATTGAATACTAGACGGACGGCGCTTCAGCTTGTCTTATAATGACGGAAGCTAAGGCTAAAGAATTGGGATTGAAACCTAAAGCTTACTTGAGAGACTTCCTTTATGTGTCTCAGGATCCTAAGGATCAATTGCTTCTTTCGTAAGAATTTTAAAAAAATTAGGTTATTGTTCCAGTTCATTTTTATAACACTGTCAATATTTATTTATTTAGACCAGCATATGCAACTCCTCGCTTGTTGGAAAAGGTTGGACTTAACTTGGGAGATATTGATGTTTTCGAATATCACGAAGCTTTTGCGGTACGTCAACATATTCTTTGAAATTGCACTCTCTTTCATAAAAAGTTGATTAATCACTGTTTATTACAATGATGATTAAATGCTATCTTAATATAAATATTATATACACTGCATATAGGATACTAAAAATGAATTGCTTTTTTACAGGGTCAAATCTTATCTAACTTAAAGGCTCTAGATAGTGATCATTTCGCCAAGAAGTACATGAAGAGAAGCGCAAAACCAGGAGCACCACCTTTGGAAAAATTCAATTTGTGGGGTGGTTCCCTTTCCCTAGGCCATCCCTTCGGAGCGACAGGTGTTCGTCTGGCGACGACAGCTGCTAATCGTTTAATCAAGGAAGATGGAAAATTCGCTTTGATTGCTGCCTGTGCAGCTGGAGGTCAAGGACACGCAATGCTTGTCGAGCGATATCCATAAAGGATAATTTGAACATTCTATCATTTAGTTAAATTTTTTGTTTTCATTTTCTCTTCTTTTCAAATGAAAAGGAAACGAAAGCCCTAGACAAAACAATGCAACATGTTTCCATTGCTAATAAAAGAAATTTTATATACAGTATATTATACATTAATATAATTATCTACTGGATACAGTATATATATATTTATATATCTATACTTTATATCCTGTTTTCTATAAACAGACAAAGACAGGAAAAGAGTCTTTCATAATTAAAAATCCCTACTACATGAAATAGCATTAACTGCGGGATCCGGTAAACGAGAAAGTATGAAAGTGTTTTTGTGTTATATGAAGACGTATAAGATACATTAGTGTTAACGAATTTCAAGTAAGTTATTTGAACTCAAAGAAACCTTTATTCCACTTTACTTCTTAGCGTTCACATCTAATTACATGATTTCGTACAAAAATAGATAAATGATAACGGAATTTTCTTTTTCTGTTTGAGATTAACAATAGTGACATAGGAGTGTAGATTAAAATTTGGTTGTGTTTTTTCATTTTAAATGGCACTGTCCATGGGAACTACAAAGACGCTTATATCGTCCAGCGATAGCTGTCCAGTTGGAGAGACATCGGCATTTTGAGCCTGCATGACTAGTTCTAAAGCTAGAGCATTATATCGACGACCATCAGTTTCTTCGTGTTGTTTTAAAACGTTTCTAATTTTATCCGCGGCACTTTGGTTACTAACGACATCCCAAAGACCGTCAGTCGCCATGACTATAAGGTCGTCTTTTTCTAATTCTAATTTTCGAATTTCAGGCTTGGAGCTTAGGAAAGGTTTTATATATATATCTGTAGATTGTACTTGTAGAAAATGATCTCCTAACCCTCTTGTAACGCCTATTGTGGCTAATAGTCTAGCTTTCTTGGCGCTACCAAAAATAAGAGGACTTTTCAAGTCTTCTTCTTCAACCTTTTTTTTTATCCAGCCCTTCTTGCCAGCTGGTTTACACAGAAACCAAGAGCCAACGTCTTTCGCTGATGGCCTCTTTTGCCATAAATCTGCCGTGAACACACCATGCAATAGATGGGGTTTTAGCGCGGCAACCTCCTCTAGTCTATTGCGTTCTGAGTCAGGCGTATGGTCGAATGAAAGAGCTTCTGGCGGGGAACCGTCGCCTCTAATAAGGACAGCTCTAGAATCACCCGCGTTGGCAACATACACTACATTCTTAAATTTTAAAACGACTAGTGCCGTACATCCACCGCTGGCTCTCAGTTGCTTGATTTTTTCATCCGTCCTAGCATATGCTTGCTCGAGGGCACCAATAATCAAATCATCATGCTTTATAATCGTCGGTCCAAGACAAGTGCAGGCAGGTCTATCTGCGAAGAGGAGACTCTTCACTTTACACAATTCCTCTTGCAGATGATCTTGAAGAAAATTTCTAGCTAATAAGGCAGCACCACTTCCAGCATGCCCATCAAAAATTCCAAAATACTCACATTCAATCGGCTCATCCTTATCCTAGGTTCATAATACTAATTAATTGAAGGGGATTATTTTTTAAATATATGAAACGTACTCCGCTCCCCTCTTCCTCAGGTAATTGCGATATCAGAATTCTATCAACGTGAGCTTGGTCTTCATTTAGGTCGCTTTTACCTGCATTAATGCACCTACATACGGAGTTAATATTGCATTTTCCACTGAAATGTGATTAACATACTCAGCGTAACCGAAACAGACGTTAGATGTTGACTGACCAGTTTCTCTAGGTACGATAATGGGACGAAGGGAATGGTCTGCTGAAGCCTTTACCTCATCTTCCGTCAAGTTTAAGAACTTTGGTCTCGAGTATTGTAGATATCTGTTATAATTTATATGCAAGTTAACATACTTCCTATATTTGATAAATCCTTATTTATGCTCACTTCTCGGCTTCTGAGTAACTATCCGCTCCATTTGCTGGTCCGCTAAAATTTACGATTACCTTAGACATGGCATTTTTAAACCTTCCCAAAGTTGTAGCCATAATTTATTTAGAATTTATTTAGAGAGAGAAAAATTCAATCTTCGAGTACCATTTTGCACGTCATGTGAGAGGTCACGTGTAATTTCCGTTTAGCGCCAGATATTTGAAATCATTTCCCTGGCGATAAAAGCTGAAAAAATGTTCTATAAGGATATAAACAGCCATTAATTAATTAGAAAAGGAAGAGAATGAAAGTCATAAAAGACGAAATTATATAAAGAATAAAATAAGATTATTATTCAGAGAGAAGATGAAGCAAAATAGGTTATTTATTTCGAACGAATCGTGGAATATTTACCAATCGAATTATCTACAAATATTTTTGAAATCAATGTAAATAATTAAAATTAAATAAATATCATATAATAATACAGTTTTCACGATTTAACGTACATTAAATCAGTTTATACCACTAAAGAACATGGTGTTTTCGTTGAAACGTCTATCAACAATGTTGTATGACACCTTACTAAATTTTCTATGCTTTCTTTTAATAGTTCTTTGGTTATTTATGGCATTCGTAGATAGTCTAGGCTGACATCTTTAAAATGAAGACATCAGGGAAAACTTTTAAATTTCAAATGAAAAAGAGGGGCAACAAAAAATTTTGACCTTGAGGATAGATTATAGCTGTGTTTTGTGGGTGTGAAAGATGGTTCCACCATCGACTAATGAACAGCCTCAACAGAGGAGTGTTCTAGAAATGTACGGTTATAGATTAGGTCAAACATTAGGTAGAGGCACTTATGCAGAAGTTCTAAGTGCGTCTTCAGAACGCCATGGAACGGACGTGGCAATTAAGATTGTTTCTAAAAAATTGGCTCCTCGAGAATATATTAATACCTTTATGCCACGTGAATTGCATGTCGCTAGACTCCTTAAGCATCCTAATATTGTGCGATTCTTTCAATCAATTGAGACAACGAATCACGTCTACTTAATCATGGAAAAAATTACGAATGGAGATCTACTAGAGGAGATTCGAAAAAAGAGAGTTATTGACGAGCAGAGGGCAGGGAAATGGTTTTATCAAATGTCAAGTGCAGTTCAATATATTCATTCAAGAGGCGTTGCTCACAGAGATATGAAATGCGAAAATCTTATGCTTGATAGTAATTGGGATATAAAATTAGCCGATTTCGGCTTTGCTAGAGCTCAGATTTGGACAGAAGATGGTAGGCCAGTTTTGAGCGAAACCTACTGCGGTAGTTATGCATATGTGCCGCCTGAAATTTTAATGTGCAAGCCATATCATCCAACACAAAGTGACATCTGGGCGTTAGGTGTTATATTATATGTAATGATGTATGGTACCTTACCATTCAATGATGCCACCTATCAAACTCTCCTTTCAGAGGCCCTTAGAGGACCGAATTTTCCTCATACAAGGGCAGTAAGAGAGGAAGTGAAAAGTTTAATTGTCAGCATTTGTCAAAAGGAGAATAGAGATCGAATGACAGTTAGAGAAATATTAAGTCATCAATGGGTATCTAGATTTAAGACTCCTGGAACCAATACTGCCCGAATCACAAACCAATAAGGATATCTAGTTAGCTACTGGTTCCAATCATGATAGATATATCAAAAAATGCCTTATTAGTAATATATTCAAATTCAAGTTCATTCTTTTGCAAAATTTATAAGTCTTAACGATAAAAGTAATAACAACCATATTATTTTTTTAACACTTAAACACCTGATTAAGATACTCTCTTTGCAAGAACTTAGAAAAAAGTTCAATTGATCAGTTAAACAATAAGGAATTGAACTGCTTTGAGTGGAGAACTACTAAATATATTTATGAAAGCTTTATTATCATTAAGATAAATGTGTAATTTAGGATAAAATTCATAGATTCTATAAGCCAGTTGGTTGAATATCCTTTGGAAATAATCGTGCGACAACTACTTTAAAAAAATCGTCATCTAAAGATAGATCAAAAACTATCAACTCCCAGGATAAAGAGACGTCAATCATTTGAAAGCTCTAAGGAATAAATTGAATTTTATCATCAAACAACTAGACGTTAATATATCGAGTAAAATAAATAGGGTCTTTAAAAACTCCTATATTTTCTTTGATTGGAGAGGTTTTTTATTTCTTTTCATTCATTAATTATTCAAATTAGGAACGAAACAGTTTTTTTGAATCTTTTGAATGTTCAATAAGTAATTTACAAGGCTTGAAAGCGTCTCCATAAACTTTTCGAAAGTTTTCCATTCTCTTTACTAATTGTTCAGCTCCGTGTATGTCTAAATAACGGAAGGGTCCTAACAAAAATACGAGTTTAGTGAAAGGGAATTATTTAAATAATAGTTCGGTATTACCTCCTAAGAATGGTGGAAAGCCTAGACCAAATACTGCACCTATGTCACCGTCCAAAGGGGATTTTAGAGTTCCTTCTTCCAGACATAAAACTGCTTCATTAATTATTCTAGACACTAAACGCCATTGTATGTTTTGAGTAGTCAAACTATAGAAAAAAAATGACAATTGATAGATTATCAAATAGTTTCTTTTTACTTAAAAATAAAATCTCTTATCACCTTTCCTTAGGTGAAATTTTATTATCGTCTATTATTTTAATGGCAGCAGGATTGTCTATACTTAATTTTCTTGTAGGATCATATTCAAACAAGCCTAAGCCAATTTTTTTACCAAGCATTCCCTTCTTAACCAATTGTTCTAGGATAATGAGGTTTTTTGACAAAAGATTTTCGTCATAATGACTACAGAGAACCTTTGAGGCCTCATAAATATTATCAATGCCAAATTCATCAACAACCGAGCATAATCCCATAGGCCAACCTATTTTTTTTGTCATATCCTCTAATTGTTTTGGTTTTATTCCTTCTCTTAATATACTTACTAATTCATCTACGAGAATGCATAAAATTCTAGTTGTATAAAAGCAAGGTCCATCGCCAACAACAATCACAATTTTCCCCTGCTTTAAACCTAAATCCACTGCAGTTGCTATGGTTTCTTTGGTTGCACTCTTGGATGAAACAATTTCTAATAGCTGTGACTTTGCCAGTGGTGAGAAATAGTGCATACCAATTATCTGAATAAGGAAATAATAGGAAATAAAGTATTAACCTAAAAAAACGAAAAGGATACGACTACAATAAAAAAAACAAACTAACCTTATCGAGTCGCTTTGCACTTTTTGCTACTTTTTCGATGGGATTAAATAATGTTTGGACAGCTATGACACAAGACGGCTTTACTATAGACTCAATTTCAAGTAAAAGTTTGCATTTTTTATCAAAATTCTCAGTTGAAGCTTCAATAACAAAATCAACATTTGATATGCTTTCCAATTCCGTGCCAGTCTCCAATTTAGATACCAATTTGTCTTTTTCATTATCGCTTATTTGTTTCCTTAAAACTCGTTGCTTGAGATTGTTCTTTATATATATTAAACCTTGTTCTAAATTTTCCTTTGATTTATCATACAGTGAAAGAGGATAACCTTTAAAAATGGTTATTTCTGCAATACCAGCACCAATAGAATTAGTTCCCAGTATACCAACTTTTCTAACAAAGCAGAAAATTGTATTATTTAGTGACCTACTAATTATGAAACTGGAGGTTTATTAATTTTTTTACTTAATAGGACTAGGGGAACCATAGTGATTCTTTTTGCAGTGCGTCTGCCCATGAAACAAACCAATAAGAGCTTTTGATTCTTTTGTTACACCTAATTCTCCAAAATATCTGGTTTCTAACTGGTTTCCTCGTTCATAACCACTCTTTAGTGTTTCCTCAACAACATCTAATATTCTTAATGGTGCAGGATAGTGGCCTTGCGTCATATTCATTACCCTATTTCGAGCTTGTGTCATAAAGAAATATCTACCCAAATTAAACCACATTATGTATTCAGTAATGGCTGCATTTTGAAATAAAATAGAATTTAGAAGATTATAATCTAATAGATAAGAAATATATTAATATATACTTTCTACCCATCCCTTTCTCCTTGGTAATGCTTGAATTGAACCGTCTACTAAGCCCTTGGCTGTTTCAATTGCAACTTGTTCCAAATGTTTTCTTGTAGCTTCTTTCGATTCTTTTGAATCTGAAGCTCCTTTCGGGTCAATAAGCATGTGTACTAGACCGATTGTCTTAGCTTTATCAGGGCGTATATTCTTTCCCGTTAGCATCATGTCAAATGCATCAGGAAGAGATAGCTTTAGAGAATGTAAAAATTTTTTTAGATAGGTATTTAAAGTATATAATTTTAATTTTCTCTTTTACTAAGCGCAAAAGTCTTTGCGTTCCACCAGCTCCAGGCAGGAGACCAATCATCACTTCCGGTACAGCTAAAACAGTTTTTTTGTCCCTGACAGCTATTCGATAATGACAGGCTAAGGCTGTCTGATAATTAATCACAAATTAGTGCAAATGAATACCCAAAAGGATTATATTATATACCTCAAGTCCGGCACCTAAGCATTGACCCATTATAGCTGCTACAATTGGTTTTTTACTTTCAGCTATTTCATTAAAAGTTCCTTTACATATTCTTGACAAATGTTGTATTTCTTCAGCAGTCTTACATGATTCTAGCATACTATAATACATTATTAGTCAAATGATGATTTCATGTTATCCGGCAATTCTTAAATTTCCAATTATCTACTCTTAGCCCCCCATCTACTCTCGTTGAACTTTTACCAGTTTATTAAGTTCTGCAACTTTACTACTCCTAACCTTTGATGCATTTTGGTAATACTCTATTTGAACTTTGATTGAATGATTGATTATTAAGTAAGATATCTCTGTAAAGCAACTCTTCACCCTCTGTGTAGAGTAGAACTGATAACAATTGGAACATCGAAATAGACAAAAATAAACAAGCCTACCACAATCTGGCTAGCGATAATCAGATCTCATTTGTAAAATGGTCAAAAAGATAAGTATTAACATAATAATAGCAGTATTTTTTCTTATATTCTGTACATATACTGTGTATATATGAACATACCTCTGTCGAATGAGCTAATTTATTAATATTATACTACATAGGATATGGACACTACCTTTTTTTTTAATACTTAGATGTTTCGAATGATTAAGTGTATTAACTTACTTAATATCTGCTCCTGCAAAAAAGCAATCAGGCTTTCCTGATATAAGTACAGTCGCTTTTACATCATCGTTATTTTTCAAAATATTTAGAACTTCTTTAAATTCATCTGCGTTGTCTATGGAAAGTGTATTAACCTGAGAAACAATCAACCATAAATAAATTCACATTTAACCAAAAACAACAAACGATTTGCTAAATCAAAAGTTACTCGTATGTTCATATATTAAATAACAAACATTTTGTACCTTAGAATTTGGGGTATCGACAGTGACGACAGCAACACCGTCGTTAATAGTATATGACAGTACTTTCGGCATGGCTGAAGAATAAAGAGTTAAACTTTATTCTACAAAGTGAGGGTCAAGTGATTTTCACCAAAAATTCATCAGCAAGCACAAGAATTTTTATTTAATTTAAGGTTCTTTTCAATTTTATAGCAGGTAACAATATTCTGCTAGTATAGAGGTCAGGACACTTTTTTGTTGACTTATATCACGTGATAAACACTTAGCAGACTAAATTTTTTTCATCTAACCTTCTCGTATTTGACTTACTTAAAATGAATTAAAAGAAACTTATAAATTCACTTAAGAATGCTATAAAATATAATTTTATCTGATTTTCAAATAGTAATAAAATAACAAAAGTTTTCCTTCAAACATTCCAAATAAATTTAGTATGTATATATTTTATTATTACGCAATAAAAAGAACATTTTGGCTATTTTCTATTTCTAACATAGAGGTTGAAAATCAGGACAGGGTATTTCTCTCTTTTTTTTATATAACTATAGTATAAATAGATTCTTTTTTCTTTCAATTTTTTTTCTTTTTAGAATCTTTAAAGATGAATGTAACTAGATGGGAAAATAGGCCAAAGCACACAATATTACTTTTGTTCTATATAAGGAAACACGTAAAGTTTATATTTTAGAAAGAAGTTAGTATTGTATTCGTATAAAATAACAATATTTGAATATTTTTGTTACAGTTACAATATTCTATATCTATAAATATCTAATTCACTTATGCTACTACTCCTGTTCTCCTTTAATATTTATTACACAACATATTAATAGTTTTAAAAGCCTATGATTACATATTAACAGTTAATCCAAAGTTAAGTCTAAAGAGCAATAGTAGCCTAACAGACAAAACTGGTATATCAAAGAAAAAAAATACCGAAGTTAAAAAAAGAGAAAACAGCTGATATATGAAATTTCCAAAACGCATTACGTAATAAACAAACTAAAAAAATGTGAGAATCTAGGCCTTCTATGTCAAATAAGTAATAAAACTATTTAAAAAAAGAAACAGTTAAGAGGTTAATGAAGACTTCTTGTATTGATAAATCGCTAGTAAATAATACTTGACTGAATTCTGACTATTTCGTTCATAGAAATTGTGTTGATTACATCAAAAAAAAGAAGCACAGATGATAAACAAAGTCACATTCGTTATCTATATGCTTCATAATCGTATTACTACAAAAGCATATATCTATGTAGATTAGTAATATGTGTATAACATTCAAATTAAGTAGTAAGGTTAGGCCTTTTATTAATTAATGCAAGATATACACAGAAAGAAAGAGATAGATTGGGAAAAAAGGGGAGGCAATTTTATCAGAACTAATTGTGTAGTTACTTTATAAACTAACATAGAGCAGAGGTAGGGAAGTACTTGAGTTTTTTATGTAAAAAAAAGAAAAAAATATCTTCTAGAATCTAACATAGCCTGAATTTTTGAAAGCGCGAAGCTTGTCATAATACTTCGTAAATATAGAATATTTCTATAATTATAATATGATAAATACATCTATTTTATCGTTCAATTCTCATTTCAACTAATTATTTAATTATTTGATAAATTTTATAAAGCCATTACGAAATTTCTACTTAGTCATATGGTAAACAGTGTACTCTTTAAAGGCTAGTTTGTACGCTGTATGTGTAACGATTACCTCACTACCGAAATATTTTCGATAGTTATAGCCAACCATTTCAATTTAAGCATTCATACTTTACATTCGTTACTGTTTATTTATGGAATGTAATTTCTTTGCTTCTTGTAACATTGGATCGTCATGTGATAGTCACGTGAAGCATTCAGTTTTTTTTCCTTTCTCTGGAAGCCATAGTTTAAAACCTGTATTTTGATCTAGTTGCTAAATTTTTGTTTAGTTGGCCTATTCTATGACGTAGACGAACAAACAGTGAAGAGAATGTTAAATATATTAATACATTTTTTGGCATAGATATACTTTTGAAAACCAAGATAACACTAACTTTTTAGCTTTAAAATTATGAATAATGTATAATAAAACAATGATAAGAAAAAGATAACATATTTTAATATTTTAAAACATGAATGTGAAATAAAAAAAAGAAACAATTAATCATAAATTTGAAATATGTATTTGAAATATGTTCATGGAATTTTTCCATGAATCATATTTTATATTCTTTATCTTGAGTCAAATAATGTTCAAGCATTTGTACAAGCTGCTTGAGTAATTCTGGATTTCCTTGAACAAGTGCAATAACACCTGCAACATCTCTGACTTCAAAACTAGTTAGGATATTCATAGTTCTATTGTATAATATTTTCCTCTCATTTGCTGGTAGATCGTTGATTATTTCATAAACTGGTTTAAAACTTTTAGACATAAAGTATCCCAATGCACCTCCTAAAGCACTACCGATAATAATGCCAGGCGGACCTCCAAGCATTGCTCCCCCAAAAGCTCCAGTTCCAGCTAAAACAGCTCCTTTAAGTCCCTCTTTTATAGTTACTTTCATATTTTGCTCTTTAGCTACAGTCTGTAATATTTCCATAATTTCATCAACTCTAATAACCATTTTCTATTTTTCAATTTCAACAAATTTAAAGAAATCTTATGCAATTGTTGCTAATGTCTTCTGCCAGCACTTAGATGTATAAGAACACGTGTCAAGGTCACATAGTACCACGTGATGTAAACATTATGATTAATCTGCATATTCTAATTAAGCGTGTTTTCGGGCGGTCAACCAATAAGCATTGAGAATAGCTCGTGACGTACCAAAAAATCAGCTGGTATATTTTTCAGTTCTGTTTGGTGCAGTTCTAACTATTTAAGCTCATTATCGATAAAATACATTGGTTTTTCAAAGAACAACAACCAAAATATAAATTAAATCATCACTAAAATTAAAAAGGAATAAGGTGAGTCACTTGTTTTCCTAGGGTACTTGTTCGTCAGTAATAAGATGTAGGGAGTAAAAAATGTTAATGAATATGAGAACAAAAAAAATTCATTTTCCACACCTTCTGTAAGGGATTATAAAAAAACTTTATGCAACAACAATACTACAGTAAGCTGACTAGAAACAGCTATGAGAATGTTATTGTTCGAACGTTCGTTATAATTCATCAATCGATAATCAAACGAGAAATGGGACATTCATGAGCCATTCGTTCCCTTCACTAATTTCGTGAGCCTTTGTAGCTTTATTATTTATTGTTTTTAATGCATGTTCTCACTTTTAGTATTAAGTACTTGAAAAGAAAATTATATATACAACAGAAGCTTCTATTGATGAACTGGTTTTCGGGCGTTTTTCACTAGTGTTCACTTATGCGCTGAATGCCCAATAAATTCGTATTAGAAATCTAAATAAAATTATATTACGATATTAGAAGAGGGGGTTTATGTAAAGAACCTGGTTGATCTTTTACCCGATTCGGGTCACCGAGGTTGTTTGGTACATTTTATAACGCCTTCTTTTTTTAGCTGGGCCGTTGTTAAATACCGAGAGAACAATTCGAAACCTTAAATAATAGCGTAATGGAATTAGCAGTTCATTGTATTTGTTTAACTTGTTAAAAGAGAAAACATAACGTAAGAAAAAATATTCGGTTAGAACGAGTTATGTAACTATGAAATATTTCAACTTGTTATGTAAAAACGATCTGTGCATAGGCCTGTCACTTGAAATAGTACAGATTGTTGGGCAGCATATACCTTTATAGTAAAAAGCTCTTGATAAAAAATTTTTTTTTTCGATTATTTATAGCAAAAATGTTCTCTGCGTTGACGAACCTTATTTGGACCGATAACACCGAGGAACAGGTGAACAAGAACTTAGACTTGTACGAGGAGGAATTGGATGGCGAATGGATCTTGGTTGATGTTGATCATCCTGATACTGATACCTCGAATTCGAGTATGGCTGCCATGGATGAAAGTTGGCTGGTGACGCCCCCAGCTTGCTTCAACGCGGACTCAACTGAGGTGCTGCAATTAGCCACCTCGCCAATAGAAAATTTACTAATAGAGCATCCAAGCATGAGCGTCTATGGACGTTTGTCATCACCTGCTCGACGTAGTCAAACGCCCCCTCAAAGACTGCATTTGGTACCGATAAGAGAAGGATGCTCAAAATCACTCCGTACTTCTACATCGAAAGATGTTCATCAAATATCTAAAGTCGATATTATAGAACAAAAGAAAAAGAGAAAAAAAGAAACTCAGTATTGGTCGAGAAAATCACTTAATCTTAGAAACAAGATCGTCAACTCCGGACGTTCTCGCAATAAATCTAGACGCTATTAAAAAGGAACATCTAGGCATATTCTTCCGATTAGAATTTAACTAGTAGTTTAAGAGTCTATCTTCATATTTTAAATAATAATGAAAAGACTGACAGTAGAAACTTCACCGGACAGTACGTTTTCACCGTCTTTCGTCTTAAATATTATTTCTTTTTTGTTTTGCTGTGTTTTTCCTAAATTAATTCTAAATATAAATGTGCTAGAGATTTTGAGATAGCGACTTTCTTCAAAGGAAACAATTTAAAATAGGCTTATATTAAAGAATTGATAAATATAAACAAGTACTAGATTGTGCACTGGTGAACGCTCTAGGGACAGCCAAACACACTAGATCGTGGTTGGAGCACTGTACCAGTCAGTTGTCACTAGCAGACAACAAAGTTCGAGGTAGGAAAATTTGAGTCTGGAAAGAATAAATGGTTTAATTTAGAAATTCTCGGTTTAGGATGAACATTGTACATAAATTAAGCATATTTTTGATAATTTTAAAAACGTCTTTTTGCAATATATGGACTGACTGGGAAAATGCGAAATACCTATCGAAATCAATCCGTGGAGTGGTAGGAGGTGGAAATTTTACATATTACTCTTTAAAGTGCCATGGTATATGCAAGATAGAATTAAAATCGCTAAAAGGTGATGCTGATCTCTATGTATCAGAGCGTTTTGAGAGACCAACATGGGAAGAATACGACTACAAGGCCGATACCTGTGGTTTAGATGTCGTAGGTGTGGCTGATGATCAGAGAAAAAAGGTGGTTTATATAGGAGTTTATGGACATCCTTTCTCCGATGAATCCGTATTTGCAATGAGCGTTTATGTTGATTCAGAATTCTATTCCAGTAAACCCGGCGAGAATACTACCGAGTCTACTTCAATTCCAACTTTAATTTTGGAAATACTATTCGAATTGCTAAAAATTGTTGCGGAAGTCTTAATGTAGGATTTTTTCACATTTTGATAATTGTTATTTGTTATGTAGGATACAAAAAAAAAGAAAACCAAAAATTAAGGGAACAAATGTTGATTATTACATTCTCATTAAAGAAATTTTGAAAATAGCATTTCAAATTATTAATTCTACAACTTTAATCTACGTGACTTTTACTTGAAAGAAAGCAATAAATAGTCCTCTTCAAACTGCAAGTTTTCTCGGGACGCGTTAATCATTAAGCTAATAAGGAGGAAAGGAGAAAGCATGCATATATAAAACAGAATATACAGTATGTGACGAAAAACGCCAAGCCATAAAACCTTTGTCATAAAATGACACGAAACTACTTTTTTTTGGTTATTTCCGTTTTCAGCAAAGTTGATTTATTCTCTAAAAAATTCATTGGAAATTCATTTCGTAATATCAAAGATATAACGATATTTATGGGGGGGAAAACGATAAAAGGTGAAATTACTGTCAATATGGCCGACTATGTTTTCTTTAAATTATGAATTACTATGGAATATGGAAATACTTTGAGAATATTTAAAAATTTATCCTTTTTCAAGGCAAAATATAATTAAAAGTTTTCTAGATAAAAAGAGTTTGAATAAAATTTTTATAAATATAATAAACAATATGCATTCTAGAATCTACTCTAGAACGAAACAAAAAGTTAATAATAAAAGCCTATAATTTCTTAAAAAGATTCCATTAAGAATGTTTTTTAATTCACATAAAAAGCATAGATAGAAAAGATTGTAAAATTAGGTAAACTACTTTTTATTTCGTCATTTAATTAATTAAAATTCAATAAAAAGAGAAGCAGAATGAGACTCTGAATAGAATGTTTATATAAGTGTAGGAGTTGAGGTTTTGTTCTAATAAATAAGAATTTGAATACAATGAGTAAAACCTATCAAGCGAGCATTAATCAAGTAAATAAATAATTGAAACTGAACGCTATTGGCTAATCGATGATGACTAGCCAATCACTAATTAGTGAGACCTTTTACTCCCCGCCTTTAAAAGGCATTTCACAGAGTCATTTGGACGTAAACTCTCTTAAGGTGGACATATAATAATTTGACTATTGGATTTTAGTTAAGAAAATGGATATACCACAGAAGACTGGCGAAGACTGCAAAGCACGATTTGATGATGAGACGCTCTTACAGTTAATGACCACCAGATGGAGAATCGAAAATGAATTTCAACGTAATTACGTCTATAACCTGCCAGAATTTTATTCCTTAATCGAACAGTTGGAGAGAAGCACTAATAACCTATCAATGACTACGTTTCGACGTCTCGTTAAGCATTTAAATGCCTCTTACAGGTTACGCTTTAAATTGGAGAAAGATTTAATGCAATGGGATCCCTTTAGAGCTGATGTAGCCTTAGCCTTCTTAGCATCTGAATCAAGGAGGTTGAGTACAATGGCTCATTATCTGGTAACTAGAGTAAATGGATATACAGAGGTAGTAGAATTCCATTCGCTATTAATATTAATAATTTTAAATGTCTTTTTTAGAACTTATACGAAGAAACATACAATAATGAAGAACTTGAAAAGGACTCTCCTAGATCCCTATAAACTTGTTATATTATTACTATTATGCTATAAAAAAACACCAGTTTGTTCATAATTAATATTTTTTTTATCTATGTTAATTTAGTTAACAAACTATGAAAAATGTAAACAAATTAAATAATATGAAATTACAGCAAAAGGTTAGAAAATGTCAGTTAATTCTTTTTTTATGTCATAGTTGTTCTTTTTTATATGTTGTATTATACAAAATATGTATACATTTACATAATTTATTCAAATATATAATTAAATTCTTTTCTTTTTTTTTTTTTACAGAAAACAATTGTCCTAAAAATTTATACTTTTGCCATATATTACTATAATATCGATAGTCTTTCGGATCGTATTTCGTTAGTTATTGAGTGACGCTTTTACTTGTTTTTTTTGCGTTTTCCTTCAATAGCCCGTTAATTTATAATTACGTAAAAAACGTGCAAAGTTGTCGGTAAAGAAAAAAGCAATGAGTACTCTTCTTCCTCTTCCTATCTCACTCACTCTCTCTTTCTTCCTCTTTCAATTCTACATTCTATTTAAAAAAAAACAACTCAAACTTTCCATCTAATAAAAACATGACTGAATAAGTGTTAATTCCTATCTGTTATGTAATTTAAAGTATAACGTCACGTTTGACAGGCTTGACTTAAGATCTTACACAATTCTCTGAATATTGGATACAATGTAAAGACAACAAAACAACCGGGAAGGAGCCAAAGGATAGAAATTTAGAAATTGAAAGATAACTATGTAAAAAGAATTTTAATATTCTAATAGCTATAGAGATGGATTCTGAATATTCATGAGATGGAGAAAAAATAGTCTTTTTTTTTCGAGTTTCATTTAAGAAGCACGTATTCTGTTCATAGCCATAGGGAGAATATATGGAAAGTTTCTTTTCGATCGAATTCGGTACCATTCCATATTGATTGATTATTGGGAAATTCTATCTTTTTAGCGTATGTTTATACGTGTATATATATATATATATATATATATATATATTAAGGAGAAGCAGAGACTCATTTAGGAAGAAGAAGATGAGCGGTGAACTAAATTTAACGACAATTGGTTGCTTACCGGATAATTTGCAACGATCTATTGTGGGATTTTCTATAAAACCTGGTAGGAAATTCGTTACTTTCTGTTATTCGAAGATGTTGGAGAACTTAAGAAGATCTATTGAAGAAGATGAAGCCTTATGCACTACCACAGTCGAATACGGGGATTACCGGGCCATAATCACTTGGTCATGGCCTTGTAATTTGGTTCTATTCACTCTTTATGAAAAAGATGGATATTTAATTCATTTTCATAAATTAATTGAATTGATCGATACAGAAGATACGCTGAAAGTTATTCTTGATATTAACGCTAAAATTCAAATATCGTCTGATGATAGTCTTACAAGACGCTTTCGCTTTTATACATTTCATCAATATTTCTATATAACTTCTGAAAGAATTTACTCTTCCCTTAATAGTGAGAGTGATAAAGTGGTTTTTGGGAGAATATTAGGTAGCCTAAGGAATTCTATGTACTCAAATTCAGATTTATTTTGGCTGCAATTCTGGATTTCAAGAATAGCCGACTCTGCTAAAGATGATATTGGAAAATTTTGGCTATTCTGGACCGATTGGAGAACGATTTCAGGCTTTGTTGGTGCCATCGATGCAAAATCGAAAGCGAAAGTTGGGGAACTAGTACGATCGATTAGACCCTGCTTAGAGAATGCATCTTTCGAAAAGCGTCTAGTTAAGGTTGAAGAGCGCCGTAGGCCGAAAAAAAGACGCTCATCTTGTTTACTTTCTGATTAAAAATAAACATAACTTTTTCTTATTTTATTCATAAATAATCCAAATCGTAAATAAATCTTTTCACAACTTTTTTGCTTTCAATATTTATAATGAATAGGTCTAGTTTTATATACTATGTATATTTATATATAGGAGTATTTGGCCTATAGCTTCTCTGTTAACAGCACAGCTATTGATCGGCCTTAGCAACACCACTAGATAGTAATCTTACAGGCAATATAATATTGGCCAGATTAAATTGAGTTATCTTATGAGACATGAGAGGAAAAGGTGGGAAAAAGAAGGTATCCAATCGGAGAACCAAGTCGCAAAGAGCTGGTTTATTATTCTCCGTTGGGAGGATAGAAAAGAAGATGAGAAAATATTATGGTAAAAAATTCAGACTATCTTCTTCAATGCCAGTTTACACTGCAGCTGTTATTGAATACTTAAACGCGGAAGTTCTAGAATTAGCCGGGAATTGTTGTAAAGAAATGAAGAAAAAGATTATCACTCCTAGACATTTATTTTTAGCTATTGCACACGATTTTGAACTTGACTTACTATTGAAGAATGTTACCATTTCCTCTGGAGGTGTTCTACCGAAGATTCTCCCAAGTTTAATAAAACCTAATGATGGCCGAAAGGTACATAATTTGAATGGTAAGGCCGCTGCTCCTTCTTCGGCAGTAAAAGTCAAACAATTATTTGGAACATCTACTGTTCCTCTGAAGAGGAAGGTGACAGGAACATTACCAGCGACCACCTCTCCATCGTCTCCTCGTATATCTCTTTCGAAAAAAGCAACAACGCTACTGAAGAAACAAACTTCAAATAAGAAAAAACAGGACGCCAATATAACGATACTTAGAGAGAAAAGATTAGGAGGAGGTCAGCGATTAAGCGTCGTTAGCGGTGACATATTGGATGTTAAGGCTGACGCCTTAATAAATCCAACTAACGCCAAACTCTACATGGGTGGTCAAGTTGGTACTGCTATTAGTAAGAAAGGGGGACCAACTCTTCGAAGGACCATGTCTGATTTAAGAAAATCTCATGGTCAATTAACTCTAACAGACGCAGTTATAAGCCCCCTTGATGATAATATCCGTTTAATTCACTGTCATGGTCCAACGTGGTCTGCATCTGGTGATGATTGTTCAGAACAGTTAAAGTCAACCATATTTTCGTGTTTAAAAGTTGCAGAAGAGAATGAAGTTAAATCGATTGCTTTTCCATCTGTAGGAAGTGGAAAAGCCGGAATTCCTAAACAAATGGCTGCAGAAACTATACTAGCAGCAATAAATGAATATTTCGCTAGTAATGAAGATTCAGGAATAGAAGAGATATACTTTGTACTGTTCGATGAAGAAAGTCAAGCTTGTTATATGTATGAACTGGGTAGATTATAAAATATCTTCCATATACAAATAATTTCTTAAAGCTCTTGGTAATTTAAGCAAACAAACTCGAGCTTTTAATGGAACTTTCAATAAACGCCGAATTTCTACTCTACATATATGCTTTAGGGATAATGGAGTAGCTAAAAAATTTAGGAACCAATTGGCTTTTAATAATTCGAATTCTTTTACTATTTGACGTCTATCAAGCTCTTCCCAATTTAGTCGTGAACCAGTTTGAAGTAGTAATTTTGCTTCGTCGTATCGTCGAAGACGTATTGATAAAGTTAGAGCGTCGGAATGGCATATTTTAGAACTAGAGACGCAAAAGGCGTGACCAATTCCAAATTGAGTTTCCGCGTTATATTTTAATAATAGTTTTAAAGATGATAAGTCTGAATTGTAAATAGCGATGCAAACTGGTCGAAATTCCTGACAAAAATTTTGATTTAAATCAAATGATGAATTACGGCTCTTCTTCCCCGAAAAATAGCCATCCGGGTGTAAACCATATTCTAATAGTTTTTGCACACCTCTTCCCTTACCTACGGAACATGCTGCGTATAACGATGAAACCCTCCTGGAGCTAGAACCAAGTTGAATTTGAATTGGATCGAATGGTTTTGCATTCATTCTTAGCATCCTTTCGATTGTATTATGGGGTGAGGAATCCGGGTAGAAAAGAGCCAGCGAAAAAGGGGTTCTACCCTTTAGGTTTTTAGCGTTGACATTCGGTTTGGAGAGGTCAAGGATGGTTGTAATCAATTCGGGAAAGTTACCTTTTTCAAGCGCGTAATGCAAGAGAGTGTTTCCAAGGCCATCTTTACTATCAACGTCGTATCCGGCCTCCAGTAGGGACTTTATCAGAGAAATCTTTCCAGATTCTACGAGACTGCTAACAACGGAATCGGCCGGTAAATGCTCCACACGGGACCCATTTGCTATCAAATAAGAAGCCATTTCGTACTGTCCCCTTTTTATTGCTAAACTTAGAGGGGTATCTCCAAACTGGTCGGCAGCATTTATATCCGCTCCAGAGCATATTAATCCATTTAATGTACCTACGTTATCATCTGAAACAGCCCTTTGCAGTAAATCCGAATAAGCCGATGTTGTCTTGTAGTTAAGGGAAGTAAGCGAACTTGAGGAAGAAAGCCTATACGTATCATAGACGAGTTGCTTCTTTCTCTTCCACCTCAGCGACATCTTATAACTAAAGAGACGCTGGTAAATAGCGAAGCCAACTTCCTGCTGTCGGCGAATAGAAAAGACTGTGTGTATGCGAACGGCGTCTCTTTATAACAAGTCCGTCTATGACGTTCGCCTTGGGCTATTTTTTTCTTTTCATCAACTTCGTTTCTTTTTTCTCTATTTGTCTACTTTTACGAATAACGCCCGCTAAAAATTGTCATTGATAGTTTAACTTGAAAGCAAACAGTCCAATAGAAAACGAAATATTTATTTCCATCTTATCGTTAAACACAAATCATAATAAAATGAAAAATGTTTTTTTAAAAAAAAAACAACAAAGTTTTAGAAAATAGTAAACATTTCCTTAAAAAGACAGAGATTATAGGATATAAAAAAATGATAATAATAAGAATAACGTTACAAAAACAACTACGTATTTTATATAAATAGTAATACTATATAAAGAAAGAAAAGATACCTTTTTCTTAAGAAGAGAATGAGGAAGAGTAGAAGAAAAAGATATATAGTGAATGGTTGTTGTACTTTTGATCATATAGTTTCATATATCAAACTGCAAGTCTACCAGAGAGTTATAGAGAAGATAGAGATTGAACAAACAATAAATATCCTTATTTAAATGATAGCACTACTGCAATTTATCTCCAAATTAAAGTGTATCAATTGTTTCGCTTATGACATTATAGGAATTTTATATGAATTAACGAATCTAGTGATGGAAGATTCCTATAAAAAGCAAATAACAAAGAATTTATTTTAATTTAGAGTCTAATATAAGAAATTCATTCATTGTGGAATTCCTTGCATGTTTGTCATTGATAAATCTTCTATATATAAAAATTTTCACATCATCAAAACGTTCCTTACAGTTAAATTTTTGGACACTCTAATACTACTCGATCCATCAGGCTTAGAAGAGGTAAGTATACAATTTAATAAGCCTATACCATTTCTAGATTTCTGCTCGAATGACGATGTATTCTGTAAAATTTAACTATGTTGGGCCTTTTCCATCAAGGCATACGCCTTCCTCGCAGTGGAGGTAGACGATTTGCTGTGATACTAAAGATATTAAAGTATTTCTCATTAATTCCTATAGACGATATTCCAGTAGCTTTTTACCTATATCTATCTTATCAAAACTTCACTGATGAGGAGTTGGAAATCGGATATACAAGATTTCATTAAAAGACAACATATTGCAAAAAAGAACACACATACACAAATAAACAACAACATAGATAATCACTTGAATTAGCTTTCACTTATTTAATTAGAATATAAATGCTTAATTATAGTAGATTTTCTCTTTTATTATAAGAAATTGAATATATACACGAAATAATTAGTCCTATCCATTTAAAGTAACAAAATATTACACGAAAGTAAATATAACTATTATATTCTGGACATCGCTTTACTGTCATAAATGATCTATTGTTTGTAGGCAGTTTAACATCTAAACACTATTGATTTAAGCTAGCAGTTTTGTATGTCATGCTAAGTTTCGTTTGAGAGCCAATCACTTAACAGTTAAGTTGAAAATTTAAATGGATATCGTATTCAATATTTAAGAGATAGTTTTAATTTGAAATTTTACTAATAAAAACAATGTTTTGTAATTAAATATTGGAATTTTAATGATTTAAAAGATTACATTGCTATGAATCAATAACTTTATCTAATGAATCCAAGAAATCGTCCATTGTTTGTTGGTTGGTATTTATCAAATTTCTTGTTGGATGCTTGTGCTCTGCAGTTAATTTTGAAGGTTCGCTTTTAATTGCTAAAGTATTTAGTAAATCGTCTATATCATTATTATCGGCTTCTTTTATTGTTGATTCGGTTGCCCTTAATAAAATATCCAATTCATCGGGTTCTTCTTTGGTTATAGTTGTTTCCTCTTTACTTTCGTAGTCTAGTTTAGCTCGTTCGATGAATTCTCTATCAGCTTCCTCCTAATGAAAATAAAAACAAAAGTAGGTTAGAGCGTTAATACTCTCGCAATCAATAAAGTGTTAATACTTCAAAGAATTCTTTATTGAAATCGTCCAAGTTAAGAGGTTCAGCGTCTTTCTCTTCCATTTCTCTTACCCATGATTTATTTTCCTCCACCTGAAATTTTTTAGTGCCTTTATCTATCATGGCCTGTAAATCGAAATCGTCATCCGAATAATCATCATCTTCGTCTTCTTCATCTTCCACCTCTTCACTTGACGGCTCTTCATACTTCGACCAATTACTGCATATTTCACGTTTTCTAAAGTCTTCAGCTTCAGATTCATCACCTTCTGCTTTGGGATCGTCATCATTCTTCTCTTTTTCTTTGTCATTCTCAGGAACTTTTTCAATAGGTTTTTTCTCGGGTTTCTTTGGCTTTTTATTTGATTTCGTCTTCTTTGACTTGTTATTAGTGGTTTCCTTTGAGTCTGTGCTTTCTTCTTTCTGATCTACTATTCCATGAGCCTTTTTATATCTATAATTTTTTCGTTTTTTATGATGATCAGGTCTCATATCTTGGTTGTTTCTTAAAACGTCTCAGAATTAAATAATAATACAAAATATCATCCACTTGTGCAATTCTACGACTTAAATGCACTTATCGAAAATTAGACTCAGTATTTTCCCAAAAGCCCCATCTATCGGATAAAATATCTCTCTTATTTATTATTTTTCTTAAGATTGTATGATAAACAGATTTTATTTGTGTGGTACACAGGGAAATTCCTATTTAATTTATTATCAACAAACTATAACTTTTTTAAAATCAGAAATTAAACAATTGAGTTAATTAAAACAAATTATCTCTTCATATCTCTCATTTGTGGTCGGGCAAGTCTAACATTTCCACCTCCAGGTCCTCTCACTAATGAGCAAAAACAAAAAAGAAAATTGATTAAATAACAATATTTAAAATATAGGATAACTAAAACAGTTAAAATATTTACCAGGATTCTGTAGAACACCTTGCATTCTTGCATTTCGAGGATCATTTGGAGCCATAAGCATAGGTCTCTGAGAATTTCCATTTTTGTTATCATTAGATTTCATTTTTGAGTTTTGTTCCTGTAATGAAAAAAAACTTCTTTATTACCCAACTTCCCAATTCAGAGAAACAAGAATGATAGACTCGATAATGTTTATATTGAATCTATAATATTGCGTTTGCTTACTAATTTTATTTGCTCTTCCGGGTTAACTTCAGACATATTCGGAGTCTCCGAAAAAATCATGTTAAATCTGCGAGGATTTCAAAGACTTGTAAATTAACAAGATTATCTCTCGTAATAGTGAATACTTACTCTCCTACTTTTATAATATAGCCTTGCTTTCCATGATATAATGTTAATGCCCCTTTGAAATATGATGCATATCTGTTTGAAAATATTAATGTTTGTAGCTCTTCAAATTCATCTGTTTAACAATTTAAACATACCCTCTGACTAGTCTGCAAATGTCACCTGTTTGTAATAACTCTCCATATTGATCCCAGACACTTAAGTTAATAACGCCAGTTTTATCAGCAACTTTGAATGAACGAACTTCATGACCATCTTTCGTCTTATTAGGTTTACCTGCAAGCAACGCCACCTTCAAAATATACTGAAAATTAGCATCGTATTCAACAAACCGATCTCTAGAATAATAAATGTTAAAGATATGTCCTTGCTGCCATTCTTAATATCCTTAACGAACATTGGCTGGCCACTCTCCATTTTTCCCAAGCCTCAAATTGCCCAATTTTTGTTAAGAAACCAGTGACATGAACAAAACACCGATAATGTGTCCATTAAATCGCGGTGTCCATGTTTAGCGCAAAACGATTCTCATCCATTAAAATTCTACAATTTCGTCCACTCAAGGAAGAGTTAATGTAATAATCTCACATTTACGAGTCATTATATTGAATAAATGTTTTCTTCGGTAATAATTTATTGAAAAAAAAAATAAAATGTATGTATATTAAACAATCTAAAAAAAAGTATGCAAATACATTTCAGGCATCTGGTGTGCTGTATTTAAATAATAAATAACGAAAATGTGTAATATAAGAACGTAATTTTATGGAAATTGAATTAGGCAAATCTAACATTTCTTTGCCTATCTCCCCTTTGTTGTGTTTGAGATCTTCTGGGATAATCTTCATTTTGTCTATTTTGTTGTTGCCCTGAATTAGAGTTATTTTGTTTGAAAAAATAGCTTCCATGTTTCATTTCCGCTAATTTTTCATTTGTTTCAATTAAATTTGACACTTTTTCAGACAATTGCAAGCATAGTGCCTGAACATGTGTTGGCTCTGTCCTGTGCATTACAAGAGTTTTAGTTGGCTCATCAAGAGAAGCCATCAGCTCCTCGTTAATGATCATTTTAGAGATTATTGAGTGAACTACAGACATTGGTAACTCAAATTGAAAACAGACCGACTCAAGGGATAATGAGTTATATACATGAGCATATGTAAATAGATAAGTCCTAAGGCTTTCTTCTTGTATTTTTCTTTCTAACATAGATTTAACTGCTGTCGATTTGTGGATGAGAGACCAGACTTTTTGCTGCATCTTTTCATTAATTAAATATTGTTTGCATGCCAACCAGTCTCCAACCTTCATTGCTTTTGAAGCCGCAACAATGTGTTCCCTCATAGTTTCAGGAGGTCCTACTACAGCTTGTTTTTCAGAAAGTCTTAGAACGTGATGAAAATTTTTAGATATCATTCTCCTTCTTGCGTCTAATTCGTGTGCGGCTAAGTATGGTACCTCTAACAGCATTGCAGATATAAGATAGACGCACTCCAACAGTTCAAGATTAATGTGTCGATGGTAAGGTATTTGGCGTCTCTTTTCAAGCTTTTCTTGTTCTGCTGTTCTTTCATGGGCTCTTTGCATCAATAAACCTTGAGCCAAAAGCTCCTTAGATCTACCTCCACTTTGCATATCTACTAAACAATTATGAGCATCTTTAATGTGTCCTTGCCTAAACGCACAAAGTCCTAATTGAACCATTGCACGATTATATAGTATCTGAGTAGGAACATCGGAATGAGCGATTGTGTCTTGTAGATGGGACATTAACATTAAATCTCTGGCCTCAAACCATTTATCATGAATGGCATGATGGTAAATCTGGCATAAGATTGCCCTCGTTCTAATTCTATCTGTCATATCCTTTGTATATATATATTTACTTAATCTATCCATTATTTTCACAGGATCGTCTTCTTCAGTTAACTTGCTGGGGTCGTCAACAACTTTGGCATCAAATTTATAGTGGATATATTCTATTCTCTTTAGGTATATTCTACATATTTCATCGGATGTTGTATAGAATTTAGATTCTATATACTTCTCAGTACGAACAATTAGTTCGTAAACTTTTCGTTCATCTCTGTAAAGTACAGGGAATTTAGTGAAAATGAGCTAAAACAAGACTATAGATGACTTACCTTAATCTTTCTACATAGTCTGTGCTATGAGCATCAACAGATTGTAGCATTTTAGTAAATTCTTCATCTAGTCTTTCAACGAGTGATAAAATAGAGCCTCGAATGCGAACTTCGCCTTCTAGACATTCTGAATCTTCCGGAATATGCTCACCAACATGAATATCGGGATTACATTCTAGTAATTCCATAAGTTCTTCCATACAAATCAGGGTTTGTTCCCACATTTCGCTTTTCATGCAAGTGGCCATGTTTGGATTGTAATCAAAAATAGCAGGCAGCAAGGAGAATAGAATTTTTATTTGAATTCCATCTCCTAAATTATGTGCAAAACAAATTTTTCTTAGTTCAACCAATACTTCTACCATTTGATATCTGTCTGTGCCTTTTTTCCCTCTTGTTGCAACAAATTCAACCATTTTTTTTAGTACAGCTTCTATGGTGATCTCTGCATCTTTAGGGAATAATTTAGGTCGTTCCACCGATGTAACTTCAGTCCATTCCTCATCGCTATCACGAATCGGTTTGAATTCTTTGGGCTTTTTCTTTTTCTCAGTTTTTTTCTTCTTTGAATCTCCATCAGCCGTACGATTCTTTCTGAAGTATTCAAGAGTCAAATTTTCTGGATCGTCATCGCTGGACTCTTCAGACGAAGAACTTTCAAACCAAGAATCGGAATCGGACTGTTCCTCTGGAATTTCTGAAAAATTGAATAACTTTGAGAAATCCTGTTGACTGCATTCCCATTATTTACCTTTGGGAACTTCTTCCTTGGGAACAACGGTGTCGACCTTTTCTTGATCACCTTCTTCGCTTTCTTCTTCCACTTCTTCCCCATCTGGTGCTGCTCTATAATTATTGACTTCATTCTCAAAACTTTGCTTCAGAAATTTACGAAATTTTTGTCTTAAAGCTGTCAAACTTTTGGCATTATTTTTGCTCATTAGTTTCTTGCCCTCCTTATCTTCCCAAACCTCGTTAATAAAGTCTTCCAATTCTGCCAGGCATTTAATGAAAAACCTTGGCGTTGAAATTGATTCTTTCTCCAAAACCCTTCTTGATTTTTCATAAACCTTGCACAAATCTTCAAAACTGGATAAGACTTTCGCCATATCTTTAATTTTTTTATGATTTGTCACATGTTTGATGACATTCTTAATTTCATCGAATCTGAATGATATAAAAAAGATTACATTTTGAAATGAAATTTTTCGGAAAATGCCTTAACTACACGTGTTCACTTTGACAGGATTCGTTCAGTAAAATTGTATTTACTAAACGAGTTTTGAAAAGTGTATTGCTTTTGCACCGGTCGTTGCTTACTGACTTCAAGCCAAACATAGGTCGAAAAGTCAGCATTTAATGGTGCATTATATATAAAAATAAAAGTAACTCTACCTCTTATCTTTCATGCTTCGAACAACTCTCTTTTCTTCATCTTCAGAGTCACTCCATTGGTACGTAACCCTGTTGTTGATAGTTCTATAGAACTACATATTGTTAATTTTGACTCCTAACTTACGCCTGAGTTCGTATTTGGCGGTGGTCTTGAATCATTTCATCACTCGAAGTCTCGCTATCCGAGTCCGAAGCGGCGAAAAACTTGGACATTTTTTCGCTATCTTATGCTTCCTTAACTTCTTTTCAAATTAAACTGTAGTTAAAACAGAAAAATTAAAGTGTAATGTTACAAAATGCCGGCAACCTAACACGTGGTAATCATCAAAACGCATTTGCAACGTCAACAATATTTTTTTCATTAATTTATACAACCAGATATTTAGTATTTATATAAATGCATATTAACAATTCTAAAATTAGCTTCAAAGTCCAAATTACATAAAGTATAAATGTGATAATGTCTAACTTACTTTGTAGCCACTCCGCAGAAGCAGCTCTCGGAAAAAAGGACGAGAATCTCGCACGTACGATATACCTAAACTACAGACGGAAATTGCTATATTCAATTTCGGACTTTTGCAATAAAATAAGTTTGTTTTAAAACAGTTTAAAGCGTTTATTAAAAAATATTTTCCCTATTATGTATTTGAAATTTCAATTTTTTCTAATTATTTTCCTTCACCATAAATAGACATACCCATTGGATTTTGAAAATGTTGAAGCATTGTACTAAGCATAATAACGATAAGAAAGATCCATTGTTTATAATAAATCCATAATAAATGTCTGCAAAGTTGTATGAATACACAAAATATTTTGTTTTTCTTTTGCAATTTATTGATTCAGAAGGAAATACGATATTCTTTTCTTAATTCCATTACAATAATTAAATAGTAAAGTATTAACTTTCTTTTACAAGCTAATTGGATAGAAAGAGTTTTCTTTGTGGTATTTTTGTATATTAATCTCTTATAAAACTAGTCTCTCTTCTTGATCTTTTAATGCATTGTCCAGTTTATTATCAGCGGCCAGGTTTCGGAAATGCTGTTGTGATTAAAGCAGTATATCAGTAAAATCAATTTTCAATTGGAAAGAAAATTTACCTGAGAATTTTTAAATTCTGAAAACAGTGTAAATAATACATGAAGGGACTGAATTCTATTCTTATAGATCGGAATATCCAATATGGCTAATAATAGAGGGAAAGAAAAATCTCTTAATTAATAAGATTATTCTAGTTATGAACTTTTGTTTACCACAAATCATATCTGTGTAGGTTTTAAGATCAGAGTCCAAATCCGCTGATGGTAGTTTTATCTAAATTAAAATAAATGATTTATATTAATAATTTAGCTCAATGACTAATAATTTTATTAATTACTTCTTTGAGAAGTTCTTCAAATTCAGGTGGCCACTCCTCCATAAGAGTATCAATATTGGGCATATTTCTGGAATAATGAACTGTGGGTGGTGGTTGAGTTTTTCTAATATCTGCAATACTTTTACACCAATTATCTATTGCTTTTGGATCCTTTCTTGCATTATCGATATTCTTTACAATCATCGATTTGGCATGAGTATGTTTCGATTTAGATCGAATTTGCATTTCTAATACAACAGGATCGCTTTGTTTTGCACATGGCTCATCCAAAATTAGAAGACCAAGCTTCTCATCAATTCCATCTGGCCTAGGTACCTGATTGAGAGAATACAATTTCGTATATTTATTACAATCTCATTGAGCATTTTAACTCTGAACTTACTTTGATAAAGGCGTCAATGTCACCAACTGACGGTATAAAATCGGGAATAAACGGTTTTAGACAGTGATCTAGCTCAATTGTTTGTGGAGTATATCTTGTGATATATTGAAAGAGATCGCTTATTTCGGCTGAAACTGGCAAATTTGAGTATTCGTCGGGATCGTATGCTCTATTTGTTTCGAAATCTTTGAAAGTATATTTAAAATTGAAAAAGGAAAATGTATATTAACCCTTCAAATGCAGCCTCGGCTCCATCATCATCTTCGTCATCTTCTTCATCATCATCATCAGCTAATGACGATCCAGAGTCATTATCATCGTCTTTTAAATTAGAAGGTTGAAATTTCTGTACAGTAGTTATATATTTACAAGAAAGGCGCCACAAAATATTTGAACGTAAATAACTTTTTGTTTCAGATCTAATCCTGGTTGTTCATTTTCTGATGTTATTGAGTTGTCCATTCTGGAGTCTGGGTGAGGAGAATTTCCGATTGTTTCGTCTGAGTCGTTATCGTCTGAAATGAAATCCAAATTTGACCGTATATACGTATATTTATGTATGGAAACTTTAAGCAAAGTAACAATATAGCTGACTGAACTCAACTGAATTTTGCTAGGAATTTTAATTGCTATCGAATGTCAATTAAATATTTAGAAAAGCAACTCAGATTGGTCGAAATAAACCAATGAGCTAGCTATAGAGTCGTTTCTTTAAGATTTGAAATGTTGAAGGTTAGACTATGTAGATTGACGTCACAAAAAGCATAAATATGAAACATTGATGATAACGTTCAGATTGGGATTTATGAATGCAATTCTAACGAAAGGTGTTAATTTCAAGATATCAATAGACGTGGGTGATTCATGCCATACCGAAAATAATGAATAAAAAGTCTGTATCGCATATTTTTACATTTCAATAAGATCTTAGCGCTTTATGATATCCTACTGAACTATTGACAACAATAAGAGGAACCACTGCAAACGTAAAAAAACAGATAGATCTTATTTTGAAAGACGGATTCATAATACTGCAACTAGCATCCATTCTTCGCAAAAGAATAAAACTTAGTTATATACAAATATTTAAATAACTTATATTGTACAAAAGTGCAAGATGAAGGATAAAAAAAAGTTTGTTCAGGTGATTAATATCACCTTGATTTCCGATTGAAGCCATGTTAGGCGATGGTGTACACAACGAAGGGACGTCTTCTGCGTCTGGAACTTCTAAGGATTCATCGTACATCTGATTTTTATGCGATAGGGGCTGGAAATTGTAATGCGTAAAGTAACATTGAATTTAAAAATACAAACTCATGTCAACTATTTCATATAGGTATATATTATTTTCCACAAAAAATAAAACATGAGAGCTTATTCCGAATATATTTTATAAACAATACTTACGGCTTGATTTTCTTCTTCACTTGCCATCAGTTTATTTGGTTGCCGGGGAATGCACATCCGCTTCCCGTCATTGCAAATGTGTTTTTTTACTTTTGAATCGAGTATTTTTTAGTCACACTTCATACGTTCATAGACTTTAGAAATGGCATGGTATAAACAAATTCTCGTCAATCTTTGCATTTTTGGTTTATTATATACTATAAAATGTGATAAAGAAGAAATTATTGACTTTCAAAGATATTCAATAGAAGGAAAGGTCCTCCTCCCGTTTCCTAGTGAACAGGAATGGATTTCATCAACTAGGGTACTCGCTGATGGCGGACGATATTTGGGATTTTTAAAGTAAGTTAACGTTTTAAACAAAATGAATTAACATTTTTAGGAAACAACAATCAAACAATACCATGAAAATAATAAAACGATGATAGACAGAGTTTTTCATGTGTTAGAAAAATGTTCATTTTAATTTGCAAATTTGTGCTAAATCACAACATCATGACACTGATAAAAACTTATAGGTTTAGTTATTAGAATACAATCCTCTGCAAAGCAGTAATCTTTTATAGGCATTTTTGTACGTATTATTCATACAAGCATAAATAATAAAGTTCACCCCCGAATTACACTGTGCAATAACAAAAAAGATAGAATACAGAGTAGCTGGTAGACTTCCATGATAGTCAATTTTGTATATAAAGATGAAAGGAAACCAAAATGTTAAAAATGTAATCCAAACTACAAATAAGTTTTTTACAAGTGTTCTTAATTGTTTGTGCGAACTTTTATCTGCCTTTGAACCGGCTTGTAAGTTCTCTCTGAAAGGAGTAATGATTTAAATGAAAATTTAAGTTGATATTTTTAAATATACCCTATTTTCGATTGTTCATTATCATGGCTGGAAGATTGACCAATAGTTGTATTTCCTCCTTGAACTTTACTCTTACTTTCTTTAAATTTAGCCATTATTTTTATATAACAATATAACGTAAGCAGTAACGTAGGGAATATTATTATACAGTCAGCCATAGTAAATATAAACCAATAAGATGTTGTATCGTAAGCAATGAATATACAAGCTCCAAATTTAACGTTGTATCCATAAGTTCCAAAACCAATAAATGGACTTGCAAATAACAAAGCTGGGATTGCCCAACTACCTACAACTGTCAAGGCTACATTACGGGTCACATAAATAGACATGTACGTTCCTCTTGAATGACAAACCAGAATATATCTGTTCAAAGCTACTAGACCCAAGTTTAAAACAGATACCTGTAAGAACACTAGATTTGGATAGCCAATTAATTTACACATTAGATCTGGAAATTTATAATCGAGGCTAATTGCTGACAGAGGCATGATGATAGCACAAACGAAAGAATCACAAATTGCCAAATTAATAACGTATACATTGGGAGTAGAGTGTAAACTTCTGGTTGTTCTAGCGGCAATAATCGTAATAATGTTACCAAAAGTACCAAAGATTGTTACGAAACCTAACAATGTTTGTAGTATAATATGTATCACATCGGGTACGTTATCAATCGTTGTAGCGTTTGTAGCCATCTTCTAAGTTACAAATGAAAGTTTTACACGTACCATAACTTTAAATACAAACCCTCAAGGCAAAACATGCAATCGATCTTTAACTCAATTGATAGATTAATCATCTGAAAAAGACAGACTATATTTGCTCTGCCACTTGATGAACACTTAATGAAATTATTTCCACTTTTCTAGGAGCGATGGTACGTTTTTTGTCAATAATTTACCATCGGGATCCTATGTTGTTGAAGTTATTCACCCTGACTACGCTTTCGAACCAGTACGGGTTGATATTAATGCGAAAGGAAAACATAGAGCTAGAAGATTGAATAATGTCAAGTTGAATGATATATCGACGGTAAGTTTGAGTTTCTTGGGAATACGTATTTGCTTTGCCTTTGTCCTTAGAGTTCAAAACTCTTTAATATCATAATATGTTTGTCCTTTCCAGATTAAATATCCACTCAAATTGAAAGCAAAAGGAAAAGCACCATACTTTCAACAAAGAGAAAAATGGAGCGTCTCCGATTTACTATTCAATCCTATGGTATATATTATTTTTTTTCTTTATTTATTTTTTATGTTTAAAGTTTTCATATTGCTAACTTGTAGGTTTTGATGATGGTTTTGCCTTTACTGATGGTTATGGTTTTACCAAAGCTAATGAATGCCCAAGATCCCGAAACGCAAAAGGTAAATATTGTACAATTTTTTTTTTCAATACATCATAAAGATTTAATTTACAGGAAATGCAATCGCAAATGAATATGTTGACGGCGCCAAAAAGTAACTTCGACTTGAGTGAAACTCTTACTGGGTTCTTCGGAGGCAATGCTAAACCTCAGCAAAAACAAAAGAAACGGTAGCAAGTTATTTAAATAATCATAAAAATTATATACAATAACATATATATATATATATATATATATATATGTATGTTTAAATAAAGAAATAAATGTACAACATGAATTACATTGGGGTGTATAGCATGCCATTTCTACTGTTAACGTTAATATTGTCAACTAATTCCAAATATATAATTCCTGTATAAATTGCCTTATGTTTTTGATTTAATCAAGAAATTGTTGATACATTGAATAAATTTAATTAAAATATATAATTGAACAATGTTTCCAATTTAGAATATAAATTGTATTTAAAAATTCAGAAAGATGCAGTAGTTTCGTGAAAACATAGAAAAATAGACTATAGTACGTTTTCTTTTCTGGAGGAATATGGTAAAAGTCTAAGATCGATGCTAAATTCTCGACCAAATATATCATAAACATCATCTATATTCATTCTTTTTATTGGAATATTATTTATCATAAGAATTTCATCTCCTAGATTCAATAAGCCATCGAAAGTTGTCTGAGGGATGTTTTGGCTTATTCTTGAAATAAATAGACCTAAGACATTTGGAAGAAACATTTTTAGAATTTGGTTAAATTGAAAGAGCATCTCTACTAACCACCATTAGTTTTCTGATTTCCTTGAGCAATGTAAAAGCCAAAAGGTTGACCCATAGGTCTTCTAAGTTCAACTTGATGGCTTCCATCACCGTGAACTGTTACCAGTCTTCCAGTTGGTAATTCAATACCCTTAGTTCTATTTTAAAAGTTATCAAGATAAGAAATTTATGAAAGCATAGAGTTAAAGTAAAAAGAAATAGATATACTTTTTAGTTTTCTTCTTAAAACCAAGCTTCTCAGTTATGTTGAGAAGAGATTTAGTTTTACTACGTTTCATATTTTGATCGTGAATGATAGGCGACTCTTCGAAAATATAATGATCGCTATATCTTGTATTATTCAATTTGTCCATGCTTATTGCTTTACGTAGTTTGGAGAATTTATTTTTAGCACCGGTTTTTAAGTCATCAAACTTCTTGCTTAAGGAGGGACGCGAATTACTTTTTGATACTGGCGATCTACAACGATAAACAAGTATGTATAAAGCAAATAATAGTCAAAGTGACTGTTGAAAAAATTT